AGTAGAATACAGATCACATTGGATATCATCTAGTCGGCAAAACAAATCTAAAACCACCAAAATTCACCATATACAAGGTGAGGGACCACTATAATGCAATCCAACCAAATCATCAACTCCAGATCGAACCCAACAACCTATTTTTATGGTGTCAAACCAGACTGAAATCCACCTCCACCTTTCCCACCTCTCTCTCTCTCTCTCTTTAAGAGGAAGCCTTCTTGGCCAACAAGTTCAAAGCACTACCAGCAAGGATGAATGCACACTGGTCCTTACTGAAAGTGTGCTGAACAGGAACCTCAAACACCTCTCCAGTCTTCTGCTTGGTAACACGCAGCTTGATATCACCCTGTCCACCAGCCTGCAGGACATCGTAAAGACCAACAGTATCAACCTTATCACAAGCATCGATACGGTCATAGTCCTCACGGTTCGCAAATGTAAGAGGCACAACACCCTGCTTCTTAAGGTTGGTCTCGTGGATACGGGCAAAGCTCTTAGAAACAATAACCCGGCCGCCGAGGTAGCGGGGCTGCAGAGCAGCGTGCTCACGCGCAGAACCCTCGCCGTAGTTATCCTCCGCAACAACGAGCCACGAGATTCCGCGCTCCTTCCATGCCTCTGCCAGCTCCGGGATTCCGTACTTCTTGCCGGCTTCATCGTAGGCAACGTTCGTCTCGCCGGTTGCGGCGTTGACGGCGCCGATCAGAGTGTTGGCGGAGATGTTGGGCAGGTGGCCCTTGTACTTCAGCCATGGGCCTGCGGCGGAGATCGTGTCGGTTGTGCACTGGCCCTTGACCTTGTACAGAACCTGGAGGCCGGAAAGATCGCCCTCGGGGAAGGGAGCGAAGGGCTCGAGGAGGGCGAGACGGTCGGAGGTCGGTGAGACGATGACTTCGCTGCTTGGGTCGGGGACGGCGGCGGTGGGCAGGAAGTTGGGGTTACCTTCCTCGAAACCGGCGCCGGGAAGATCGAAGCCGCTGGGGGGCTGGAACTTGAAGGCCGAGCCATCTGGTGCGGTCAGGGAGTCGGTCATGGGGTTGAAGGTTGTGCTGCCGGAGTAGGCGAGCGCGGTGACGAGTTCCGGTGAGGCGAGGAAGTTCATTGTTTGCCGGTTGCCGTCGTTACGGCCGGGGAAGTTGCGGTTGTAGGAGGTGAAGATGGCGTTGTCTTCGCCCTTGGGGACGCCGTCGGTGCGCTTCCATTGGCCGATGCAGGGACCGCAGGCGTTGGCGAGGACGATGCCACCGGCTTCGGAGAAGGTGTTTAGCGTTTGATCGCGGTCGAGAGTGGCGCGGATCTGTTCACTGCCGGGAGTGATGAAGAAATCCGCCTTGGGCTTGAGGCCTGCTGCGGTGGCCTGTTTGACGAGATCCTCGGCGCGGGTCATGTCTTCGTATGAGGAGTTGGTGCAGCTACCGATGAGGCCGGCACCGAAGGTCTCGGGCCACTTCTTCTCGCGGACGGTGTCGGCGAACTTGGACAGCGGCACGGAGAAATCGGGGGTGAAGGGTCCGTTGATGTGGGGCTCGAGCTCGGACAGGTTGATGGTGACCACCTGGTCATACTCGGCCTTGGTGTCGGCACGCAGCAGGCTCGAGGGGCCGGCGGCGGCAACTTCAGCAGCGGCCTCGGCGACGTGGCCGCGGTGAGTCGACTGCAGGTAGGGAACCATGCTAGGCGAGAAGGGGAAGACCGAGGTGGTAGCACCGACCTCAGCACCCATGTTACAGCAGGTAGCCATACCCGTGCAGCTCAGAGTCTCGACACCAGGGCCGTGATACTCAATAACGTAGCCAGTGCCACCACGGACAGTCAGCTTGCCAGCCAGGGAGAGGATGATATCCTTAGGCGAAGCCCATCCGCTGAGCTTGCCCTCGAGGCGAACACCGAGAATCTTAGGAGCCTTCAGCTCCCAGGGGGCGTCGACGAGAGCATCGACAGCATCGGCACCACCGACACCGATGGCAATAGCACCAAGACCACCTCCGTTAGGAGTGTGACTGTCTGTACCGAGCATCATCAATCCAGGGGCGGCGTAGTTCTCCAGCACGCTCTGGTGGATGATACCGGCACCCGGGGGCCAGAACTCAATACCGTAACGCTTGGCAGCACTCTCCAGGAAGTCGAACACCTCACTGTTACCCTTGATTGAAGCTGGCAGATCGGTATCGGCACCGCGCTCACCGACGATCATGTGGTCGCAGTGAATACTGGCTGGAACAGCGGTGGAGGGAAGACCGCAGGACATGAATTGGAGTAGAGCCATCTGGGCCGAAGCATCCTGCATGGCGACACGGTCGGGCTTCAGCTTCAGGTTGGCCTTGCCTCGAACGTCGCGGCCATTGTTGGTTCCGGTGAGCAATGACTCTTCGGCATTGTCCAGATGCGCGTACAGAATCTTCTCGGCGAGGGTGAGGGCGCGGTCGGAGCCAAGGACCCGGCGGACCTGTTCGAGGTTGCGGACGAGCTTAGGATATGGGGGCATGCGGGAGGAGGAGGCCTCGGTGGCTAGGCCACGGGCGAAGAGTCGTTGTGAGGAGAGCCGTGTGGCCATCTACAAGGCGTTAGTCTGTCCAATTGGGGTGTCTTCAATGTCTACTTACGCCACGAGAGGCAGAAACCCGCTGCCAAACAAGCTGGCTCACCATCTTCACTAATGTCCAAGTTTGGGGAGAAACTGGGGGAGGAGAAGATGTTCCCTTTTTTTCCGTCCGGTTATACGTTATTTGTATGTTCTCTGATTGGTTGGTGGTTACGCCGATTTCGGAATCCAGGCCTCTATTATGTGGGGAAATAGGCTTGGTACATACAACATACTCCGTACACCTTAGTTATATAGTTATGTAGGGCTATACAACATCTTCAATGATGCCTCTAATGAATCCTCTACCGGGCTAAATTATGAGGCATGCTCTTATGATTTTCTCTATGACTTCCGTCACATAATAACAGGAAAATATGCCACTTCGAATCTTTGCAATCGCCACAATACTAGTTTCTTGTCGTTCCGTCTCATTTGACAACTTCCAGACCACCAGAGAACATTTGACAATATATGCACTAATCTCAATTCATAGTGAATAATGTGGCTTGTTGTGCCTTTTCTTCGTCATCTATATCCGCCTGATCTCTACTGAATCTTGGAAAAATGGACCAGCCCATTCTTTATCGGCAACGATATGGAAGTCACTCCAGCTGGCAACAAGAAATGCCTGGGAATCGGCCGCGATGGGGTCTTAGGGATAGCCATCAATCTCCATCAAAAGAGCAAGAATATCCTATGGCGACTTTACCAGAATTCCTGGCGGGTCAAATGTCGTTGAATGTGGGAGGATATCCCGCTAGCTCTGTCGATAATCTAGCCTATGAAGGACGAACAATACAACTACCTAGGTACTGGAGCAGGTGAAAATAAAGATAAAAGAAGGGTTAGTCACGTGGAATGTGGATCATTCGATATTTATTAGCCATCTCATAACGTTAAAACTACGGAGTACATACGTGATGCTTACCAGAAACTAAAATTAGATGCCAACCGGAAGGCTGCCGAGATGGTGGCATTGCTTTTTACCAGACGTCGATCTCTGGATCTGCTACGGAGTAAGATGTTTCAAGCCGGAAAACTATCCTGATCTTAATCAACTATGGAGCACGGAGATACTCTAACAGACTGGAGAATTCTCGGTAAATTACGATATATGTTGTAGGCAGCAACTTATTCCATTATGGAGTATCATGGCGATAGTAATCCTATCAAAGACCACCACAGGAACGATCTACAGGGACCAGAGTATATGACCCACCATCTAAGATTATATGGGAACCTCGATATCTGCCAAGACACCTAGCATACACAAAGTACAAAGGCGGCAGTCTTGGTTGTGGAGACTATGGAGCTTGTATATTGTCGTATGTGCCACGAAAGAGATGTCCCATTACTTACCCTTCACAGCGTATTAATCGAGACGCATAAGAGATAGATCACCATGAAGAAAGTCGTCGTTGACAGCCAAGGGTTGTTTACCTGAGCAAGGAACAGCTACACGAGAAAGAGCCTCGGCTATAACTGGAGGAATTCTTTGCACAAACTTGAGCTACTATCCTAATTTGTAACATTTTGAAATAGGACTAAAACTGACAGGGCCGAGATAAAATTCAATGATATGTTCTTTTCCCATTGGGTAGACAGCAACACATAGGTGCAACATGTACAGTCCCCCTATAACAAAGCTATACAGAGCGGAGTACAGTATACAATAAGGGAAAACTGAAAAAAAAAACTGCTCGGATGGAGACATTTAGTACCAAATTCAAGCACAAAATGAAACACAGCTCTCGCCTAATCTCCTGGCAGGATCAACACTATCAGAAGCTTTTTATTTCCATGGCCCGGAATGAAGGCATTCACAGGACTGCGAGTTACATTCATCGCGAAATTTCCGACTGGGTCTTCTGCTGGGTGATTGCTATTTTGCTGGAGACGCGTCAATAATTTCAAAGCCCGTGATGTGTCACCATCCATGTCACCATCCAACCATCTCTGAGACCTTGTCCGTTGCTATTCATTACTGTTATTGTAGTTGAACTTGAAGATTGGTTGATCTGTCAATTTTAATGTCAACTCCCCAAGCGAGCAATTAAATCAGAATACTAAAGTCAACCAGGTCTGGACGTTTTCTTCCGCTAGACGATTTGTTACGTCCTTCGAGATGTCATCCGAACATATGAGGTAGACCATGAATGGTCTGATATAAGGAGTGTATTTAAAAACATCCATCGATATATCCCAAGTGAGTCAGGCCAAGGGTCGGAAGTGCTCCAGCCGCAACCCAAAACGGTAGTTTTTGAAACCGTGTACCGTTGAAATTGTTAGAAATATTGACTTTTTGGCCGACGACCTTTTCAGGTACAGAGCTGTTACAAAATGATGATGTTCTCAAATACATATTCATGTTTTACTTCCTTCCTCGGCTTCAGCTTTATATCAAGAAGAGAACATGGCTACCGACTCTCAGCCGAGCAAAATGCACTCTTCGAAAGAACCCCTAAGCTATGAGAAGACCACGCAAGTTTCCAAGGCTGCGATAATAGCAAGGTTCATCAGCCAACTTGAGAGTGCGCGAAATGACAAGAGCGTGCTATCTATCTTATCAGGCAATGAACTAGGTATTGACGACAAATGCAAAGCGATGGAAGACGTAGGACAAATCCCAGCTATCACTGAAGAGAAAGAAGCTATATTGCTTGAAAATGCACTTCGGCTTCAAGGCTCGCATAGACTTGCTCAATCGGTGTGCTACTATTACAACGCCCGACATACCTCAAAGGACAGAGTGTGGTGCAAGGCACTAATTGAGGCTGATATTGAGATACGCTGGATTGTCCAACGAATGATCTGGGTTCATCAACAGATTCAAATGAAAAGGCCTATGATCTTTGAACAGCACCTCAAAAAGCTGAACCAAGAGTATTGGAGAGCCCATAGGAAACTATGGATCGCAGAAGATGGTATTAACAGTCGATAAGCAACACGAGCATTTGCATTCCAAAGAAAAAAGATCGACTGGTATCTCTCTAAGGAACTAAGCGAAGATTGTGCGGGACAAGGAGGTTGCTGTGGACGGACATGCGGATGTTGCGAAAGACCATGGAAGATTGATGGGCTTCGAACAGAAGGGATGCAAGACCGAGGTCACTGCACTTCAGCGTGCTCATGTTGTCTAAATTCCCACGGCCTCGATGGTAATGATATTGGAGACGAGATCACAGACCTACAAGATCTTCACTTTGATACTACCAACACTCAAGATATCGCGGACCCCCATACCTTGCGTCTGCTCAAGGGTTATGTTTTTTATTTCTAAATGAATACAGACAGCAATAATACTACTAGGGGATTTTGCTTGATATCGGGCATAAATTGCTTTATCCGTGTGAAAGAATCTGGATTCATTAGCCTTACTAGGATACTACTAGGGGATTTTGCTTGATATCGGGCATAAATTGCTTTATCCGTGTGAAAGAATCTGGATTCATTAGCCTTACTAGGATACAACTGGTTTATCCCCTAAATAGGTTCACTATATTCGCTATGTTCGCTATGTTCTATATCTTCTAAATGGTTCTTCGTTCTTTGCTTTCCAAGGTTCATACATTATATATCCAAAGATGGTAAGAGCTCTAGTGAACTAATCCTAAAATACGTAACTGGCCGTCATTCGTTTAAGCTTAGTTTATTCTGTTACACTCTACTTGTTACACTATACTCAGCTTCATCTCTACTACGGGTAAATTCTCTACCATGGGCAACAGCAACAGCAACCCCAATATGAAGCCATCCAAATCTGCAAAGTCCGATAATGACAGGGCCATTGAGCCCTCGTCAAGCAAAATGCAATCCCAACAAACACCACCAACATACGAAGAGAGTACATAGGATGTGATGAAGAAATACGCAAATCAAGTGGAACCCCCGAGGATCTATTGGAACGAACCACTCTTGTCAGACATGAGTATCGATAAAAAAACGAAAGCTCATTCAAAATGCTCCAGATATAGTCTTTATTGACGAGGAAGACCAGACACTAAGAACTCTGAACCTTGAGACTCGGCTAGAAAATGCAAACTGCGACGAGCTTGCTCAAAGGGTAGTCTACCGCTACCATTTACTCAATGCATCATCGGAACGAGGCTGGTGCAAGGAACTGATTAAGCTGGGTATCACCCTACGATGGATTGCCCAGCGTAGAATATGGCTTGAGCAAAAGTCCAAAGCCCCACAGACACATCAAAGACAGTATATGTCACACTAGGATTTATCTAAGCTCGTGGCCTGTGAAAAGCAAATCTAATCCCTCAACTCAAGCTACTGGGAGAGTCATAGGGAACAATGGGCCAAGTCAGACGGAATATGGAGCGCGTCGGCGAACCGAACAATAAAAAGGCAGAGAAAACATGCGGATTGGTATCTCTCGGGTCTGCTTCATGAAGACTGCGCAAATCGAGGGGGATGTTGTGGACGCAAATGTGGATGTTGCGAGAGGCCACGGATGACTGTCAATATAGATGGGATCCGTGATCGAGGCCACTGTACCACAGCATGCAGTTGCTGTCTCAAGGCTCACAATATCGACAGTGAAAATCTGGAGATGAAAGACGTGGATGAAGTTCACCTCACATCTCGTAATCAGCACGCTTGGCGAATACTCAAGGGATATATCTTCTATTTGAATAAGATGGAATGAATATCACACCAGATCAGGACTTTTGCTAGTGCTGGAAATATTGCTTGGTCAACTTGAGTCACGTCCACGGGTGCTTAATGGAGTAATGTTACTGATCGGCTGTTCAAGCAAACCGGGGACTCGGTGCTTGGTATTTGGTGTTCTCTGGGTACTCATTGCTTTGTCTTTGCTTCGCAAAGATTGAAGGTGCAGCTAGAATAACCAACTGTCCCAAGGTTAGCTCTATCAAATGTTTTCTTAGTTGAATGTCACTTGAAACACGAGACAAGAAACAAAGATCTCCTCAAATCATTCGTTAACAGGGAAACTTCATTAAACTCAGAGTAAAACCACCAGAGGACACCGAAGTGCCCTCGTCCCCAAGACAAATGCCAATGCCATACCATAACGCCTATCGTCACATAAAGAAAAAGAAGAGAAAACAAGGTGAAGCTCTGATCATACAATCACAGACCACTGTATGTCAAAGACATTCCATGGCCAATTCTTCATCAACATCGGCGCAAATTCACAAACATCCGTGGAAATAAAACACATGGGTAGAGAAAAAAAAAAGGCATTAGTCTAAGAAACCCATTGCCTTAAGACTCTTCTGCCTCATCAACCACTGCGGCACGGAGTTCCCAAACCAAATCGTAGCATTCAGCTAGCAGGTTATTGACACTGCCCTGGCCTTCCGGGATATCTGGACCGACATAGAATTTCCCGTCGACTCGCATGTTATCAATCGAGTTGAGCTGTTTCGGTCAGCTTTGATACACAAGCAGTGTGGATAGTTACATACCTTCATGCTGTATGGGTACAGTTCGCGCGAATTCGCAACGCCTCCAGACTCTTTAACTTCAATCAAGCACCGGCGGAGAGTTTGAAGTTGGTTATAGACTGGGAGTAGAGCTTCAGATACAGGTTCTGATGAAATCAAAAGCGCATAAATGTATGCATAACTGCGACGAATAAGGTAGAGGAGCGTCTGATTATATGTTAGCCAAATCCACCAAAGAATACCCGAAAGAAAAAGGTGCTTACTCGCTGCGCGTGCAGATCTGCTGGCTGGCCCTCCGCATCGACGAAATTTCCATTAACCCGTGCCTCATCAATTCGGTCAAGCTTTCGCTGGTATACGAAAAGGTCGGTTTCGCGCAGTGACCAAGCTTGTGTTACAGATAAACGATCCAATTGGTTGCGGATTTCCAACAATCGTTCGTATTGTTCTCGGAACCGTTCATCAATTTTGCCCTCTCTGTATTTAAATCAGTCGATGTCCGATCATCCCGTTGGCAGGCTAGAACTTACCGCTCGAGCACAATTTCAGTCCACCGCCAACACCTGTGAATCAAAGACTTGAGGTCGTCCTGCCCTGCAAGAACATTTCCCTCCTCATCCACGAAGTTGCCGTCCTTTGATGTATTTTCAATTTTCTTCAATTGTTCTCGAAGGGCGTTTACTTCCGAAGCCGAGAACTAACAAATCAACCATCAGTTAGTCCTGATCAGATAGATTATACAATTATTCGATGCCATACCTTTGACCGAGTGTTCACAGCTGATGTCGACCGCAAAATTGAAACCAGTGTCTCGTGTGTCTGCGCCAAGGGAGGAGCCAATACGGCAAGACCCTTCTGCAGCTTTGCCAGTGACTGTTCACACTGTTCTAGGCGGCTTTCCAAGAGTGTGAGAAGAGCCGGTGAGTATGTGTTTCGGCCACGCTCAAGAGTTTCCCGTGTAGACTCTAGTGTCTTGGTGATTGAGTTCAAATCCTTCGAGCTGTAGAATCCAGCCTCTTCAAGGTGGTCGAGTAAGCGCTGCAAAGTCGTTAGTGTCTAGAGCGCAAAGCTAACAGCAAGATATCCTAGGAGTAAATACCTGGATAGTAGTCGCCAAGGAGTATCTAGGAAAATGTCAGTCACGGTCATAAGATGGCGGGGTAAAGACATCGTCACTCACACTGCGGGAGCTTCGTTGTTCTTCCCAACTGTCAAAAACAGCAGGGAAATCAACTGGAAACAATCATCCAAGATATAATCCACTATCATCGAGCGTCAGTCACCTCCAAGTCGAGCGCACGATCTACTGAACTCACGGCGATTGTGTATCAAACGGCGACCTTGCTCTTTACGAACCGAATTGAGCTTCTCAACTTCTGCGATCACTTCCTCATAAAGTGGCAGGACGTCGCGGGACTTTACGTACGAGGACTTGTCCCGTTTGATTAGGAGCAGTGCGTCGCGGGTTCGGAGCAGGTTTTCAAGGATGGGCTGCTCCCGCGGATCCAGCGGGACTGGCATGGCGGGGGACTCCATGGTTAGAAAATGCGATAAGTAAACACGTAGGAAAAAGCAAGGTTAAGAACAGGTTGAATAAGAGAAATAGGTTGCTTTGAAGGTAAAGACAAGTACAACTGATCGTATGTTTGAACCCCACCGGGATGTGATGTCAATTAATGAATGGATCGATTGATAGAGAGATCATGCAGATACGACCACATCGCACGGGCCCGCCGCGGTTTACTGGGGGATTATGTCATCTCAATCATTATGTCATCTGGGTCCAGCTCCGTTTGTGGATTAGCGGCAAGTCACGAGGAGTGGAATAGACTAAACCCAATTAGGCCAAGCCCTAAGCGAGGGCTTTTTCCCACACACGGCGCGTTTGCCCTGTTCGGGTGTCTATCATTGGCGTTCTCCTCTCTTCTTCTTTCCCATCCCCAACTCTCTTCAAGACACCCAGTCCGGTCAACACCACCCGTCGACATGTCTACCGCCGAGCTCGCCTGCTCTTACGCCGCCCTCATCCTGGCCGATGACGGTATTGAGATCTCCGTACGTATCCAAAATTCCTTGAAATTGGTGGGATAGTGGAGGCTTGAAGATCACACTTGAAGCTTTATTTATTGTGTGAAATTGAGCCTTCGGAGAAGCACAACAAGCTGCTGCAAAACCACAGATATCAAGCAACGATTATGCGAAAACGTTGACTGACCTTCAATCTTCATTCAGGCCGACAAGATCCAGACTCTCATCTCTGCCGCCAATGTCCAGGAAGTTGAGCCCATCTGGGCCTCCATCTTCGCCCGGGTAAATACCTGATCCCATTCCACAACCCGCGCCAATATCGAAACAACCCGAACATGGCCGCGCGCGACAATTTAAGATTCGATAACTAATTCGATTTTCAACACAGGCCCTCGAGGGTAAGGACATCAAGGAGCTCCTGACCAACGTCGGCTCCGCTGGCCCCGCCTCCGCTGCCCCCGCTGGTGCTGCCGGCGCTGCCGCCCCCGCTGAGGAGAAGGCTGAGGAGAAGGAGGAGGGTAAGTTTTGATATACACCTCGAGTTTGTGAGACACGGTACTAATCCCCACTACAGAGAAGGAGGAGTCCGATGAGGACATGGGCTTCGGTCTCTTCGACTAAGCGTCTTATCTCCATATCGAATTTGAAAACTCGTTTCCTTTTTTCTCTACCCCTCAACCTCTTTTCCTATTGCCGCATAGCGGCTCCCTCGACGATTCTCTATTGTACTCGATACATCACGACCCCCGCTACGACCTAGAACCCGGGGAAGAAAAAAAGAAAATTAGCAAAAGAATTCAAACGGACACGGACATTCAATGATGACTGGGTGCTCGGTATGCCTCCGCGTCATGATGTGGCCGAGGTAGACTCGATCGGATACCGCTGCGATTCCGAAACTATTGTTGCTTCCTGGATTTTAGGGAAATTGAAGAAAGACGTTTGGCACACTTCTTGGTTTGTCCATGATCAAAGTTCTGCTTTGGTCTGGCGAGTAGATGTATGATTCGTTTTCTCGCCCTCCACATGGATCCAGCTAGTTTAGTTTGCTCGGTCCTTGTGTTCCGTCTGTCATGCGACCATGAACCAACAACGAATGCCGTCTGATTCTTATATGGGGTACTTGTTCGTAGGCCAGGTGGCGTAGTGCCGTAGGGCTGATCGTCGGCGTCGGAGCTCTTGCGCATTGGTGTTCTCGATCTCAATGTCATATTCGGTTGAGCGCAGTAGGTCTTCGTGGTTATCGCTCATCAGACTGGAGTCCTCGTCGACGATACAAAACACAACATACATCTATAGACTTTTAAAACAATTAACACCTTGGATCTATGATTGCATCGATAATATCGGTGAGGTGCACTGCTAGTCATTCCAAGGCTGTGTTATCTCGAGCAACACATCCTACTACGTATAATTATATCGACAGTATCGACCATATATGTCGGATTCAGTTACCAGTTCACTATCAAAACAAACGCTATGCTATTCCAAAATTTTCCGATGTCCAGCATCAAACGCATGCAAATCATCCCCCATCCAAAGACTTTTGAGCTTGAAAGCAAAGTTCATATTCGACGGTATATAGACAGAGGCCATTGCTATAGATCAAAGAGCAACTTTCAATATTTAAGAGATCGCGGAGAGACGAGGTTCCTCAACAGCGTAGATCCGGAATTGGAAGAAGATGACTGCATCCTCAACCATAGTTCCCAGCGATCCAATCAACCATGGGAGATTGGTGAGGAAATATTCCTTCTCTGTAGAATGACAAAGAATCTATATCCTCAGTGTTAGCTTGCGTCTAGATTATAGTACAACTTGGAGTATCACTCACCCCTGCACCGTAAGTCAAGTTTCCTAGAAGAGAGAGAATAAAGAACAAGAGTGACAATCCTAGACAAATGTCAACACCGGCCTCATATGCGCATCGAAATTTAGTAAGAGATTACCTTCGCACGACTTTTGGCTGTAGTTTTTGTAGATCTGAGGCAACCTCGCTCTGTAATCAAAGTCAATACCAATTCATCGGCCCTAATGAGATAAGATACTCACCCTAGGTAGCATACGGCACTGAAATACCCCAGCACCAGCCCCCCAATAGCCTCGTCAGAACCATTGTTATTCTCCAACGGCGCCGGCTCCCACATCCCCGTCTGCCAAGCCGTGGTCCAACCAGCCATGCCAATGAGGAAAATCCCAACAACACTAGCAAAATTTTTAACCCACGCCTTACGGCCATAATCATTCTCCTCGACGATCTTGGCCAGAGTATCCTCGACCTCGCTCTCGCGCCGACCACTGGCGTGATAACGGCGCAGTGAGCCCGACGACCGGCGCCGCGACTCGGAAGACGCGAGGGAGTCACTGAATCGCCGCCCCAGCAATGGGGTAGTTGGGTCTGGGGTCTCTGTGGACGAGCGTCGGCGATGGAAAGGCTCGGGACGCGAGTTGCGCACTTTATAGTACACACACTGTGCGATCAGTACACCGTCTGCGATGCAGAAGTATACTGCGATCGCAACGATTACGGGCACGAGCCCGGATAGTAGGCCGCCAGCGAGGTTTGCGACATCACCAATAAACCAGACAAAGACAAAGAGGAGAGATATAGCTTCTGAGTTGCCATTGCGGTAGTTTTCAATGAGTTGGGGCACCTATACCAGTATCGTTAGATATGAATCGTGCCCACTTTGGCTTTCGAGGTGCGAATCCGGTTTATCAAGCTTGTTGAACATACCAAGAGGAAAAACCAGCAGGTCATAGAGACTGAGCCCAGGAGACCAGATGCAGCCTCCCGGGCTGTGAGAGGTATAGGGCCTTGTTCCATGCTTTCCATGTTCTGCGACAAATGTGTGTTGAAGTGAAAGAAAATTGCGCGGGAGATAAGAGACTATGACACAATCTACTTAGTCCCGCTATGTCCAAGCTTTCAAGGGTCCATGCACATACGAAGAGAAAATCTCTTTGAAATATGATAATATGCTACCTATTTATATCTAAGTATGTGTATGTTAAAATATACTGAAGATTTTTTAAACTAAAAACATCCATGTCAATTGACTAGACCTATCAGCGTGGGATGATGCGCAGCAGCCAAGCATTGGAGAATTTCCACAGCCAATGACACACTCCATTATGGTCATGCAAGTCTAAACTACAATATGTGCTACATGTATACTCCGTATACTCCGTACTAGTTAACTACCTACTACGATCGATTTAAATATGCAATCTACATCGGTTATAACTCCTATATAATATAATATTCTTAGTTGAAATGGTCCGAAAGAGGTATGAGAAACATATACTTTGATTCTATATATCTTTCCCGAGACAACGATCCATATCGCCCGGATTAGTTGGAGGGCTCCAGACAGACGATTGAATAATTCTCCTTTTTAACCATGATATATGCTGACTTTGCCAAAAAAAAAAAAGATACCCATATTCTCTGTGTGTGGTTTTTTTAGTTGACCGTAATTGTCTAAATATCCCAGAGCCACGCTATAAATATTGTACATAGAATCATTTAATTACTTTCTATTGTACTCGGACTAATATAGAACTCATGTTCATCATGAAGTTGCATTATTCCCCTTGCATAATCGCGAGTTCGTCCTCGAGCATGCTGACCGCGAAATCTCCAAGAGAGTCCTTGATAGTGCCGTCTAACAATCGTTGGCGGGTTGTTTCCGAGATTGCCGCCATGGCCTCCAAATAATTGGTCAAAGGCGCATAGTCCACAACCACTTCGCTCCAGTTGCCTCTATCGACTCCGTACTGAGAAAGGAAAATACGGAGAGTTTGCAACCCCTCGCGCGTGAGCCACCCTTCAAGGGCTGCCGGATCCCTGAGTGGTGGACGTGAGTGTGGGATATCGAAATGCTCTGTATCCTCGTCCTCATCCTCAAATCCAATTGGATCTTCATCGTCTGATGGTACGTTGGGGGGACGGGCGTCATGGTTGATCTGGCCAAGGAGATCCTGCAGCCAATTTCCGCCACCTCCAGCAGGAGCTGCATATATGGGCGTGGGTTCGGATTGCTGCTTGTAGGCCTCGGATTCGTAGGGGGAAGAGGGTCGGAGGAAGACAATCGACCAGCCACAAAGTGGTTGGGAAGATGGGTTGTCACTTTGGCTATATCGGACAAGACCACATGACGAGCGATGTCCAAAGTGATCTCTGGCGGATCATTAGGCTCTTCGCCAGAGATAGAATCCGCGACTTCCATAATGAGAGAAATAGCCTCGGGGGTATTCCAAAGATCCTTTGCACGGGCGATGTAGAGTTCAGTAAGCAGCTCATGAGCGCCTGTAGGAGGCATCTTGCCCCATATTTGCTTAGGAACGTGCTGGACATCAAGTTCCTGTGCTAACCTGCTGAAAATCCACGGGTAGCGAGCCATGGCGAGATGCAGCTGTCGGCGACATTCTTGGGGCTTGTTCAACCGGAGGTATGCTATTACTAGTGAGCACTGAATATTGGGGAGGTCGGCCCAGTCGCGACTAAAGCGTGTCTGGGTGCAGAGCTGCACGAATTGTGCGTATTCTCTACCTCGGAGCGCGAGGTGGTCAATGAGCAATCTCATGCAGTACGGATCGCTGCTATCCAGACTGAGCAAGAGCTTGGCCCATTCGTAAGCGGTTCTCCATGTACCCTTCATTGCTAGGTTGGAGATGTACCTCCACCCAACAAGCCAGAGCTCTCGGTTCTCCGCGTGTATGAAATCAAGTCTGGCTTCGCCTTCCTTGAGACGATTTGCAAACGAAGAGTGTACCGAGCGTCCGATATTGAACAGAGCTCTTTCCATCAGATCGGCAGACACAGCATGGTCGCCTTGGTGTTTGGCAATCTCCGACACTTGGAGAAGCGTAGAGATATGGTATGGGTTGTATTGGAGGTGTCCAATTAGTCTCTGTGGGTCCATCGATTCAACACAGAGGTCAAACTGTCGTTGTACATCTTGGTAGGCAGTGTTGTGTACTAGACGGTAGAGAGTCTCCCCGGAAGGAAGCTTCTCTACAGTCTCCATGCCTAGCCCTCCACTTGGAGCACGAGGCCACTCGTCTTTACCCTGCATAAGAACATTGCGTCGTAATGTAACTCCAGCCAGACTTTGACCTCGGCTGGCTGGACTGTATCTTCCCGTCAACGCCTGAGCAAGGTCGACCATTTGTCGATTGCGATCTCGACGACGGCCCGTTCCATTATCCGCCGGCTGATCAAAGTTTTCTAGAACAACATTTCCAAACAGTCTGCGCATCTCATTCGTTGCATTGAGAAATTTGGGTTCGATGCCGAGCAATTCACTCGTAGTCTTTGGGAAAGAGACCTCGGGAGTGTGTTTGGTAGATATACCTGTGCTAACTGACGAGTGGCCACCTGTCGACAACTCTTTCAATGCCCGATCGATTTCATCCAGGTCTGCTTCATTTGATTTTGAAGGTGGGGTATTGGCGGGATCGGAGGTTTTGGCTGCCTTCTTCTTTTTTTTCTTGTTGCTCTTTTTGGGCCTTGTTGGGGTTGGTTCAGGCTCTGGTGTTTGTGCGCGGGGTTCCTCCTCAATTTCCTCCTCTTCCTCCTCGTCCTCATTTTCGGTATTCAGTAAATCAAAGGCATTGAATTTCGGTTTCGCGGGGCGCGGGGCTTCGTCTTCGCTTGACTCATCTTGTTGGTCGGATTCTCGCTGCTGTTCTTGCTCACGCAGCTTCTGCAGCTTTCGGATTGCTCGAGAAGACATCCTATGCACTGAGGCAAAAGCCTTTGAACGTGTGGAATAAAAGCTGCCTGCGAAAGTGGGAGCAAAAGAAGAATGCTCCGAAACAAAACCGCGGGGAATGACGACAGAGACTAATATGGATTAGCGCCCTTTTGGATAACATTTACACGTGACTTTCATCTTGAGGAGACCGAGCTCCTTGACAAGCTTGACACCTCATCTACATACAATCTCGGAGTTATTATCTGCTTTGCGTAAGGCACAGAAGTTTATAAGCCATCATATTTACTGCTGGATCAATGCGTTGGGCGACTGCTCAGGCCTGCCGTACTGCTCGGCGTGCACCAGTATGGAACATTGCCGCTAAACGGCCGTGCCCTTTGACTTTCAACCAGCTGCGAGGTATTCGGCCTTATTCTGGCGGCAGACGATCATCCCACACTCCGGTAGCTCCTCAATCATCTATGCATCGCCGTAACCTCTCCCTCGCCGTTATCTCGACCGTCGTTGCCTCCGGGGCATGGTATACCTATCAGGGTGATACCGTTAAATCGGCAGCAACCCAGATCCGGGGTTTCGCATCGAGTGCCCTCAACTCCGCTTACGCAGAAGGACCCGCCGAGTCTACGCGACGTGCACTGCTGGTCAGCGGCGATCAATTCTACACCGCGACGCTCTCCGGAGACCAGCCTCTTGCCAAGCATACAGACGATTCAGATCGCCAAGTCCTCGAGATGTTGACTCCCGAGCAGGCAACCCAAAAGCTTCGGAAGAACGAGGAGTCATATTTGGTCAATCGGGGCAAAGGTGTTGTTCGTTACGATGTTGTTCAGGTTCCCAGCAACTCCCCCATTGAGGACGACCATGCGGAGAAGATAGTGGAGATTCCAGCGTCCGTGGCTGCTGTCAGCAATGGCGAGCCGAGCAGTGACTGGATGTTCTGGGGAGTTTTCGACGGTCACTCGTACGTTATTTAAAGGTTGGATACTTATAATGCAAGTACTAACTAGAAATTAGGGGCTGGACCACATCTGCGAAATTGCGCAATGTTTTGATCTCATATGTGGCCCGTGAATTGAACACAACTTATAAGGCTGCTTCTGCCGATCCATCTCTCCTTGTGCCAACATCCGAGGCTATCGATGCCGCTATTAAGAAGGGGTTTGTCCGCCTTGACAATGACATCGTACATGAGAGCTTCAAGGAAGTCCTGAAGTCTAAATCACGACGGGTTGCCGCCGAGCTTCTTGCTCCTGCTCTGTCGGGATCATGTGCTCTTCTCAGCTTCTATGACTCCCAGTCCAAAGACCTCAAGGTTGCTGTTACCGGAGACTCTCGCGCAGTTCTGGGCCGTCGCGGCCCTAGCGGCAAATGGACTGCTACTGCTCTTTCCGAGGACCAGACTGGTGGTACCCCATCTGAAATGAAACGTTTGCGTGAGGAGCACCCCGGCGAGCCATATGTGACCAAGAATGGCCGAATTCTCGGCCAGCTTGAACCCAGCCGCGCTTTCGGTGATGCCTTCTACAAGTGGAGCCGGGATGTCCAAGATACGATAAAAGCGAAGTTCTTTGGGCGCACTCCTCATCCTATGTTGAAAACGCCCCCATATGTCACCGCCGAGCCTATCATTACTACCACCAAGATCGATCCCTCCAAGGGCGACTTTGTCGTCATGGCTACCGATGGTTTGTGGGAGATGCTGAGCAATGAAGAAGTTGTCGGCCTGGTTGGTCAATGGGTTGAGCAACAGCAATCTGCTGCTGCAGGCACGGGTAGCAAGGCTTGGCTACAGAGCTGGTTCGGGTTCGATGGTCAGAAGAAACTGCCCGTGGAAACCGCAACCGACGGATCGGCCGAGGGCCAACGGCGTCCCATCCGCCAGCAGCAATATGATATAGCTGGCGCGGCTACTCGATTTGTCGTCGAGGACAAGAACGCAGCAACGCATCTTGTGCGGAACGCAATGGGCGGAAAGGATAAGGATATGGTGTGTGCGCTGTTGACACTACCCAGTCCTTACTCTCGCCGATACCGGTATGGATATCCTTTTCATGACATTAATTTTTAGCGGTTTGGCTAATTTTTCTTAGTGACGATGTTACCGTTGAGGTCATCTTCTTTGGCCAGGGCCCTGATTCGCGCACTGTGGAAGTCAACCAGGAAGCGAGTGCCTCAGAGCAGCCTCCGAAGTCGAAGCTTTAGGCGTCCGTTTTGTTTTTATCTTTTATTCGTGACATTTCCAAAGCATTTTGAAGGGTGGCGGGCTTTTTTTGATACGTTTTGCAATCTACTTTCTCCGGTGGGTCCTCGCTCCTGGGTATATGTCAAGGCAAAGACAAGATACTAGGGATATGTAGATTCTCTAATCTTACAAATTATCTACAATGTCCCTGGTTATACGTAGAAAAATTGTCTCTGTGTTTTAAGCCTTTTACCTCCAAGGTTCGTACTCCGTATTGTAAACAGTAGAGTGATAAACGCAGCATGTTCACTGTACTATTATTCCCATTCCTGGCTGTATTTCTGTAGCTACTAATTGTGGTTTTACATACAACATCTTTCATATTATGCTGAGCCACCTGGGCACATGAGTCAGATTATTAAAGTTGCACGTCGTCAAGGATAGAGGCCGCATACGCGGCCGACTATTCTTGTGAGTGAGAAGTAAAAAAAATATTGTACATGAATGCGGATGGGCAAAGGCAGCAATGCTATATGATGGGCCTCGAAACTAGTCGAGTATCCTAGATTGCCATTTCGCAGGGGGGGTTGGACCAAATTATGAACGTTGACGCGCAACCCCAGAGTTCAATCTGCACTGATCCTATCCGAGCCGGCTCAGAAGGTTTATACCAGTTGCCTAGAGGGCATGGATTGAATCAGATCTGAATGAGCTTGCTGTCAAAATTCGGTGTGAATGTGGCCTCCATCATGATGAACCTCTGAAATTCATTGAGAGCCGGCGCGTGGATAGATCGCACCTCTATAATGGAGTATGGCTGAGCAAGCCATCTTCGATGCATGGCATAAGGAAGAACCCATCTCATTCTAGATGAAACGTTTCCCGCCGATGGAATCAGCGCAAGTTTTTCAATTGGAAAGGGTCATTATCACCCGGCTTCTCGAAAGCGATGGATCTTTCTTTGAAAAGGTTGAATGTCACCGGTGAAAACAACTTATTGTCCAGTATCCATGTTTGCAGCGTAGCAAGATTGGTACTGGTAATCCAGTAGAGCATAAGCGCAGCTGGCATCTCTTGAACAAAGCTTGCGAAGCCAATATAGCATGTTAAAACTATGACAAAGGCCCGCAAACCAGTGAAAGAGACCTGCTTGTACATCTCGGTCTTAGGAAGGAGTGAGATCTCCTTCCAAGGTCGGACTTTCCATCCCATTAGAACGTTCCCCAGGATCGACGCAGTCAGGAAAACTGGCAGCACGCCTGTTGGGTCACCGGCCAGCAAATCCGGGAACCAGAGAGCGCCCTCGTTTGCAAGAGTGGGCTCAATGGTTAAATGCAGAGAGTTGGCTGCGGAGGCAGGGTCTTGCGACGACTCGATGAGCGATGACAGCCAGGCAATGATTCCCTTATTGTTGCCGCTCATCCCGCGTAGACTCTCCATGAGCGCAATGAAAACAGGTATCTGCAGGAAGCTAATTGCTTTGTGCTTGCCGGATACTCCCCAACGCTTGTGAAGCTCAGCTGTTCGTTTTCTTATATCAAGCATGGCATTTTTCCTTGCTTCAGCACGTGTTACATTCTTGAGACCCGTAATATCTCTGCGCTGACTTGAATGTATCTCTGAATATCTCTTTACCCAAGCGCTTAGAATCGGCGATATTTTTTTTTCGCGATGGCGATGGAGTCGAGAGTATAACATGATGGGCAACCCAACAAATGTACGAACAAGGACGGCCGTTAAAGGAATTGAGGCAACCCATGGTAAACATGAAACAGTGTGGACGCCATGAATAAATGCAGTAGAGCCGTCTAGTGCAAGGTCGAGGATGGTGGATGAGGTTGGTCTTGTTGGGTGGAAGTGTCGAACTTGCGAACGAGGCAATTGTACGACTTGCCGCGTTAAATGCAGAGCCTGTGCCGAGCGGAGGGCATACATTAATGCTGCCGGGGTGAGGGATGAGATAAATAATAAAAGATAGCTAGAAAACCTGAAGCTATAAAGGCCGCGGAACGGAAATCGGATATTTGGAGATTCATCATGTGACACGTATGAGGTTACTTCATTGGCCCGACTGATCAACTTGTTGACAGCAAGAGAGGGGGACCATTTTCTGACCTGTTCTCTAGTTTGACTTAAAATTCTCTTACTATGTGTGATTTCTGATGAGGTCTCTTTAAATATTGCCTTTTCACCATGGCCCTCCTATCAAACGCCATTCTGGCCATTCTGGTCCTCACCGCCACGGCGATCCTGCTTCCGAAGCTAACAGGCGTTCTTCTTGGTCTAGTCTTTCGGGGAGTGGGTTGGCTGATATGGCGACGAACGCGGTCTCGCCGTGAATATGTGATCGCGCGGGCGCGATCTGAAGAGGAGGAGTTACGCGCCTCACGGCCGAAGGGTTCAACAGCTTCATTACCGCGGAACGGTGCCGATGATGAGGACTGGGAGAAGGTGGATAGCTCAGGCGCAGGCGGGGCACAGACTGCAACTGGCAGTGAAAACAGTGGCAGTATTGGCGACGAAAATAACCAGAGTCCAGAGGACTGGGATGGGATTATTGGGTTCTTCCACCCATTCTGGTATGACATTCTCTATACATATCAAAATACACATCGCTGACTAGTTGCTACAGCAATGCAGGCGGTGGCGGCGAACGAGTCTTGTGGGAAGCCATACGTGCAACACAGAAACGCTGGCCGAAGGCAATCTGCGCTATCTACACGGGGGACCATGAAGTCAATAAAGCCACGATGCTGGAGAAAGTGGAGAGCCGGTTCAACATTCACCTACATGCACCAACAGTGGTGCTTCTATACTTGACGACCCGCAAGTATGTTGTTAGTAGCTCATACCCTTACATGACGCTCCTGGGGCAGTCGCTGGGGTCACTGGTTGTTGCCTACGATGCTTTCACGCTGCTTGTACCAGATGTTTTTGTTGACACCATGGGCTATGCCTTCACACTTGCTCTGTGCAAATGGTTTTTCCCGACAGTGCCTGTTGGCGCCTATGTTCATTACCCAACCATATCAACCGACATGCTGGCCTCTCTTGACGATAAAAGTGGGGTGCAAGGTATCAATTCCGGCGCAGGGAAGGGGTGGAAAGGGAAAGCTAAGCGTCAGTACTGGGAGATATTTGCCAAGCTGTATAGCTGGGTCGGTCGCCAGATCGATGTAGTTATGTGCAACTCGTCCTGGACAGCAGCGCACATCCGCACTCTCTGGGGCACCGGCAAGAAAAGCAGCAACACCAGCGGTGACGGGACTGCATCATCTCCAGCGGTGGTGTTCCCTCCAACAGCAGTCACAGAACTACAATCAAGTATTGCAGTTGACGCGGAGAGCGAGAAGACTCGCCAGCCTGTTCTACTTTACATCGCCCAATTCCGGCCAGAAAAGAACCACCCACTAGTATTGCGCTCGTTTGCGCGATTCCTACAAGAACGAACCAACAACCCAGCCTATGAAGGCCAACCCGCTCCACGTCTTGTGCTCATTGGATCCGTTCGCCATTCCAGCCCTGATGAAACCCACATCTACAACCTGCGCCTCTTGGCGCATGAACTCCGCATCCGCGACCATACCACCTTCTTGTGCGATGCCAGCTGGCCTGTTATGCTATCCCATCTCCGCACCGCCTCGGTTGGCGTCAATGCCATGTGGAACGAGCACTTCGGTATTTGCGTCGTGGAGTACCAAGCCGCGGGTCTCATCTGTGTGACACACGACTCGGGCGGTCCACGTGAAGATATTGTTATTGATTTGGGCGATGGTGCAACTGGATTCCGTGCTGAGACAGAAGAGCAGTTTGCTGCTTCTTTCGAGGTGGCCCTCGCTCTTCCAGAGGCAGAAAAACTTGCCATGCGGCAGCGGGCTCGTCGCTCAGCCCAACGGTTTACCGAGGAGGAGTTCTCCCGCAAGTGGCTGGATCAAGTACAAAAGCTTGTCAAGGCGTCAAAGGTTTAACTTCGTGATATCCCCCTGGAAATAGATCTAGTTTAGTGGTTCACTCAAATAAGAAGTCAATTCTATGATAAAAACCCTTAATTCGTAATAATCGTAAGCTAGAAATAGAAGATGTGGCTAGGCCTAAGACTCGTGCATAAGAACAGACATCGCAACTAGGGCAACTCAAGCCTTCTAACCAGAAAGTGAGACCTCGGGGGTCTGCAATACAATGGATGACAATGCGAACACCCTGAACTCCCCAGCTTTAATCGCTATCACTGGCCTCTCCACCATCCGAGTCAGCTCCATTGCTGGTGTTTTGGATACCTTCAGCCATGATATACTCGGTTTGCTGAAGGGTCTTCTTAATCTCATTATTGTTGAAGACCAGCTCAGCAGGTTTCTGTCCATGCTTATTCCGCACTCGAGGATCACAACCAGCCTCGCACATCATCTTGATCATAGCTTCACCCAACTCTGCGTCTTTATCATTGGCGTACCGCACTGCGATGTGCAAAGGCGTATCCTTGTCCAGCCGGGTCAACGGGTCACACTCGAAGAATTGGATATCAAACAGAGCATCCATGGTATCATCTAACGAAAATAAAATAGTTAGCTTCCATGAAACATTGGCATTAAAGAAGTGGCACAGTAGACACGTACAGCTGCCGTACTGGGCACAGATGTGCAATGCGTGGTTTCCCATAGAGTCTGTCAACTCGTTGAAGAAGTGTGCCACTTGCTCGTTTGTCTTGTCTTCCATTTCGTTCAGTACTTGTTCAATTAGGTGGGGTTGGTCCCGGCGGCAGGCCTCCACGACCAGCTCGCGGGGTGATGCGCCCTAAATCATAGCGGCATTAGCATTGATACTTAACAAGGGGCCTGGAAGCAGTATTCACCTCGTCAGCCATCTCTGTATATGGGTTCACAGAGTCCGGGTTACCCGAGAGTGAAGTCGGTAGTACAGGGATTGGTGCTCAGCGGTAATGGAACGCGTGGAGCTAGTTGTACCAAGAGTCAGGCGTTTTGTATGGGTATTTTGTTGCGTAGGATAGTTTTCCACAAGGAAACAAAGTGTAATATGTATGTACAAGCTGGATAGGTTAAACAGGCATCCAAGTTCCTGGGAAATACTACAGGTTATCGGAGTTGTTTCCCCAGGGACATCCCATACGCGGGTCTCCGGATATACAATTCTCCGAATCCCGTTTGAATTTAGCCGCGCGCCTAGATCTCTTATCGACGGTGATGTTCTGCAGCTGACGGCGACTACATTGTACAGCTGCCAACAACCTAACTTTATCCTGGACTAGCTGTCTATCACTTTCTTCGCCTTACCGACTGCATCCTCTAGCCAGATTATCAAGATGCTAGTCTGTATGTGCTATTTATGAGTTGATGGTGTCTAGCGGTAATCCAGAACAGAAACTGACTGCTCTCTCTCTCTCTCTCTAGTCTGCCCCAATTGCAGTAATGCGCTCACCATTTCCAAAGCAGAATCGAGCACAAGATTCCCTGCAGGTGTGAACCGCTTTGAATGCCGCGTCTGCCCCTACGAAGCTCCGCTGGAAAAGAACTATTTCGAGAAGAAAGATATGAAGCAAAAGGAAGTGGACGATGTCTTTGGTGGCAAGGAGGAATTTGCCAATGCTGATAGTGTCGCCAGTAAGTTCTTTTTGCTATCTTCTCTCAGAGAAGTGACATGTCCGTCGAGATATACAGAGCTAACATACTCTCTTTTTTCCCCTTACAGCTCAATGCCCCGCCGAAAGCTGCAATGGGGAACGTGCGTACTTCTTCCAGCTGCAGATTCGCAGTGCAGATGAACCGATGACTACATTCTTGAAGGTATGTCTCCCTCCTTACGTCTAACGTGAGGTACCCGTGTCTGACAGCTCCAGTGTACCTCGTGCGGTGCTCGGTGGCGAGAAAATTAGGATTGGGCGACAAGGCTGGAAACAAGTCATTCGCATTGCTTTTTGCTTTTATTTTTTAAGTTTTATTACAGCGAGGTGCAAATGGCGCATTTACCAAGTGTTTTAGGGGGGCGTATGTAACTCCAAACTATCAAGTTGATACAACGATACCCAAATTTAAATTGATCGACGTCACAGTCCAACGCACAGATTATTTTACGATCAGCGGAAAGTTTTTAGCTGGATCTAGCTTTTTTATGCAATTTTATTTCCTTTCTTTTTTTTATTGTGGCTTCAAATTTTGCGCTTTTTAACTATAAATATAATTGGTCTAGTACAGATGTAGAGCCCGACATTGATTTCTGCCTGAGATACGGAGTATACCAAATAAGAATCTGATCAAGACCGAAAAAGATTTTCCATGCATGACATTGTTGGTGGGATGAGTTGGCGGTGAGAGTGTTGCCCCTCATCCGCGGGGTTCTAAAAGACAAAGAGGGAAAAAAAAGTGAAAATTTGGTTCAAGACATCCAATATCGCCACGGTAATCCATACAAGGCCAACAGAATGCGGAAAATCCACAAAGTAAACAATGCAAACTACCAGTTTTTTCACCCAACCACTCTGCGTTGCTGCCCAGTTCAAGCGTTTAGAGCCACCGAGTGGGCTGGGACGGAGCCGATGAAAAAAAAATTCGCACGGAGTGGAGTGTCATGGCAGGACATAACCAGGGAAACGGAGGGGTGTTCCAAGCATAGAAGTATACAGTACTTTCGAAAGTATGGATGGCCACATATTGTAGCAAGTACATTTACATCAGCCCACCAACCCACTTTGCAAAATCTGCGTACACGGGTAAGGGTTAGAGCCAATCAAGAGCCCTAACCGAAGAGGGCTTGGCCCCACCTGCTGACTCGCCTCTCTCGCTTGCCCCTCCATATAAGGATTTCCCCTCCTCCCCTCTCCCACAGACTTTTCTTTCTTCCTCTTGTCTGCTACAGTGAGTATTTCCTACCCTCCCTACTGCTTTTCAGCTTTCCCTCTTCCAACTACTCTTACTGATTGCTTTTGCTCAGTACCTCTACGCGTTCTGCCGTAGTCTCTGAGCAATTTTTCTACAGATTTTTTCTAGTATCTTACAAAGAACTACAAAAAGTTCCAACCGTCATCATGGGGTATGTGACTTATCGCTTGCTTTTCAGAAGATATGAAACTAACTTAACCCAACAGTAAAGAAGAGCGTAGCCACATCAACATCGTCGTTATCGGCCACGTCGATTCCGGCAAGTCCACCACCACTGGTCACATGATCTACAAGTGTGGTGGTATTGACCAGCGTACCATCGAGAAGTTCGAGAAGGAGGCTGCTGAGCTCGGAAAGGGTTCTTTCAAGTACGCCTGGGTTCTTGACAAACTCAAGGCTGAGCGTGAGCGTGGTATCACCATCGATATCGCTCTCTGGAAGTTCCAGACCGCCAAGTATGAGGTCACCGTCATCGGTAAGAGACTTTCCCAGTTGTTATCTCGGTTGAACACATGCTAATATATCTCATTACAGATGCCCCCGGTCACCGTGATTTCATCAAGAACATGATCACTGGTACCTCCCAGGCCGATTGCGCTATTCTCATCATCGCCTCCGGCACTGGTGAGTTCGAGGCTGGTATCTCCAAGGATGGCCAGACCCGTGAGCACGCTCTGCTTGCCTTCACCCTCGGTGTTAAGCAGCTCATCGTTGCCCTCAACAAGATGGACACCTGCAAGTGGTCCGAGGACCGTTACAACGAGATTGTCAAGGAGACCTCCTCCTTCATCAAGAAGGTCGGCTACAACCCCAAGTCCGTTCCCTTCGTCCCCATCTCCGGCTTCAACGGCGACAACATGCTTGAGGCCTCCACCAACTGCCCCTGGTACAAGGGTTGGGAGAAGGAGACCAAGGCTGGCAAGTCCACCGGAAAGACCCTCCTCGAGGCCATTGACGCCATCGAGCCCCCCCGTCCGTCCCTCCAACAAGCCCCTCCGTCTTCCCCTCCAGGATGTGTACAAGATCTCCGGTATTGGCACAGTTCCCGTCGGTCGTGTCGAGACTGGTATCATTACCCCCGGCATGATCGTCACCTTCGCCCCCGCCAACGTCACCACTGAAGTCAAGTCCGTTGAGATGCACCACCAGCAGCTCAAGGCCGGTAACCCCGGTGACAACGTCGGTTTCAACGTCAAGAACGTTTCCGTCAAGGAGGTTCGCCGCGGTAACGTCGCTTCCGACTCCAAGAACGACCCCGCTGCCGCCTGTGACTCCTTCAACGCTCAGGTCATTGTCCTGAACCACCCCGGTCAGGTCGGCGCTGGATACGCTCCCGTCCTCGATTGCCACACTGCCCACATTGCTTGCAAGTTCTCCGAGCTCCTCGAGAAGATCGATCGCCGTACCGGTAAGGCCACCGAGACCTCCCCCAAGTTCATCAAGTCCGGTGATGCCGCTATCGTCAAGATGGTTCCCTCCAAGCCCATGTGTGTTGAGGCCTTCACCGACTACCCCCCTCTCGGTCGTTTCGCCGTCCGTGACATGCGCCAGACCGTTGCCGTCGGTGTCATCAAGTCCGTTGAGAAGAACGCTGGTGGCGCTGGTAAGGTTACCAAGGCCGCTGCCAAGGCTGGTAAGAAATAAATGATTCTCGGATGATGTTCATTATGCCGTGATGATTTTTTCTTTTCAAAAACAGTTACTGGTTCTCAAGGTAGATTTGCTGTGTAGTTTCTCAAAATGACTACCCACATTTTTATGACTCAATTCCTCTTTTCTCGTGTAAACTTGTATCAACTGTAGAGACCAATCTGTGTAGACAATAATCTGTAAAATAGTTGGTCACTTTTTTGACGGCGTAGTTGTCCCACCATCGGTTACTTTCGAGATGATCTCGAGTTCTGTGCGGGGTGTCTTTGAGGCCAGCAACGCCCGAGTCCTATGATAGACATCCATCCATCCACTTCCAGGGCTCTGTCAAGACTGTATCCAATATTCGTTTCAAATTATCTTTCCTTTGTTATACCCATATCTTATTACCTGACTTGAGCGCATTATTCCAATCTCTGTAGGCCCATTATACATATCAAACGATATCAAGTAAGGACTAGCATCATTCAACCTGAAACCCAACTACATCTCAATTCAATCCTAGTTATCATTGGATATATAAGAATACTTCAGACCGGTCTTTAAAGAAGCAAGCCCGATTATTGATTGCTTACCTCGAGATATCTGATCTGCCCGAAACATATATTTTGTTATTTGTGTGTATGTATATTTTCTGGTCCCTCACTTTGAGTTCAGTGTATGAGCCTCTATGTGCAAAATACTTTAGTAATAATAGCTCAAATGGGTCTTTATCTTTTATTCATTGGGGCTTCTTTTTGTTAAACTATATACATGTATACTATAGCTAGTCTCAATTTACATAGATGTGATCGTAGAGGGTTTGTCGGATGAAAAGTAGAACGAAGAGTCTTGCCATAGTGGATCGATGCACAAGAGAGATAATTGCTTTGAACTTAGCCCCTATAGTCTTCTAAATGTATAAGGTTCTTTTCAAAGAACGAAGCGAAGTTTTTTCGTCTACGAATGACGAACCCATAGAAATTGATTTTCTGGTATCTTTCATGTTCGTCCATGGATGACCTATACCTATCCGACTTGGTTAAAAGCATTATATTTTCTTTTTTTGCTGAATACCAGCCACAAACCGGCTTACTAGCCATGCATTTAAACCTCGATCTTTCTCTGCCTATCTACTCCCCAGAGCTTGGAGATGTCGGCAATAAATGTTTGGCGATGAAGAATGTGCTCGAAGCAAGAAAGAATTTGCGATTAGCCATGAGCCCTGCTCGTGACAGCCTGTCGACTTGGTCAAATCAAATTAAAGCCAAGTCGCTGATCCACAGCATGGGGATGTAAGCTTGAAAGTTACTACATAGCTACCGGAGTCTCCTATAGATTGAAGATGAAAATGCGAATATTGGCCAAAGGTATGTAGATGACCTATCGTAATTTGGGTATCAAGTTGTAGATACTTACATGTAGTATGTATCCCTACCAACGTTATCATAGCGTGTCGATCAAAGCTGTATTAATCACTCTTCCTCGTTCTCTTCAGAACCAGAGTCTTCCCCTTCCTCCTCCTCTTCCTGGGTAGGACTACGCCTCGAAGACCGTCGAGGCTCCGAGCTCCGCGGCGCCTCATGTCCCTCTCCGTTCCCATCAACATCGTTAGCACCATCCAATTCACCAGCTCGTACGGGAACCGGGTCAACCCCAAGACTCCTCCCTAGCCTCCCCTCGAAGTCCTCGAGGTCTTCTCTCTGCAGCTGAGTCAAGCCCGCATGGTCACCCCCGTTTTTTCCGTAGACAGTTCGCACCAGACCCGCCACACCACTCGTTCCAACCTCAATTTTGCCTCGCGGTCCAAGGACATACTCAACCACCTCCTCGCCCCCATCCATTTCCCGCGTCTTTATAATGTACCCTTCCTTACATAGCCGCTGTAGCAGCTTGTCGGTACGATCCACCGGCGTAGCGACCTCGGCATTTGTGCGCGCCAGGTATCGGTCAAGTTTCTGTTCAGCCAGAGAACCGCCATTCAGCACAATTACCGCGATGATGAAGCTGTACAGGCCCGTGTATGTGCTTTCAGTGTAGAGGGAGGGTGCTTTAGTAGGAATGAGGATATCGGAGGAACGGTACGGGAGCGGCAAGGTGCTAGTAACGATCCAGGACTTGTTAGCCGAGGAAGGTTTCTCGATTTTTTGTGCAGCTGTGGTACGGGATGTCAGTAGTGGTTACTTAAGACGTAGCGTGGGTTTGCAACAAAGAAAAGCGAGACAGAATCGAACTCACCGCGTCGTTGGGTAATGGTGACTTTCTCTCGCGCTGGTAACTCGGTCATCTCCATACCAAAGCGCTGTCTCAATTCCCGCTGCGCTTGATCGAAGACTAGCTTGAACTGCCGCGAGCCCTGCTCGCCCAGTACTTTGGCGCTGATGTCGTTGCGCCGGATCGGGAGTCGTGAGTACTCGCTTGCTATGGCGAATCGTACCATTTTTTTCACCATTGCGTCGGTGCTGGTTGGTGCGCTTGGTCCATCATCGTCGCTGTCTGGTGCGGATGAGTCGGATTCTTCGCTTTGTCTTCTGCGCCGACGAGCGTCTGGGGTTGACTCGGTCTCGGATGCTGCGTTGCTCTGGGGATGGAGGTTAGTTGATGAATTAACTATTTGGATGTGAGTTTTCATACCCGTCTCTTGCGATTTGATTGCATTTTGATTATGTAGGTATGGTGATGGGTTGCAGGTAGATTTGGAGAGACGCGACGCGATAGAACGATTTTACCCCATCGGGGTTGGTCCGTGCAAAGGCCCTTATCAATGGTCCTTTGTTTCAGCAAATGCGTTTTGAACGACACTTTTCTTATTTGAGGAGTTCAAAGACTGTCTTTGGTGATTTATTAAAGAAAGAATATGCTTTACAACATCTACATCGATACGGAACAGAGTATTATGTGCTTTTGAGGTACTTTGTAGAACATACATCGATAAACCTGGGAAAGCGAACTAAATACAACGAGGGTAAAGCACCACACACGCACAACAGCGATAAGGTATTATTTTCTCTAAAAGGAAAAGAACGACAAAAGAACGACAAAAAAGAACGCTCCAAAAGGTCAAAGAGATCTAAAATCAGTGGCTGTTCTTCTCATTGACAGCCTCCTTGGCTTCCTCCTTCTTGCTCTGGAGGAAAGCGCTAACCCAAGCCAGCGATTCCTGCGACAGAACTAAGCTGGTAGTGACAACAGCCTTGCCCGAAGCGAGTACACCATCTCCACCACACTTTTTGTACTCAGAGCCATAGATATCGGTGACATGGTGCTTGACATCACCGACGACGCGGACAGGTAGCGAGGCGTTGTTGTAGATGGTGCCGCGCAGCTTCTGGGTGTCCTCCTTGAAGATAGGGAAGCGGGTGTCGATCTGGGTGAGACCCTTATCACCGAGGGAGTCGGCGCGGGCTAGGTAGGGAGCGACATAGCTGTAGGGAGTGGAGAAGTAGGGTAGGACGGGTTTAGCGAGACGAGTGTAGCCCTGGTCGGCGAATTCGAGGGACTTGGCTCCGTAAGGGTTACCCTTGTAGTAGGAGATAGAGTCGGAGATGATGGGATAGGAAATCAAATGCTAGATTTGGGAATGTTTAGTTAGTATGGGCTGATCTTGGCTCTAGTTCTGCGTTTCGGTGTTGGGTTGGAGTGGCGGGGGGTATGTATACTTACGTCAAGGAACTGAGAGTAGTGCTTCTCGCCGTTGACAACCGGTTCACCCATTTTTTCTTCTGCGTGGGGCATAAAGATAGTAAACTGAGTAGATTATTGTAGAAAAAGAATCCAGATGAAAAAAAAAGAAGAGAGAGAGAGGAATAAATTGGGTTGTATAGGAAAAAAGGATTTTCACATGTGATTGCGCTGTCATTATGCAATGGGTCCTACCGCAATCGCATCATTTAATACATCGTATTCTCTGGTTATTTGGGTTATTGGGGTTATTTTAGGTGGTTATTTTAATTCTGTTTGCATAATTCTTCTCTTTTTCTTCTCTGGTTTTTTCTTTTAGGGAAAAGAAGGGTTCAATAGCCTTCGATTCCAAGTGATGCCCCCACGCCAATGCGCCATTGACTTTGGTATGCACTCCAAACTGTCAGCAATTGAGTCCATATGGCTAATTATAACTATTAGGTATTATATATATATATATTCTTTTCCCATACCAAATATACTTGTTTTAGTTGTCCAAATCATGAAATCCATACATGTGCCCATAACTACATAACTAAATTTTTGATAAGAGCTACTTTGGCATGTGATTGCGGGTCTGATGCAAAAACGCCGTGTGGTTCCACTTGAGGATGATCTCTATCAACGATCTATTCTCTCTCTCTTAGACAGCTTTTCTTATTACATTCCAACGGGTTCTTCCCAAAAAGTTCAATATCACCCCCAGAATATCGATTTGACCCCAAATGAGGGGGTGACTTCACGAGTCAAACCTTGTTTTTCACCCGTTCCACCGTTTTCCGTTGGACGAAACTGCTTATCTGCACCCTATAACAAAACCGCCCAGACGGTGGCCGCAGATGGCCGATCGGGGCCAACCTGCCAGAATATGATGGCTTCGGCTTCTAGGTTATGTGAGCCTAGCCCGTCTGCACATTATACTCATGTACCCACCCATTGGCCTGAGCGTCAAGTCCCATCTGCCCCTTGTATGTACACTCTCGGAAGTACGTAATGACTTCCGGTCCAAATGTACTAGGAGGGGCAGGATTGTGCAAGGTCCTGGCCGGATTGGAGATCGTTCTTCCGGCTCCGGGTCGGTGAAGTGATTCGTCGCGGATTCGTCCGAATCTCGGCGCTTGATGTGACCCTATGAAACGGTTGCGTTTGATAGGAATATAGTACTATGGTCATACTAGATTTTTTAGTCTAAGTGATTTATGTGAGGCATAGAATGTACCTTGGTACGGAATACTTCATACATATTCAGACCCTCGTGTTCCCATTGCTGAAGGAATGTAGACATGATATGTATTCGGTACGACTAACAGGGTAAGCCGGGAGGTGGCCAGCTTTCCCCAACACTGTGGTTGAAGATGTTGACTGGACCAAATATGTCATGAGCATTGAGATTTGAAGCTAGAGGGGGTGAGTCCCTTTTTTTTTTTTCTTTCTCAAACCCCCTGCTGTTTTCCTTTTCCCCTTTACAGAGATGACCGGATTCCGGCGATCGACTGGCAACCCACTCGATTAAGCTACTATGCAGATCCCTGTACATCGTGGGTCTTGACCACGGTTGTCTCAACATCTACTCCGTAGAAAGCACCCCGTACAAACATTGCTATGCTTCTGCTGTCCCTAAATTTTTATAATACCAGTCCAAAAATTATATTGAATTCGACCTATCGCCGCTTTTGGAGCCATTGGGATATTGTGCAGTGGAAAATCAATCCCTTCTCGATCCAGACGGCAAACGCGCCACTTCCTTTTTACTTTTGACATACGGAGTACAGTCATGTTTAGAAATCTAAATACCGCAATATTACATCTGCGGGTGGCGGTTAAGATGAAGGTGGGATCTCGGTTATAGCCTTCTGAACATCTAGCGTCGCGGAGGCCCGTGACCCGCTGCTAGCTGAGCGCGAAGATATCCATTTCACATGCGAAACTGAGGTGTCATTTAGTGCTGTCTCAATATCAGGGATTCAATTGTGTTGCCTTGAGATCAATTGGTTGACTGAGGTGATGGTCACATGAAATCAGGTGAATACAAGGTGTTGGTGATTTACCTGTGATCAATTGTGCCGGAAACGAATATTTTCGAAGCGCTTTGCCCTTGGCTTGGCAGTTGTTAGCCACATTGACCCTGAAGGAGAATACCACGTCAATAGGTGTGCCAAGGGAATCAGCCGTCGGAGATGAAGCCACGCATTAGTCGGTGTATTTTATGATCGTTTTGTTGTCCAGACCACGCCACCTTGGAAGGAACCCCGAGTTCCATATATTCTTGATACTATCATATGATTTATGCTGAAACCGGCCATTACACAGCCATGCAGACCGTATATAATATATAGTAAGGCAAGATTCATTGTTTTCGGCATGTGGGCTCTCATTCTATATTCCCACCTTCTATATGATAGTAGTAAGATGGCTATATCAGTTCACATTCTGGCATCTGTTATGGATTCTATCTAATACCAGTGGCTCTAGGTATTGGTATCACTTCTTCACTTCTTTATGGTTTATTGTTTGGTCAAGTTCGACTTCTTATATATCGAATTTTTGAGAAAGATTAGAAAATTAACGCAACAGACTGCATTTAACGTAGATCTATACGTTTTTGGGAAAAGAAAGACACATATATGGGGCCAGACAAACAAGAGAGCAGAACAAAACCTACCGGCTACTCATAATAATATCCCCCATCTACGGTGGTTATTATATACCTGTTCAAGAATCGAATTGACCTCGCAAGTTTTAAAGCATCACGGTGGAATAGTCAGGCTGCTCATCGTCGCAATTGGAGACCTGACCAGTACGTGAAAAATCTAGATACTATCACATGCGTTACGGCAGGTCATAATAGCTGGGGTAGACCGTGATCGGCCATGATCGGCCGCAGCTAGCTAGGGGAAAACCATCTTGCTGTGCTCCTTCAGGGAGGCACGTGAAATCCAACGAAGTGGAATCATTGTGTGCGCGGTCCTAGCGGGGATAGACAACATCCTTACAACTGACAAAAGCAGGGTGATTGTTTTATAGAGACATATTCCAAGGATCGATAGGGTCCTCCCCGGCAGGAGTATGCAAGGGTGCTCTGAGAATAACGTCAAAGGGCCCAACTGCGGGTGACTTTTGCTTGAGAATCAACTTCCAAAGATGCCAAAAGCTTGTGTCAATCATGTGTTGGCCTGTGTTCGCACGGAGCCGCCAATAACACGGGGTTTCATTAACGCTAATTCTCACCTCTGCAACCTCAAAGGGCGGGATCGGAACTTCGCGAAGGAATCTCTCGGGGAGATCGGCTATGCTCTCGAACTCGTTCTGGATCTGCACCCATTTTTCCTTGTATTGGTTTTCGAAGAACTCCGTCCACTGTGGGTTTACTCCGCTGTCAGCTAGCCCCGCGGACATCTCCCAGATGAAATATTCGGTGTTAACCCACTTGTCGATATAGGCCGATGTCTTGAGAAGTGAAGTAGTGTCACGGTACACATTGCAGTGCATTAGGATATGAGGCTCGGCTCGTACAACTACCATGGGCATGTTGTAGTATCGATGGACCTCGTTGTCCAACCATTCCTCCCTGGGGTCCTCGGCTATTGTCTTTAGAGACTTGGGCATGATTACGGAAATATGATGGCTGGTGATATGTGTATTGACTTGTAGTTTGGCATGTATCGTCTTGGGTGTTTGAATGGTTGATTGAAACAATAGCCGAGTCGTGGCCAGATGAAATGGGGTGAAGCTGATGGGGGCTTATGGACAAGATGGTTCATATAAATATTATGTGTGGATGGCATCGATTGTGAATGAAACGCCATGACCTGAGGCTATGGAGACCAAGATAGAAAGAAAACAACGAAGACAAAGAATACGTTTCTCTAATCTCGAAGACTATACCGAGAATATCATTCAAAGACCATTGTTCCCTTGTTTAGTGGAATCAAAGCGGTTCATTGTACGGTTGCTTACCCTGTAGATGAGAATACTGTAAAGTTGTCAAAGCTGTAATGTCATTGGGATAGCAACCCAAGCACTGATGCTATCTATGCTAGAAATAATTTCAACATTTAATTTTGCTAACGTGAAGTAATTTGCAAGCGCTGATGCCCAGATGGCTGAGGTACGTTGGATCTTGGCGGGGGTGGGGTTCACATTTGGTATATGGAATGTGGAGGAAGAAGATCTATAATTGTATCACTCAGCATGGAGGTGAGGACCTAGACCTTTGGGGCATACCTTTGGGACATGGCTTAACATATCCACCTCTCAAAGTTCGAGAATGTAGTCTTTCTTTAGATAATGTGTCTTGAGGACTACTCCGTAGGCCCCAGAAGAGAACGGAGATTTAGTACTGCCAGATATGACACAAGTAGCTGCTTTTAGGAACTACAATTGCGTTACAGATGGGCATGGATACATCAATCGTAGCAATGACACCATGGAATTGAATGACCTGGGACAAACCATATAGCTACAAGGCCGTCCACCGGGGTGAGATTGATCTGTGTTGAGATAATAGACCAAAATTGTTCCCGGCCTATGGGAAAGAGGAAGATGTCGACCAGTTCTCAGGTAATAGACAACATTGATTTTGAAATAATTGTTCATTTTCCATTTCATTCAGACGGACACCAGGTATGGAAGTGGCGCCCCCGTTAAAAACTGGAGTTCATCGATACATTCACGAATCTGTTTCCAGCCATGGTGTATGTTTTCCCATCCCATGCTCGCAGGGACCGAATGTTTTCGATGGTTTTTCGACCTCGCCTTCACCTAGACCCGTGCGCTCAAAACGACAAAACGCCCAAGTAAACCGTTTAGAAACCTGTTCCGGAGTATTAGCCTCAAGTTTCAAAATGTATATCAATATATATCTTGGGTAAAAACGTACGCAGGGCAGTGAAGAACCAACGGTTCTTTCCGCTGGTGTAACGGTCCTCAAGGGCCTTCTTGATGGTCTTCTTGGCGTCCTCGCGCTGGGAGACCTCCTTGAAGGTGTCGTTGGTGACGGTACCCTTAAGACCCTCGAGCTCGAGAGTGTAACGGGTGGGCATCAAGTGGTTGTAGTTGACGACCTTGATGAAAGGCTTGATGCGGCTGCGGCGGTCGACGAGCTTCTTGCCCATACCACGGGTAACCTTGAGGGGGTAACGCTCGATACCGGCGACGATGGCGTAGGAGAAGGGGTGCGACTTGGAGCCAGCATCAACGGGCTGGACAATGACGACCTGTAAATTCGAACAAAAATGCCTGATTAGCACTCCGAATTTTTTTTCAAATTGTCGCGTAGTCCCTCCATATTGCATTGTGCTCTTTCAAATATCGAGTCTTTCGCTTGCAGATCGTTCCGTCTCTTTCCATTCTCGTGCTCAATTTCGGGGAGGATCAGGATCTTGTCGTACCTTCTTACCGGCGTAGCGGCCACGGGTGATGATGGCCACACGGCCCACTTTCATGACTATAACATATCCGTCAGCATATAAATAGCAAGGGGGATCGAATGGTGAAGACGTACACTTCATTTTGAAGGTCCCGGGGGCGGCGAGGATGGGTGGTTGTCGAGATACGGAACGGTCAAGATCGAAGTATTCGTTTTTGCGGATGTGAGGTAGAGGGTTTCAGGGCACAGTAGCGATTTGTGTGCTGTGGATTGATTGGTCGACTTACCGACAGATGGCAACTAGCCTATTTGGGGATAGTTTCCCCATTGGGCCCGGATTAAATAACGATGACATAATCAACGCTTCGCAGGTGCCCAGGTGCCCAGCCCAGGAGGTGCCCAGCGTTGCTCACCGCCTTATTTCCGCTGACTCAGGTTTTGTTTACATGACGATCGTAGTTGCCCCGGTTGCTATGGCCATGAGTGATGTGTACAAGGCTGCGTAGCTCTTCTCTCTCTCCATACAACTCCTCATCTCCACTTGCTTTCCTTTTATCAAGCTGATCTCCCGGTGATTTTCTCTCCTCCACCGAGTTCTGAGATTGTTAGCTTTTGCTTTGTTCTTCCAGCGTTTCCTCCCTTGTGTTGATATGCCTTGATGACCTTGCTTCTGTTTTTACTTTGAACGCATTTTACACATACCCTACATACATTCCATCCATATTGTCAATACCTCTCTGAGACATCTTGACAATCCATTCACGAAGACATCATGCCGTCCCCAGACAAGGACACCCCCCGTGACCGGGAATTGGTCCGGCATTCAATGACATATTCCGAGCCTAAAGTTCCAATGTAGGTTTTGCAACTAACGCCTCCCGATTCTTGTTTTCACGGATCAATGGGTGATTTGAAACAAATGCTAAAACGCGGTCTACGCAGGTGGGACAGTTCGGATCCCGAGCGTGCGCCTCCGCCGCTACCAATGAATCCTCGTTCGATGAGCCCAATGAGCCCTGCAACCAGGTCCAATGTTTCTCCCAACATTCAAGCAGTGGCCGCAAAATTTACAGAGAGACCTAGCGAGCATGCACCTAGCTCTTACACAACAAATCCCATGCCACTCAAGACTTCCTCTCCAGAGAGGTCGCTGGTCAAAGGTCAGCACCACAAGCGCATGAAGTCACTACAACCTGAAGATACCCGACAAGATGCGCGCAGCGACTTTATGAATTATCTTGAGAACAAATCCCCGGAGCGCCCTCTTCGTGCGACGATTATTGAAGCGGCCAAGCCGCGGGACCCTACGAAGTCTATCAGTTCGCCAGCGCTTCGTCAAGACGCAGATCGGGAGATGAACTACTCGGTATCGAGTCGCTATTTGTCCAAGCCAATACTGGGAGAAAGTACTCCGCCATCGGCTACAATGTTAGCCCTGCAAAACATGCAGCTACCTTTAGAACCCGACCCTCCGTCACCTTCCAAACCACCAAAATTGATTGCTGCGCCCTTCGAGCCGCAACCTTATCCCACGAAGAATGCGAGCATGGACTCCCTCTCAAATCAAATTCATAGTCTCACGGACATTGCGAGCAGCTTGCAGCGTGAGATGATGAACTTGAGCCGACGCAGCAAAGACAATGCTACCGACCTGGTTAGCCTCAAGGCAGCAACCAACGCACGCGATGAAGACATTCGAAAGAGTCTTAAGGATCTGTCCTCGCATCTTACAACCAAGTACCTGGACGCTGATGCTACAAGGTTTGATTTCAGTAATCTTTTCAAGGTTGGTGATGGGCCTAACCCCAAGGATCCGGATAGTCCCGCTTCGAAGAGGAGTTACTCCGTGCCTCGCATGCCCAGCCCCAATCCGTTCGCGTTTGATCGGGACTCTTGCGTCTCCCCTGCCCCGATTTCCGACGGCTCCGCGGCACTCGCTTTGCTCGAAAAGGTATTGCGTGAGATGGCAACTAAGGAAGGTGAGGAACGTCTCTTGGAGCTTGTTGAAGAAATCAAATCTCGACCTGCAGGTACCGCTTCGGACAAAGACACCGACAACAAGGTTACTATCATGCTAGAAGAGATCCTCAACCTCGTCAAAGAGGATCCTGCGAGTAAAGCCCTTGTTCGATCTTATGGCGTGCCCACCAATCTCGATAACATCGAATCCGTGAATGCCTCCGCTGAGCCGACACGATCTGAGTCAATGGGATCCATGGATCCTGAAACTGTACGTGCACTAGACCTTTCCAACTCTGACAAGGGAGACGGTTCTTCACCCAATTCCGATGAAGTTTTGGCAATTCTTAGAAGTGTCAAGAATAGCGTTGTCGAGGGAGGTGGAATGACCAACGGTGTAAAGTCCTTGGTCCGCGAACTACGAGGTGAGGTACTGGGTATGGGTCGAGAACTCGGGCGGCGATTAGACGAGATCGAGACTTCCCGTGCCAATGACGAGCCCGAGGAGCAGCCCAGGGCTGCCGGCCCAGAAGAAATCTCCGACATCGTCAACCGCAGCCTGGATGACCTCAAAGAGCAGCTGGCTGCTACTATCAACGAGAGTCGACAGCAGTCGTCCGACTTGTCCGAGTTCCGATCAACCATGAACAGTGCCGCAATCTACTCTGTTGTGAAAAAAGCCCTCGATGAGCTTGAACTTCCTCAACCTCAAGCCGAGTCGCGAGGTGCGGAAATGGACAGAGAAGATATCCTCGAGACTGTTCGTGAAGCTTGGGAGACCTACAAGCCCGAAATCGAGTTTAACAACTTTGGCTTGGAACGAGACGAGATCCTCACATGTCTTGAAGAAGGGCTCAAGTCGTACCAGCCGCAGCACGAACAGGCGGTCACCTACGATCAGGTTCTCGCAGCTGTCGAGGACGGCATGCAGAAGTTTATTCCTCCTCAAATCGAACACCCACCAAGTATATCTCGGGATGAGGTCATCTTGACCATCCGCGAATGCTTGGAGAAGCAGCCCGAGCCTGCCTCCAGATCCCTTGACGATGAACACATCGGCCACCTTCACTCCATGCGCGACGAGATTCTTGACGCCGTTTCAAAGGCCATGGCCAATCATAACGAAGGTTCAAGATCTCTGGGTGAGGAAGAAGTCAATCATCTCTATGCGATCCGTGATGAAATTCTCGATGCGGTCACTGGGACGATGGCAGCCAACAATACGCAACCCAAGGGTTTGGACGAGGAACACATCAACCACCTTTACTCTGTTCGTGATGAGATCATTGAAGCCGTCACTGGGGCAGTGACAAGCCATGCCGCAGGTTCCAAATCTGTTGACGAAGACCATGCCAGTCATCTGAGTTCACTCCGCGACGAAATCATTCAAGCAGTTGCTGGAGCGATGGAGAAGAACAGCGCAGGCTCAAAGGAGGTGGACGAGGATCATGTCCGGCACATGTACTCCATCCGTGATGAGATTATGGAAGCCATTACTGGAACGATGGCAATCACTACCACAGGGCCTAAGACTTTAGATGAGGACCACGTCAATCACCTCTACTCTATCCGCGACGAAATCATTGAAGCTGTCACTGGAACAATGGCAAACCACAGCAGTTCAAGGTCTTTGGATGAGGACAACGTCAACCAACTAAATTCTATTCGAGACGAGATCCTCGGCGCGTTGGCCGGCTCTATGGCACAAAGCACACTGAGCAAGGATTCATATGACTCTGGCCTTGGCCGTGACGAGATTGTCAGTGCTGTCTCCGATGGCCTCGAAGCACATTTCACTGCAGCCAAAGAGATGGATGAGCCACAGATTTCTCGTCATGATGTTATGAATGCTGTCAACGAGGCCTTTGATGCTCAACAATCAGCTCTTGCTATTGCTCACACAAACATCTCCCGTGATGAAATCTTGCATGCCATTGCCGAGGGCATTGAAGGTTCAATGAATGCGCAGCAGTCAGCCCTCAGTACCAACGTTCAGCAGACCGTCTCTCGCGAAGAGATCTTCAGCGCCATCGTAGACGCCATCGAGCACTCGCGGTCTTCCCTGAGCAATAATGGGGAGCCTAGCATTTCTCGAGATGAGATCCTCGGTGCCATTTTGGAGGGTATCCAGGACTCATCAAACCGCCAAGAACCCAATATGTCCAGAGAAGAGATCTTGAACGCCATTGCTGACGGAATTGAGCACTCAAATAACTCTTCTTCACGTGCTCTCACATCGCCTGAGCAAGAGGCTCAGGGTCAACACTCCACTCTCTCACGGGAGGAAATTTTCAATGCAATTGTCGAGGGCATCGAACACTCCCATGCTTCGCTCGGCACAAATGGCCAGCCTAGTGTTTCTAAGGAGGATATTATGAATGCTATTGCTGAGGGTATTGAAGCCTCCACAAGCAGCCAACAGTCAGCGCTCATCACCAACGTCCAAGAGCCGTCCATTTCACGCGAGGAGATTCTGACTGCCATTGCAGAAGGAATTCAAAATGGCAACTCGATCACCCGGGAGATTGAGCTAAATCAGGATGACCTAATGGAAGCAATCTCATCCGGTCTCAACGAGGCCATCAGTACTGCGAATACGAATGTCGGTGGGGACATGACGGAACGCCTCCAGACTTTATTCGAAGGTATGAAGGAGGAATTCAAGCAGTACTCTGCCGCCGGTGGAAGAGACACTGAGCAAGTCCTCGACGCAATCAAGGATGGCCTCGATATCGTTCGCAAGGAGATTGAAACTTATGTGGTTACCGCTGCCGATCTTTCCGGCAAGGACGAAGTAATTGACACCGTCAAAGAAGGTTTCCGACTCCTTCAAGCCGATATGGAGAAGACTATTACGGATACATCTCTTTTGAATGCGTCACGAGGCATTCCTGATACACCCGAGCTCCTGGATGCCATGGAAAAAGAATTCGAGCACCTACGGGGAACAATCACCACTCTTCTTCTCCGTAATAATGCCACTGACGACAAAGATGAGATCTTGGATGCCATTCGAGAGGCTGCTGATCGCCACCAGAATGACTCCGGTGATGACGTTGTCAAAATCATCAAGAATGAATTCGAGAGTCTTCGCGAGCGCATGGAGATGAGTGTGGTTCGCTCTGAGCCTGGCTCTGAGAAAGACGAAATCATTTCGGCACTGCGTGAGCATTTTGATAACCTACGCGAAGAAACCTCCCGCAAAGATGGCAACGAAACCGACGTTGTAAATACCATCAAGAATGAATTTGAGAGTCTGCGTGAGCGCATGGAGATGAGCGTGGTTCGTGCCGAGCCTGGTGCCGAGAAAGACGAAATCATTTCGGCACTGCGTGAGCATTTCGACAACCTACGCGAAGAAACCTCCCGCAAAGATGGCAACGAAAACGACGTTGTAAATACCATCAAGAACGAATTTGAGAGTCTGCGTGAGCGCATGGAGATGAGTGTTGTTCGTGCCGAGCCTGATGCCGAGAAAGACGAAATCATTTCGGTACTCCGTGAGCATTTCGACAACCTACGCGAAGAAATCTCCCGCAAAGATGGCAACGAGAACGACGTTGTAAATACCATCAAGAATGAATTTGAGAGTCTGCGTGAGCGCATGGAGATGAGTGTTGTTCGTGCCGAGCCTGGTGCCGAGAAAGACGAAATCATTTCGGCACTCCGTGAGCATTTTGACATCCTGCGCGAAGAGACCTCGCGTAAAGATGGCAACGAAAGCACATTGTCCGCAACAAGCGAGCTCCTCGATGCATTCACGGATGGTGTTGACTCGATCCGCGAGGACCTGAAGAAACTACTGGAGAAGCCAACTGAGTTCGACAGCTCCGAGATTCTCGACACGATCAAAGATGGTCTTGCGGACCTGAAGCTAGAAATGGATTCCCTCCGTGAATCTAGCAAAGAACTGGATGACGCCAGTACAACCCGCGGCGGTGAACTCATGCTGGCGAACGAGCCTAGCATCGGACCTGACATCGACGGTCTGAAACTGCTCATCACTCAGCTTCATGACAAGGTCGAGGCCATTGAAAATACTCCTCGTACAGCAGAGGCCGATGAGGATGCCCTGAAGCGCTCACACCTCGATGAAGTCCTTCTTGCACTTCACGAAGTTCAGCTCGCCATGGGTGAGATGAGTGCTCAACAAAGTGATGAGAATAACAGTCCCGCTCGAAAGCAAGACACTGAGATTCTCGAACAGCTGCTATTGAGTACCAAGACCCAGATTGATGAACTCGTCTTCCCTTCCCCGGACCATGTTGCCACTCCTGAGCATATTGGAGCCCTAGAGACCATGATCCGAGAGGCGAAGGATTCGATTGCTGAGTTTTCTAGTCGTGTTGAAGCCGAGGCTGCCACAAAGTCTGAGATTGGCACTTTGGAGGGTCTCATCAAAGATGTCTGGGTTGTCCTAGATGAGATGAAGAGCAAAACCAAGGATGGCGAGGAAGAAGATCCAGAGAAAATACTCAAATCCGATCTGCAAACGGTCGAAGCCATGATATTCGAGGTCAAGACTCAAGTCGACGAGCTTAAACTTCCTGATGTGGATACTCTCCCCACCAAGACGGAGATCCAGGAGCTCTCGACGCTTGTCTGCGATTTCCGGGAGCAGATGGAGAGCAGCAACGAATTGACCGCCCAAGGGTTTGATGCTCGCAAGGTCGAGCATGGTGGACTTGCCGAGAAAATTGACGAAGCCAAGTTTGTCGTCGGCGAGCTTGGGGACGAACTCAAGAGCAAGCTTGACGGCAGTACTGAAGGCCTGGCCGAGCTTAAACAGCTTCTCGAAGGCCTAGCAATCACCGCAGAGAGCTTCACTACCGTCGACAATATCAAGGAGCTCACCGACCTTATCAATCGAGAGTTTGAACGTTCTCGCGGGGAGGAAGATGCAGTCAAGGTCGAAAAAGAGGAGCGTGATGCCGCTACAATGGTCAAACACGATGAGACGCGGGCCGCCATTATCGTTGAGCTTGGGACAAAGATTGACGAAAAAATTTCAGAAGTCCTGGCTAAGTATGAAGATGCGCACACGTCCCTCCACTCGAAATTCTCAGAAACCGAAGAGAGAGATCTGGCACACACCGAGTCTTTGACCAGTACAAGAAGCCTTGCCGAGGACATCAAACTTGTCATCGGTGCTATGGGTGATAGTGTTAATGAGACCTGTGAGCGGTTAAGTGTGGACACGAAGGCTCTCATGGAACAAGTCGACCAGTCCCGCCAGCAAATGGAGAACATGCACAATGATGTGAAATCGCACCAGGAGCAATCTCAAGCCGAAAACGAAAGGGCTGCAGCTGCCGCTGATAGAGTGGAAAGCAAGCTGCTTGAATTCCACCCTCGTATTCTGGAGTCTGTACAGGAGATATTGACAATCGTCAGCCAGCACTACGATCACTCCCAGAAGTCAGCGGAGGACTTCAAGTCGGAACTGTCGGCATTGCCTTCAAATATCCCAGCAATGCTACCCGCGCTGCCTCCACCTGAAGCAGACCGTACACTCGCCATAGAGGATACTCCGCTGCACAGCAAAATAGACGATCTTTTGGAACATGCCAAGAATAACAAGATCCACGAGGTTTTGAGCACTCTGCTTGATCACTCAAAGAATGATCAACTCCACGAGAAGCTTGATCGTGCTCTAGATCAAAGTTCAGGATCAAACGATCAAATATATGAGAAGCTCAATGAACTTCTTGATCGTGCCACCAATGGGAGTGGTCCTGTTCATGAGAAACTGGACGCATTGCTCAGCCGTCCTCTAAATCCGCCGGAGTCGGATCATTCTGTTACCCAGATGACAAAGCTGGATGAGATGCACAGGGATATCATGGAAAATTCCCGGAGGATGAATGAGATGTTCGCTGCCCAGTCAGTGCTCGTCGCTGAGGACACGGAGCGCAAGCGACGCGAAGCCGAAGAGGCTGCAGTCGCCCTTGAGCGAAGAGTTTCACAGCGTGAGCAAGTGGAAGCGGAGCTTGTTGGTTTGCACGAAGAAAAGGATTCTATGCTGAACATGATTCATCGTCTAAGAGCAGAGAAGGAAGATCTGATCAAGCAAAACAACAAGCTCAGCAAGGATCTGTCCGGTCTTGAAACGGCCCTAGAGATACGCCACGAAGAGATGCGACAGATGGAGGACCGTGCTGATGGCCTCGAGAAACGCATTCTGGAGGGTGTGCTCGACCATGCTCGTACCGTCCTCCTTGGGCGATCCAATAGCTCGCAGGCCATGAACTTGAAGAGGAACCGCAGCACTCGGAGCACTCGCTCTTCGCGCACAGGCGCCCGCAGTCCTAGTGTAGCAAGCACTGCCAGCACTGCCAAAGAACCCAAGGATAGTCGCAGTCTGCTTGGAAACGGTGTCGGGATGGCTTTGAAAAGAATGCCGACCTCACTTCAAGCTGGCACAGTCGCTGTGCTACCCAACATCGGAAAGGAACGTCGGATTCTTAGCTTAAGTCATGTCACAGGCAACCGCGGTGTGGACCGACAAGTGAGCACTAAATCTGGCATCACGAACTTGAAGCGCAGCCACTCCGTCAAATCGAACTCTCTTCGCAAGACTTCTTGGGCTGGCCCAACTTCTGTTGCTGACAAAGAAAACGAGCCATTCCACGAAGAGGACGAGCTTGCAAGTGGAGCGGAAGATAGTGGTCAGCAGCGCAAGGCTAGTTATGCGGAGAGTAACACACCTACCGACCGTCGAACGAGCTACGCAGCAAGCAATGCAGGCACGGAGCGCAAGACAAGCTACTCTGGCAGCATCGTCGACAGTGTGATTACAGATGCCACCGATCAGCGCCGTGTTAGCGGATTAAGCTCCACAAACTCATACAGTGTGGCGGAAAGCTCAATCGCTGAGCACGACCACGAGGACCATCATGACGAGATTTCTATCGATGGCTCTGAGTCAGAAGACGATGCGCAGACAGCACGGGATGATGGAGAGCATTCTGGGCATGAACACCAAGATGAGGATGAGGGTCATGAAATGTCCCGCCAGATCAGGGAGGCCAATGAAGCTGCAGAAGCCGAAGTCCTTAAGCTCTTGGCTCCCTCTAGCGACAGCGGACTTGGCACTGATGTTGCAGTTTGATTGAAATGTTTTGTTTTGGATGGAGTTGGGTACTTGCACCACTGATGTTTTCTTTCTTTTTCATATACCACTCTTGTTTTGCTTCTGTGATTGGATGACTTGGATGACTTTCGTTTGTGACCATAAATGTGTATTTCTTAATGATGATTCTCTTTTTTTACTCTCCCCAGACACTCATGTGATGTAGTTAGATTGTACAGGTCCATGTGCCCATAGTCACCAGATTGTTTGTGGTTATCTTTTTTGAATCACAAGTCATATTATTATATTCTTAGCTGCTTGGAATGTTTTCTTTTTGTAAAGACTAGTCTTTGTAGACCCCGTATTTCTTTTTCCACTACGGAGGACATATGTAGCTGTTGCAAGCTGACCCGACAAATAAGGCATGTGATCATGTGACTCCCAACAAATCATTGCTGCCTGAGGCTACGCCGAGGCCAGCTTCACCTGGTCATCTTCTACTCCATTTTCCCATGGAGCTACATATTTCTCCCATATTCCTTGCTCTTGGGCTTTCCTTTGTTTCCTTTTCCTTTTCCTTTTTCCTTTCTCTATGATAGACAGGATAGGGTGCCCTCTCAACTGCATATAGATCTACATTCCGACCTCCGAACCTCAAAGAGCTTTCCCCCACATCGGGTGATCATATCTAGTTGAGGGGAACTCCCACGATGTTGGACCCCTTCCCACCGCCTCCAGAATGGCTGCGGAGCTTCACGGAGCCCTATGCCATCCAGCTGAGCAGCCCGACGCTTGCCGACCATATCCACGAGGTTATCGCAGCGTTCGCCTTCTACCTGTTCATCCATGCAGTTCTCTCGCCTTGGCTCTCGCCAATCCTCTTTGCTCAGTCTTATAACAAGCTCACTCCCCGGACGAAGCTGAATTGGGATATCCATGTTGTCTCTCTTGTTCAGAGCATTGTTATTAATGCTGCCGCCCTGTGGGTCATGTATTCCGATGAGGAGCGCAGCTCCATGACATCCGGTGAGCGAGTCTTCGGATATACAGGTGCCTGTGGTCTCATTCAAGCTTTGGCCGTGGGATACTTTGTATATGATCTGATTGTCAGCATTGTGCACGTGCGCATGTTTGGCATCGGCATGCTTTTCCATGCTATTAGCGCCTTGTGGGTGTTTAGTCTAGGCTTTGTGAGTTGCCTCTCCAATCTACCTGATATAGATACATTCAAGATCAAGCAGATCAGCCCCATTATTGCTTTCCCCCACCTTTTATTTTCCTCCGAAATTCGAGACACATCTAACATAGCTTCCGCAGAGACCATTCCTAAACTACTTTGCCCCGACCTTCATCCTCTATGAGCTTTCCAGCCCATTCCTCAATATCCACTGGTTCCTCGACAAAGTCAACATGACCGGCAGCCGGGCTCAATGGTATAATGGTATGGCCTTGCTCTTCAGCTTCTTCGCCTGCCGCCTCGTCTGGGGCACCTGGCAAACCGTCGTGGTGTACGGGGACATGTGGAATGCGCTTCAGCAAACCTGGTCGGCAGCCGCAGCGCCACTCTCCGAGTCCATGAGCGTCAACGCAAATGTCTTCCACCCAGCTAGGGACAGTAGCCTGTGTGTCAACGAAGCCTGTGTGCGCGCCAATGCCGAGATCACCAAGTTCAAGGAGTACACCGCGGGAGGTGTACCGACGTGGCTGGTCCTGACCTACGTTGGATCGAACTTGATCTTGAACTTCTTGAACTTTTTCTGGTTCTCCAAGATGGTCGAGACTGTTCTCAAGCGCTTCCGCACTCCGGCTGAGTCTGCTGCTGTCGCTGAGAAGAAGGGGAAGAAAGAGCAGATTAGTGCAGAGAAGACTGAACAACTCAAGGAGGATATTGTCCGTGATGTCGTCCTCGAGGCAGCTTCCAAGCTGGAGCAGGAGGAGACCGCCATCTTGCAGGGTGATATTTCCTCGTTGCAGGAACATGTCTCTTCCGCTGTGGACTCGGGTCTTGGCGAAGAGTTGCGGAAACGGACAACAGAGCTTGCCTCTAAGATTACTTCGCCTGCTGCTTGAGGGTTGAATGGAAGTTTAGGTTATTTTTTTATAATCTATGTATCCTTGAGGACCGTTACGGTTCTCCTCTCTTTTGTCCATTTTTTACTTTATGATTGATTGAGATGTTTGTGAATTCTCTCTATGTTGCTTTCCCTTGAACCTCTGTGGGGATTAGCTTCCATGCACATTGTTTTGGTTGACCTCTTGGACCTACGTCTTTATACTAGGCAGAGATACAACGCCTGTTGTGATCGCTCCGTTACTCACATAATAATTAAATTAAAACAATCCGGAATCATATTGCATCGTATCAGATCCTTAAAAACGCGGATTTTAAAACAATTCAATCCTGCCTGTCATACCGCGGCTACACCAGTCCGAACACCACACAAGCGCCCTATATCAGATAGAAAAAAAAAAGAATACATCAACACATCTCCTTTGCATAATGGTTGGCAGTGTAGAGATGTGAGTTAAATCAAAATAGACAGACTGCAAAATCTACCGAGCAGCCGCCGCTTCGGGTTTAGCCAGCATGTATCGCACAGCTTCCTTGGCAACCTCAGAGTCCCAAGGGCCATCAACGCCACCATAACGGAACTCAGGTCCGCTACCATCCTCGCCGCCTCCACGGGTAGCTTCGCCCATAATAGTCTCGAGGTCGCGGCGCTGAGAGCTGATCCAGCGACGAACAAAGTTCGCTGGGTCCTTGCTCAGAGCAGTGTAGAATGAGTGGCGGGCACGGGAGTGCGTAAGGGCCTGGACAATCAAAGCAACCTGGTCATCAAGCGAGGAGATTTGGCGTAGGCCACTTGTGTACGCCGGGTTTTGAGTGAGAGCCATCATCTTGGTGCGCAGCGGGTCTTCAACCGCAACCTGGATATCGTAAATGGTCGGTGTTGGGTTTCCGTGGAACTCTTCGTCAACGCGGATAGTGTATGGGAGCTTGATCGGTTCCATTGGGCTTGTGTGAGGACCGACACTTTCAGGGATCTGGGGGAAGAACATTTGCTCCCGACCAAAGATCTACAGAACTTGTTAGCGGGAATTTTTAAGACCAAATATTCAAAGCACATACCGAGCGTAGACGGTGATCACAGCGCACTTGTCGCTTCTCCTCGTCTTCCTGCAATTCCATAGCACGAATGTAGTCCCAGATTCCGAGAACAATTCCACTCCGGGTCTCCTCTTCGACATCCAGAACCTCGGCCAGCTCCTTGCTCAACTTGTATCGCTCTGGGATTTCGTCCCGGACAAGGCTGATGGTGACATTCAGATTGTCCTGCGAGGCTCGGGAGAACTGTAGACTATCAAATTCGGCAGTCGGAGGCGCCGGTGTGTTGGAGTGTGTGTTTGGTTTAGACCAGTTAACTGGCTTGACCTCGTCGGGGACTGCCGAGACGGGCTTGTCAAAGTCAATGGTGATAGCCTTGAAGAAATGCGAGAAACGCTGGGACTGGGTCTTGGATTCGGATTTCTTCGCCTTATCCTCCTTAGCTCCATCGTGGTCCATCGCATCTTCGTTTTTCTCGTCCTCATCGGGAACTGTAGGGTCGGTTTCATCGTCTAGCAGACGTCCTTCGATGCGCACTTTGTAGCGACCGGAGCCTGGGTTGTTGCCCGGGCCTTGCCATGGCTGGTTTTCAACAGTATTAGAGATCCAGATGCGCATAGTCCGATACTTCTTGACGGTCTTGTTGATGGAGTCTTGGATATCCAGTCTCTTTCGCACAACAGCGGCATCCAATCGCTTTTCCAAGTCGCGGAGGTTTTTATATTGCTGAACACCCTCGCCGATGATCACGTCTTCAATGCCGTCGGGGAGGTTCCTGTCGGTCGGCTTGCGGCTGCGCCGAAGGGCAGCATCATTGGGGTGGGGCATGGGGCGTGAGGCCATGTACTGTTGGGGAACAGCGTGCTGTGGCATCGGAACAGGCATTGCGCCACCTATATAGATGTAAGATTAGAGCCGAAACGAATGGGTGGAGACCGATGAAAGGGGACATACCTGGCCCTGGGGGGCGACGGGGCGCGGCTGGGGATCGCTGTGCATTTGGGGGCATGGCCCGAGCATAATGCTGCTGCATTGGAGCTTGCATTGTGGAGAAATTAAGCACCGAAACGGTGGTGGGAGGATGACAGATGAGGAGGGGGAAAGATGCGAGATGTTGGAGATGCGAGGTCGCGATTCTTTTGCCCGTCGCGCTTTACCCTTTTCGGACTGATCGCGAACAACACCATCTAGAGCACAAAACTTCCAGTTCTACTTGGATCTTGTAGTTTTCATTCCCACGCATAGCTAAAAGCTAAATATTAAGATATAATCTACATCTTTAATACTGATTACCCGCAGATTTAATGGGTATTAAGTGTGATCGTGCATTGTCTCGATTATTTCCTATCAAGTCATCGTCTCAACTGCATTGGACATATCCCATCTTTTCTATTCCAGAAGAGATGCCTGGTTAGTATACAGACCTTCCACCACGTTGCCAAGCTTTTCGATTGTCTCCAGCGCGGCATCGTAAGCCTGGTCCCGTTCTGTCTCATCGTACACAATCAGACACCCAGAGCCCTGGTCCAATACACCGATGATCACCTTGTCCAAGATCATTTGAGACAACTTCCTTTCCACCTGCTGTGTGTCCAAACCAACCATCTTCGCAATGTGATCCAGCTCGACCCGGCTGAAGGGCTCAATGACCTTGATCAAGTTCTGTTCCAGCATAGCATCGTAAAGACGACGGAGGTGGTTTCGGATGAATACATCGCTGCCCAGTTCGTATCTGTAGTCCGATAGGGCCTTCTCGTACTCCTCCAGGGATCGGTTGGCGTGGGCCCGTGCCACGGCCTTCATTGCCTCTAGGCGTGGACTGGCATACTTTTGCGCTTGTTTCGAGCCTTGCAACTGTGTGACATCATCCACCAGGTTCAACATGATCTTGCACAGAAGCATGTACTGCAATGTTGCCGTGGCCAGATCGCTCTCATCGAGCGAGCTGTACCCCTCAAGTGCCTCAATGAAATAAGAGTATGCAGTGGTGAAGTCCTTGTCCTCTGCGTGGAGCATGCCGCTCTGCATATCAAGACCAGCCTGGAGGTTCGGCGGCGTGTAAACGGAGGCAGCTGACGTCCGTGCTGCTGTCAGAGCAGCGCGTGCCTTGGCCTGGTTGCCAAGAGCATGGTAAACACGCGACTCAAGTAGTTGTACTTCCACCAGCATAAGCTTATCATCCAGGCGCTTCAGCTCACGGAGAAGAGAGTTGATAAGAGTTAGAGCATCATAATAGGATTGCTTCTGCATATAGATGGCAACGAGTCGGGCTTGGAGGGCCTGGCGAAGGAACGATCGGCGCTCGGCAATAGCCCATTCTATGCATGATTGGATGACGTTGCCTTGGAGTTCGAGTGTGTTGGGGATTTCGCTAATCAGGTCCAGAAGTTGACGGACTAAACAATCAAAGTTAGCCGGTCTCTATAAACGTAATTTAGCGCAACTTACCCAGCTTGGCCGTCTTCGCTTTGGCAAATGACGAGAAGGTGTCACGGCTGGTCTTGATGAGGTCTGCAATCTCCTGTGGCTTCTTCGCATCCCGGTGCAACTCGCCCAACCCAATCAAGGCAAGTTCATAGTCCCGTGAAGAGGCCTCTGTAGATCCGGGGCCCTCTGAGAGGATCTTCTGGTAACTGGTCGCTGCTTTCGAGGGATCCTCCTTCGCCAGATCTCGGACTTCTTGGATCCGTGGCGAGACCTTGGATGACATGATAAAAGACAGTAAATGGCGAGCGAGTGAGATGGGGAATTAAAGGAAACGAGAACAATAGAAGATGGTGGTTTGAAGAGAGGTTGATGACCGGGTCGAATGGGGAGCTCGAAGCTGGCGGCAGCTCACCGTCCTCTCACCGCCCGCTTGGCAAATCAAACAGAAAAAAAGTTCCATCTTGGCATTTTTCTTTTCTTTTTTACATCGTTTTCACAACAGCACAATGGTGAGTGGTTTTCCTTGAAATCTTGTTTTTTGGATAGCTATGCTAATGAAATATAGAAAATCAAAGCACTTTCCCGTTCCACGGCATCGCAGCAGGCCCCCGGGTCCGCTGTCGTTCGCCAGTCGCGGAATCTCGACCCAACTCAGCATCCTTTTGAGCGGGCTCGTGAATACACTCGTGCTCTGAATGCGATCAAGATGGAGCGCATGTTCGCTGCTCCCTTCCTAGCGCAGATGGGTAATGGACACGTTGACGGTGTTTACTCCATGGCAAAGGATCCCGGCTCCCTTGAACGTTTTGCAAGTGGCAGTGGTGATGGTGTGGTGAAGGTGTGGGATCTGACGACGCAGGGCGAGGTTTGGAATACACAGGGCCATGAGAATATGGTCAAGGGTCTGTGCTGGACGCCGGAGCGAAAGCTTCTGTCATGCGCGAGTGACAAGACCATTAAATTGTGGGATCCGTACAACTCATCATCTGAGGCCCCACCGATGGCAACCTATCTTGGAAATAGTGCCTTCACCAGTGTTTCGCATCACCGATCCCTCCCTTCTTTTGCTGCCGCTTCTGGTGTCATCTCTATCTATGATCTTTCCCGGCCTTCCTCCACACCATCACAAACTCTGCACTGGCCGACCAGCGTTGACACCATCACGTCTGTTGCGTTCAACCAGACTGAGACTTCTATCCTGGCTTCGACTGCCATGGACCGCTCAGTCATCATGTACGACCTGCGTACTTCCCAGCCGGTCCACAAGACGATATTGAGACTAGCATCTAACGCCATTTCGTGGAACCCCATGGAAGCGTTCAACTTTGCCGTGGCAAACGAGGATCACAACGCGTACATCTTCGATATGAGAAAGATGGACCGTGCTCTCAATGTCTTGAAGGACCATGTGGCTGCTGTTATGGATGTTGACTTCAGCCCTACGGGTGAAGAGCTGGTCACTGCCTCATACGATCGGACAATCCGCCTATGGAACCGATCGACTGGTCACTCGCGTGACATCTACCACACAAAGCGGATGCAACGTGTCTTCTCGGCAACATTCACGCCCGACAACAAGTATGTCTTGACAGGATCGGACGATGGCAATGTACGTCTCTGGCGTGCCAATGCATCGGACCGCAGTGGAGTCAAGACTGCCCGTCAACGTTCCAAGCTGGAGTATGATCAAGCTCTGATCAAGCGATACTCACACATGCCCCAAATTCGCCGCATCAAGCGCCAGCGTCATGTGCCCAAGCCTATCAAGAAGGCTGGGGAAATCAAGCGCGAGGAGCTCAATGCTATTAAGAGGCGCGAGGAGAATGTGCGCAAGCATACTAAGAAGAGCAACCTGGCACCGAGAACTCATGAACGTGAGAAGATGATTCTGGCCAGCGAGCAATAAATCAGTCTGCGTGGTTTATCACTTTTCATCGACCAGGCTCGGTAGCAGGACTTGCAATCGAAAGTATGGTCGAATGGGGAATATGTTCAATGAAGCAAATCGGTTTGCTTTATAATACATCTTGGTTGGACTCATACAAGGGTCCTTTTTCATGATTCATGCCAATACACACCGCTCAGCTCCATTCGAGCCACCTATCAATCTGTCTTCCCAGATGTCTGCCGGCTTTGAGTCACAGCAGCATCTATTCCACTCAGATATCTCGCAACCCGCTGCACCGAAGCGGGTAGCACGGCATACCAATTCACGAGCTTTGCATAAATAGGCAATCTGATCACACCACCTCGACCGCTATCAATTGCTGCTACCATATCCCGGGCAACTTCGACCGGTTCCAATACTGGCGCAAAGAATTGGTTTGGCGCGCGCACCCAGTCGAACAACGGCGTCGACATCTGCCCAACCTCCACCAGCAATGTCTTGATCAACGGGTTCCCCCGAATTTCCGCTTCTATTGTCCGATGCAGCGCGCTAAGTCCGGCTTTGCTCGCTGCATAGTCTGACAGTCCCGCAGCACTCAGCTGGCCCAGCACCGAGCTGACTGTGACGAGGGTTCCTCCACTCTCCGCTGCGATGATCCCAGGCAAGAAGACTTGGTACAGATGGAAAGCCGCCAGCAGGTTAGTGCGGATGGTCTTTTCGAACGCGTCCGCTGGCAGGTCAAGCAGCGAGAGGCCGTTGATCCTGGCCGCGGCACAGTTGATAACGATCGTCGGTGTTCCTAGCTGTAAAATAGTTAGCGAATCAGACCCCAATTAAAGCAAGCCATAGCGCGCTATATAAAAAAAACAACTTGTCCAACCATTTAAACCACCAGAACCATAGTAATAGTAGAATGATATGGGATCGAAAGTCATGCAACGAAACCAAAAGCGAAGAAAGGCAAGACCTACCTCTTGCAAAATCATCTCCCTCGCAAGCTTCAAGGCGCCTCTGTCCGCGACGTCACACGTAATATACAAAACGCCCTCTCCAAAGACCTCGTCACGGCTATCTTCCGGGACAACCTTGATATCAAGCACAGCGACACTCGCCCCACGCATGCTATACATCTGCGCAATCAACAGACCTAGCCCACTCGCGCCGCCGGTGATGACCACGACCTCATGCTCGAAATCGACTGTGCGCGGCGCGCCATGGGCGGCGCGCTGGTTGATGATTCGCGCGATGAAGAGGACTGTCAGAGCCGTTGCATAGCTCACGGCGATAATCCAGGCTGGGTCTGTTGATGGTGTTACCTGTGCGCGCAGGCAGAGAACAAAAATCCAGGCTATGAAGGGGTTGAGGAGGGATTTGGAGAGGATGCTTATTAGTGTGTCGATCGTCAGGAGGTTGGTGTGTGGATTGGTTGAGCCAGGGGTTGAGTGGGATATTTTGGCTGTTGTTTTTAAAAACTGGGGGGTTGAGGATGACATTGGAATGTCTGCTTTGGGCTTGATTCTAACACCTGGAGATTGAAGGTCAAAGGTGGTGCAGTGAGAGCGGGAGATTCGAGACGCGTGTGGTTTTGCGGGGCTGATAAGACGATCTATAAAATGGCCCCGGGGCACAACAACTTTAACCGTTGTTTTACAATATCTCAACTACATACATATTGATAACCATAAATCTGTGGTACCTCGCTTTACCCAATAATGCTTCCTAGCTGGATCTATTTTCATACGCCTTCCTGCAAGCGTTCAGTCTTTCACGATCAGAATAGAAAAGAACCCGCGGAGAAAGACTGATCGATCGAGCTATCGTCAATCATCTATATGGTTTGCATGCAAAAATATGAAGAAACAAATAGACCACACCATAAGGACAAATAAACTCAGAAATTCATGAAACCCATTCAATCATCACAAGTATCCCTTTTCCCCCTAGAGTGCGAAGAAGTGAATAAAAACCAGCGTAAACCCACACGAAAAACTCCTCATGATTGTCTCAGACAGCGCATCCCCCCCCCAATATTTAAACAAGAACAAGATTGCGGATCAATCACCACTGCTTGAGCTGGCCCAGCAGCGAATAAGGCTTCTTATTCCGAGCCTCCTTAGCTGAACCTCGGATAGAATGACTGAAGGTAAGGCAATTCTTGTCCTCAGCCATGATGTCCAGATCATTTGGGGTCGACGGCACGTGGAAGCCCTGACCAGCTTCGGGGTAGGCGCGGTAATCTTCAGGGTCATAGTCCGATTCATGCTGGGATCCAACGTGTGAAGACTGAGACACAGAGGGTGTGGGAGATTGCAGTCGTGATTGGGAGTATGATGATTCGTCGTCGGTGATCAGGTCAGAGTTCGAGGAGTCAAAAGAGGCCTTGCGAGCACGTGTAGGTGCAGGCGCAGCTTGAGACGTAAACCTGCGCCTGGGTCTAGCAGTATTCTGTAGAGTTGTCGTGGTGGGAGACTGGGGAGCGGTTGTGGAAGCATGCGCGTGAGAAATTCCACCCAAAATATGGTCCGCAGTGACGCCACCAAGAGCCGCTGGAGGAGCAGGGTCCGGGGCAGTAGCTTCAAGGTTCGTGGTATCAGGAGCCTTGCCGATCCGTTGGTTTGAATCCATGGCGTTGGGGTTCTCAGACGACGGTTTCAAATTTTCCCAATCGAGTAACGCAGAACGAGGGGTTTTCTTTGGTGTAGGGTTGGAAGCCCGATGGGTTTGTGGCGTTGCAAAGGGTGAGGTAGTGAAACCAGTCACGGGTTGCATGTTGGCGGGAAACATAGGGACTGACGGCCACTCGTTTGAGACTTTCACTATAAGCTGAACTAGGGAATCATGCGAGAGAGATGACAGATACGCCCGTCGTTCTTCTTCTGAATAATGATTTCCACCCATTTGAGATTCAGACACAGGCTGCTTCTTCGGGCGTCCAACTTTCCTCACTTTCGTTAGAGCCTTCTTTTGAGGTTTGGTCTGGGCTGTCTGACGTTGCTCAGGTTTACACTTGATGCAAAACCAATTCATCTCCGGGATTTGAATAACCTCATTACCTATATTTGGCTTGTGACATTTCTGGTGCCATGGAGCATCACATGAGTCACATAAAACAATCAAATTGTTTGAAGGGCTGTGTCCTCGGTAGCAGCCGGTGCAAACTATATTCACCTGGCGATTCAACCGCTTCCGCTTTTTTGCTGCCGCTTTGACAGGCGGCCCTTTTGTTGCCACGGGCTCAACTTCTCGAGCAGCCGGTTGGGTAATACGGCGGCCAGATCGAGTTCGATTTGAGGCCAGGGCAGTGCTAGCATTTTGATGACCCGTTTCCGTAGCCCCGGCTGTTGCCAAAACTACCTCTTCTTGAGGCAGTGCTGGTGATCCCCAGCTTCCCCAGGGTATATTGTCATCCACAAGATCCATGTGGGATGGCAATGATGGAATGCCCTCGGAGACACCCTCATGGTCAAATATGTTGCCCTCATGCACGTTCTGGGGGCGCCCTGGGTTGATATTGGGGGCGGGGAGGTCCATGAATGCTGCTGAGACCCTCATGTTGAATTTGCTTGTGAATAATTTTTTCAAAAGGAGGGCTGGGCAAGATTCTTCTGGAAAACTAGCTGGGCTTTGGTGTCAAAGAAGAGAACAAAGCAATAGGTGATAGCGAGGGAAAAAGGCACTGATGGTGTTCTTCTAGGGCAGTGCGAGTCTTCCAGCCTTGTACAAATCACAATAAACACTAGGCTTTTTGTTGAGCAGCCGGCCAAACATAGTTGGCTCCTCTCAATTCTTCAACTGAAAGTAGGGTTGGAGTGAAGTTGTCGAATGAAAGACCTTTGTATATATGAGTCACGTGATATCCCAATGCAACCTTAAATAGCTTTCTTCAATCGTTAACCGACGTATTTTGCTTTATTGGAGGGTCTTAATGATTTAAATTGTAACTTTGATGGTTTTATCCATTATTAAAACTGTTTTCTTTACATACTATGCGGATCTGGTACACATCCTCGATTAGAGCACCTCATAGTACTGCCTCGGCATTAAACCTACATGTAGGTAAGATACAACACATTATATGAGAATCACAGTGCTCTAATTGCCTATCTCTAGAGAAACGTGTGAATTTACTCCAAGCATTTCACGAACAGATGTCACAGAAAATTCTAAGTTTTGAAGTATTCTAATGTGTATGGATGCAGTGGAAGTATACATTAGATCTGAATACATATCTAAATTGACTTGAGATAATACTATTATAAATAAGATAATTTATAAAGAGCGCAAATAAGTATGGTTGATCTTGTATGAAGTAGGAAATCACCATACCTCCATCTTTATATATATCATGGACCGAAAGGATCATTCAAGACAGAAATGCAGTAAACTAGCAAACACGGATGATGATTGCACGATCTCTTTGTAACATCTCTTTTTACACCCTTTTCTCTTCTAACCAATAAGCAACACAACATAGGGCGAAAAGTACAGTTTTATGCTTGATGATATGCCTAAGGAAAGTCCAAGAGCTTATAGGATGTAACAAAGATACCCGAAGAGGACCAAAAGATACCAGAAGAACCGAGGGGCCACTTTAAATGGCTGTGGGTTATATTTTACTTATATACAGACCTCGGGAGGTGTCTTTCGTGTTTCTCATAAATAATTCAAGATTCAGGACACGACTCCCTCATCCTTCAAGCGAGCAATATCCGCTTCCCCATAATCGAGGACACTGCTCAAGATCTCATCCGTGTGCTGGCCCAAAGTAGGAGGAGGTGTGCGCACACCCGGTGTTGCTTCGGAGTACTTGATAGGCGTGTTGACCATCTTGATTGGACCACATGCAGGATGGTCAACTTCCGTCACCATGCCTCGTGCGAGAACTGTTGGTAGGATCAGCACCTTTCTTTAATCACACATGAATAAAATAGGTAGACTTACCATGCTTGTGATTCAGGGTTCCCTGAATGTCATTGACAGCCGCATAGGGCATACCGCTGCCCTCGAAGATATCCAGCCACTCTTGCGTAGTCTTTTGCATAGTGGTGCTTTCGATCATACCGTCGATCTCTGCCCGGTGCTGCACTCTGTCACTGTTAGTGACGAAGCGAGCGTCTGTCTTCCACTCAGGGAAGCCCAGTCGATCACACAACACGCCAAAAAGCCTATCATTGCCACCACCAAAGAGAATATCTCCGTCGCTGGTTTTGTAGCTCCGGTAGGGCACAATAGATGCTGGGAAGTGTTAGTTTAGTTATTACTCGACACAAGAGACTGTTCACTGCTTACGGTGTGCTGTGCCCCAACGGCCGGAATCCTTTTGTCCACTGATAAGCGCAGAGCTAGCCAGATTCGATAGCGTAGCGACCTGGCAATCACTCAAGCAAGCATCGATATGCTGACCTCTACCAGTTCGGCCCCGAGCAATCAAAGCCGCCATGATGGCATTTGATGTGTATAGTCCGGTGGTTAGATCGGTAACGGCAACACCAACCTTTACTGGCGCACCGTCCCGAGCACCGGTGATGTGCATTAATCCCATCTCGGCTTCTACCATGACGTCGTAGCCTGCACGGTTGCTATATGGGCCTGTCTGGCCATACCCGGTGATACTGGCATAGATCAACTTGGGGTTGATTTCCCGCAGGGTTTCATAGTCCATGCCATATTTTTTGAGACCCCCGGGGAGATAGTTCTCGACTAGGACATCGCATTCCTTTGCAAGCTTGTGTAGAATCTCGACACCTGACTTGTGTTGGAAGGATAGACCAAGGGACTTCTTATTTCGGTTGACCTATATCCATATTAGTGCCACGATCATTTGTTTTATAGCTTCAAAATAAGGTTCGTACGGCTAGGTAGTAGGCGCTCTCGCCAGGGCCCTTTCTGGAAGCGTCTTCGTACTTCGCATATGGTGGACCCCAAGCGCGAGTATCGTCGCCGCGCACAGGGTGTTCGACCTTGATAACGTCCGCTCTATATTTCGGTTTGTTAATATCACAGATATCGGCAGTTGAAGCTGTTTCATGGCTCCGAAGTTCAGTACATACCCTAAATCACCCAGAATTTGAGTGCAATAAGGCTAGAGCAAGTCAGCTTGAATCGTAAACATACAGTAGCACCGCGAGACAAGTACTCACACCAGCCAAAACGCGTGTCATATCAAGCACCCTTATACCAGCCAAAGGCAGTGACCCATCGACTGAAGCTGCGCTGGAGTAGCTTCGCCCTGGTACTGTGCGCCGCAAGGCATTGCTACCCCAGGATAAGCCCGATCGACGGGCAACAAGCTGGAACCTGAGCGCGACCGTCATGATTATATATACAGAGAGCGCAGCGAAACTAAAAAAATGAAGCTCAGAATAAAAACCCAAATAGTAAGAATATCCCCCATTAAATGGGATCTGGGGAAACTGGCGAATCTCCGCCAAAACGCCGACGCCGACACCGCTCGGAGGGGCCAATGCCGAGGCCACACCGCGGGGGTATTTCCCTTGTAGATCATCAACCGCAGCTATGTTTACAGGTCTTGTTGAGACGATTGGCAGTGAGTATATCTGTCTTCTGTGAATTATTCAATAGCTAATGTGGTTTTACCAGCTGTCACGGCCTTGGAGCCCATTGATACCTCATCGAGCGGGGGCGGGGGAACGTCGCTCACCATCTCCGACTGTGAGGAGATTCTCACTGATGCGCACCTGGGCGATAGTATCGCAGTGAATGGTATTTTGCTCTTTATTTGTCTATAACGCAAGGGATATTGTCTAAAAGTGGGCTCAAGGAACATGTCTTACGGTCACTGCATTCGATAAGACCTGGTTCAAGGTTGGCTGTGCGCCGGAGACGCTGCGACGCACAAACCTGGGTTCCTTGCAGGCGAATTCACACGTGAACCTCGAGCGTGCCGTTTCGGCCGATACTCGTATGGGAGGACACTTCGTGCAGGGACATGTCGATACCGTGGCAGAGATTTTGTCTGTCACGCCGGATGGAAACTCGTTGGTGTTCCGGCTACAGCCGCGGGATCGAGATATTCTGCGCTATGTTGTGGAAAAGGGCTACGTGACCCTTGATGGTGCTAGCTTGACTGTCACCAAGGTTGTCGATGGGCAGGACGGATACTGGGAGGTTATGCTTATTGCCTACACGCAGGGGAAGGTGGTCACTGCGGCCAAAAAGCCGGGTGACCTTGTCAACGTTGAGATCGATATCGTGGGCAAGTATGTCGAGAAGAGCGTACAGGGATACTTTGCTGGTACCTCCGGCGGAGATTTCGCTATCTTGGAGAAGATGGTGAACAGGATCGTCGACGAAAGGCTCAAGAAATAGATCAGAGTTATGAATAATGAATCTGCGCCACTCCAAGCCATTACAATGTTCGGTGAAGGCAAGACAAAATATATCATCCTTAGCCTTCTACGTTATAAAATGAATGGACTGGAACATTCGGAGACTGAATTTCCTCGTTGATTACAGGGAACAGAAGACATACAGCTAGAAATTAGATTTAGTCAAAGCAGAAGAAGGCCGAAGGAAGCAATGAGATACAAAGAGTTCCCGTCAAGCTATGAAAAACCCTTCTGTTATCGTATAGTCTGTGTCTCCATCATCGAGGCTGGATATTATCACCCTTCACACATAGCCCTTTTCCACAGCATACACATGTAGTGAAACTTAAGTTCAATATAAGATGAAGGTTGAATTTGATTTGCAAGACTGCATTATATGAAAACAAAACCTGAAAAACGCCTAGATGCCTATCGGGTATGTGACAGTGACAGAAATTTTGATCCATATGATATGGATATAAGACATGAAGACGGGGGTCATTTTTGATACAGTCCACGTGTGATGGACAAGTCGGCTCGGGTTGAATTCTCGAGTTGGTTCAATCGTAAGAGCCGGCTCGTCCGTCCAGCGATCATGTAGAAGCTTTCAGAAAGGTGTGGTGCAGTGACTTCGGGCAGTCACTTACTCCTCCATAGACTCGTCCGAATCGGCGTCAGAAACGTCATCTGCCGCTTCACCCTCACCCTCAGCGTCCTTGTCAAAGTCATCATCGCTGAGCCAATCTTCATCATCCATATCAACATCCTCATCTTCATCCTCATCCTCGGCCACTTCTTTGTTACCTCTAGCCTTGGCCTTCTCTTGCTTCTTCCGCTCAATGTTCTCCTTCTGCAGCTTCTTTCTCTGCTCCTTCTCCTTCCTCCGAACATCCCAGCTCTGGTCCATTTTCCGCACCTCCTTCTCAGATTTCTTAATGAAGTCGTGCCACATGATCTTGCCATCGCAGACTCCATCCTCAACCTTCATCAAGCGAAGCCGCAAGCGAGGACCCAACTCTACGAGCTTTACGGCCCGCTTCTCAACACCAGGGGTATGGGCTGGCTTATCCTGGCCCTTTTCTGCGGCCTTTTGGCGCTGCATTTCCCGCTTGTTCAGGACTCGGCGGGTGGTGCTCTCTGCAACTTCAACTTCGGCATCGGTGTCTAGCTCGGTCTCACTGGCTGATGTGTAGCCTGCAGCAGAGGGGTCCAGCAGGTAATCGGCGGCATCTTCTAGCTTTCCAAGGTTGGGAACGGCAGTCTTCTTCTTGTCCCGGTTCCGAATCTCTTTGGGATCCAGGCGACGAATTCGTTTCGATACACCGGTCTTCTTGGTGGCAATAGCATAGTGACGGAGAGTCAAGATATATGAGTCGCTATCCTTTTCGGCAGGCTCCCGGTTGAGAAGCATGACACGACGGATGGAAGATAGAGGCTGGCTTTGGGGGTTGATGGGAGGGAAGAGGGATTGGAAGATCGTAGTTGTGAGGGTCTCGAGACGCTTGGGGACTTTGGAATCTTCGGTTGCGCCTGGTGTGGTGAAGTTGTTCATGACCAAGAGGGGAGGGGTTTTGTGGTCCTGTCCGCCACTTTTTGGGCGCTTCATGGATCTCTCAACATCCTTGCACAGCGAATAGTTCTCGACTTTGAAGTGAAGGGTGGGTCCACGGGGAGTAACGGCGAGTCGCATGTTTGTGTTGCCAGTTGCGGACTTGGAAAACAACATAAGATGAGTGACACCTAGGGGACCGGTCATAACGGTATAATCTCGCAGCCTGTTGGATTTGCGTTCCTATATTACTTATTAGACGGAGCGAGCAGACTGGTGGGTGTGAATCATACCTTCAATCGCACAGCAGTATCAGGCTCCATCATGCGACGGACATCCTTAACCAACTGGGTCACACTGCTACCGACTTGAGAAGCGCCTACTCGAATGACCATAGACTTCGGGGTCTTGGACATTGAAGCAGCGCTGCCCTTCACAACAGAAGCATTTTGCGGCTTCTGGTGAGTGCGCTTCTTAACACGTTGCTTGGCCATTTTGATATGAAAGATGAGAAAAATAAAATTGGAGGTGGAAAGCAATGAATACCAAATCGAACAGCTCGAGGTTTTTTTTTTCTCCAAAAATTAACATCAGAAACAGTGCCGGATCAATAATCTTGCGGCCCCACATTAAATTATTTCTTTTGAGATAGTTGAACGTCGACAACTTTGTTTTTGTTAAACACACATTAGACAATGCCGATTACTAAAAAGCGCAAGGTCGCACACGCGGCCCCTGCTGCACCTGTTAAGGACAGCGACGCTGCATCAAATGCAAGCTCCTCCAGCCCTCAAGCCACTGCTGAGGACTCCGATGTCGAAGATAGCGCGAGCGATTCAAACCCCCAACCTACCGCTGATGACCCCAATGTCGAAAATGCTTCCTCCGAGACCGAGCCCAGCGCCCCCAAAACATTCAAAGAATTGGGCCTGATTGACTCACTCTGCGAGGCCTGTGACAAGATGGGATACAAGGCCCCTACACCAATCCAGTCCGAATCAATCCCGCTGGCACTTCAGGGTCGTGATATTATCGGATTGGCTGAAACAGGATCTGGAAAGACCGCCTCCTTCGTTTTACCAATTCTTCAAGGTTTGTGCACATATGACGACTTATACCATCATATACGATACTAACGAGTCTTCTAGCACTCATGGAAAAGCCCCAGCCGTTCTTTGGCCTTGTAATGGCCCCAACCCGTGAACTGGCATATCAGATTTCATTGGCATGTGAATCCCTTGGTGCAACAATCAATGTCAGATCCACCACGTTGGTCGGCGGTATGGACATGGTTCCTCAGTCAATCGCTTTGGGAAAGAAACCTCACATTATCGTTGCCACGCCCGGCAGACTTCTCGACCACCTCGAGAACACCAAGGGCTTCTCCCTCCGCAACTTGAAATTCCTCGTCATGGACGAAGCAGACAGACTCCTCGATATGGATTTCGGCCCCATTCTCGATAAGATCCTGAAGGTCCTACCGCGTGAGCGTAGAACTTTCTTATTCTCCGCCACCCTGAGCTCAAAGGTTGAGTCTCTCCAGCGAGCCTCACTGTCAAATCCGGCCCGCGTCTCGATCTCTTCTAGCAAGTACGCCACGGTGGAAACCCTCCAGCAAACCTATATCCTTCGTCCCTATAAACACAAGGACATCTACCTTGTCTACCTCCTCCACGAGTTCATTGGCCAGTCCGTTATTATCTTCATGCGCACCGTTCATGAAACCCAGCGTGTTGCTTTCTTGCTGCGCGGTCTAGGCTTCGGCGCAATCCCTCTCCATGGGCAGATGTCTCAATCTGCTCGTCTGGGAGCACTAGGCAAATTCCGATCGAGAAGTCGTGAAATCCTTGTTGCCACTGATGTTGCTGCTCGTGGTTTGGATATCCCCTCTGTGGACTGCGTTTTGAACTTTGACTTGCCAACCGACAGTAAGACCTACATTCACCGAGTAGGCCGTACAGCACGTGCCGGAAAGTCTGGAACTGCCATCTCCTTTGTCACGCAATATGATGTGGAAATCTGGCAGCGTATAGAGGCTGCAATGGGCAAAGAGTTGGCCGAGTACCCCGCCCCTAAAGATGAGGCTATGGTCTTTGCCGAGCAAGTGAGTGCTTCGCAGCGTGATGCCATCCAGGCGATGAAGCACTACGATGAAAAGAAGGGAGCCAAAGGCAAAGGAAAGTTCTCGTTCAAGGGTAAGCGAAGTCGCGATGCCATGGACCAGGAAGAGGGCTAGAATCTCATGCTGGTTCATTTTCTCTTTTTTTGTACATGAATAGATGGTCTAGCTTACGAATTTGGGGCGTTTAAGTATGTAATATGAAAAGAACCCATAACTTTCATTACTGCGTCAAAATGATATCGAATATTTCCTGGACCATATTTCCGGGGGTCCATGAAAGTTGAAAAAAAAAAAAAACTCGCTGCCTAAAGCCACTAAGGCCAGTGTGCTAGTTGCAATACAACCTAGAGAAACAATGATCCCTAGGGGCATTTGTCAAGGCCGAAGATCCAAATTGGACTAGGGAATCTATTAGGCGCTGCCTGCCTCGCTAACAGCGTTGGCGACGCGAGTGGCGAGGTCATCCGCCTCGGAGCGGCTGGCAGCCTCAGCGTACACGCGGACGGCATCCTCAGTACCACTGGCACGGGCGAAACTGCGGCCCTTGTTGTACCGAGACTGAAGAGACTCGATAGTGGTCTGCAGGCCGGGAGGAGATTCGAGCTTACGCTCGGCGTCGTATGCCTTGAAAATAGAACGGTCATTGACCTCGACACGCACGAGGCGCGAAGGAAGGTCGGTGTAGGTTCCAAGCCACTCCTTGGGTGACCAGCCCTTGTGGGCGAGGATGGCCTCCACAAGAAGTGCATCGGACAGGGCGTCACCGACAGCCTGATTGATTAGGTCGGTGAGAGCCTGGAGGCTCTCCAGGGCGTGCTGCTGCGCCGGCGATTGAGGCTCGGTGTTCTTGATGACCTTCAGGGCGTTTTCGGAGAAGGTGACGGTACCGTGTCCGTTGGCCTCGAAGTAGACACCAACATCGAACCGCAGTGCAGCGTGGTGGAGGTGCTTCACGCCGGTGTTGGTGCAAATAATGGGGAGCTTGAGAACCTTCTCAATGTAATCCGTGCTTGCACCGTTAGCATAGGCGGTCTGGACAACACCAATCTTCAGCTTGGAAGCAATTCCAGCATTGCGGGCAAGATCGCCAATGAAAGACGCCGCAAGAGTAGCAATGCGGTCACCGTCCAGAAGACGGAACACGTTGCTCTCATCCTGGAAGTAGTAAACAAGACGATCGGCGTCGCCGTCAAGCGAAGCGCATCGATCAAGTATGGCAGCTTTTGAAGAAGGAGGAGCACGTTGCTTAGTCTTAACATAGTCCGCACCGCACTGCATGGGATGTTAGTTGATTGAAGGTTGTGTGCTGGGCAGGTGGAAGCATACATCAAAGTTCAGGGCATCAGGGTTGATCACATCATCATTGACAATCTTAATATCGATTCCAGTGAGGTACTTCATCAGTTCCCTCAATTTAGGTCCACCGACACCGTTGGCGCAGTCCACAGTCAAGGAACCCTGGACCTTGACTCCCCGCATGACCTTCTTGAAGGAGTTTGCAAGCTTCTCATAGTATCCTTGCTCAGTTGGCTCGCCATACTCGTATTGTGTTCCAAGGGTGTTCTTGCAGCGAACGACGTAATGGAGCTGAGGGGTGGTCATGTATTTGAAGTCCACAAACTCGACCTCCGTTGCGGTGAGCGCGGCATTCAGCACGCTCACTAGACGGGAGCCAGAAGCACGGGTGTCACGAGCGAATACCACACGAGCGGGGTTGGTCATCTTCACGTCGATTTCCTTAACAAGTTCGTCGTAGACATCGGCGATCTTATCCAATGGGGCATTTGCCAGTTTTGTCGCGTATGCTTCCCACTCGGCCTAGTTATGACAGTGAGCACGTTATTCCAAATTCGGTCATTCAACGCAGGTCAGTCTTACTTCAAGCATCTCACCCTAAATAAATCATACAAGGTTAGAGGTTAGACTTGTCCTAATGGGGCTGGTACTATGACAGGGGTCAATTGCTTAAACTCACCATGGGGTCAACCAACTTGACACCATTGTCCTCCGCGGGATTGTGGCTAGCAGTAACCATAACACCAATCCATTGTCCGCTAAGTTTCTTCGACCGCAAGCTTGCAAGCAAGCCCACTGCAAAAACAACGGTGTTGAGGAGGTCGCTGCGCAGCCAGATTGGTTAGAACAAGCCGGCGTCAACAAAAGGGCGATCGCGGGGTTCGAGAGATGTGGAGGCGGGGTGGATCAGCCATATTTGAAGAAACTTACGCTTTCATGCGAAACTGTAATAAAGATAATGGAAGTTAGCCGACCTAAAATCCAAGGTAGAGTGTTTATTTAGCAATGCGACATACTCCTGCTGTGCCATACTCAAATACCTTGCCCTCGGGCTTTGTGTACTGCAACGCCGCCTCGGTAATCGCTTTCTTGACAGCCGGAGAGGCCATGACGTAAATGTGTGATTAGTTATAAAGCACCGTAATAAGTTTCAAAAGGAGAGGTGCTCTGAAGCTTCAGGTAAAGTCGAGGTCGAAGAGGAGGGGAGTACTTGAAACAAAAAAAAAAGCGGCTGAGGGGGGGGGGTGAGACACGGTTTATTGCGACGGCCTTAGCGGTGAGCAAATGGCGGGGAATACACGCCAAGACGCGGCAGGGGACGTGGCAATAACCTATTTACCCGCACTAGCCGCCGTGGAAATTAACTGAAACAGTAAACAATCTGGTGGGGAGCATCCCAATCTTCATTGCTGCTACCCCCACGTCTAAGCTACAGTCAAGCATGACACATTGACATGTCTATGCTATCCTGGGCATGTATATATATAATGACCGCCAAAATTCGATCCTCTTCTTTACGCCTTTAACCTATGCGCCGCAATATCGTCCTGTGTGTCCCTGATCAGGAACCTGTCGGGAGCAACCGATGCATTAGTCATGGGAATGTTACGTCGCACGAAGAGGGAGGGGGGACTTACGAATACCACCAAACAGCGGGGACCACTGTACCCAGATGCCAGAGGCTGTGCGCGTCAATCAATCCATTCCAAGGGGGAAAATCGAGCAATTCCAAACTCATGGCCATGATTATCCATGCCACAATCATACCAGGCCAGGCGGTCCAAGACTTCAGATGTCTTTGGTATCGGAAGATACTAAACCCGGTCCACATGAGGTTCTGGATAATTCCGACCACCACGTTCGCCATCATATTGTACGTGTAGTCCCAAGACCAGAAGGTAAGATAAGACACATGCAATGTGTATAGCAGAACGCAGACAGCGGTCCAAAGCCGGCGTAGGGTTGGCCGGTATGGGGTATTTTCGAGGTCCAGGCGGAAGATTCGAACGACGGCAAGGTAAAGACCATACAGCACGCTAGCGCCGGCTGCCCAGTAGTCCAGCTTCTCGGTCAGGGGGAAATCCCGCATATGGAATATCATGCTGAAAGTCCAGCTTGCAAGTCCAATGTATCCAAACATCATGTAGTATGGGCGGAGCGAGTGCCAGGCTGGGATCGACTCTTGGACACGGGACATGCCGTGCCAGTGGGCGGCGAAGTTGAAGAAGGAGAAAAGCACCGAGAAGGGCTCCTGCATCCCTAGGAGCCTGCGGAACGGCCACTTCCCATGGAATTGTACAACCGGGCTGATCATTGGGGGGTCACGCGAAACTCGGCGGTCGGTAACGACATGTTGACAAGTGTAGTCACATTCAGCAGGGCAGGTCCATAGTAGCAAGCGATGGTGCAGAGCTGAAGAGGTCAGAAAAGGGAAACGCGAGGAAGAGTTGGGATGATGATTTGACATACGTAGCACTGAATTGCCGTTCTGACAATTTTCCGTTTTACAGACCTATGGTTGTTAGTTGTTTCCGGGGGTTTGTTGTTAGCGCAGTCGTACCTGGACACATTCTTTGAAGTCGGGGAGATGGTCTCCTAATGACGCGTTAGACCTGCCAATGAGGAAGGCTAGGAAAACGAAAGCGAAAAGAGCGTGGAGATTCACTCTTCCTACGCCCAGATTCATTGTGGGCCAAAAGGTTAGCTCCGAGGTCTTAGGCGTTCAACGCGTAAGCTTGGGGAAGGATGACAGGTTGGGCGGAGCTCCCGGCGGCATTGAAGAGCCTCCCTGGGTGGTCTTGGCAAGATCAAAACAGCCCTTTTGTTTACCCCACAGCGCCATTGATCTTACTTTGTACAGCTTCAATTCCAGTGGAACTGACCTTATTTATCATTCTTACCATATAGCATTACTACTTGGAGAATTTTATAGTTCACTCGAAAAAAGGCGTGGCTAACGACGCAATTGACCTATTCTAAATATAAAATATCGTCAATTGGTGCTTGCTATCCTTGGACAAGTGTTATTCCCCACCCAGATACCATCTATATAGGATTCAAGTACACATTAATATGCCTAGCACTTCCCAGCGTTACACCTATACCACGCAGATAGCCCTATATAAATGAGGGCAAACTATATCACGTGTACACAGGTATATCCACGTGATGACTAAATGCGGCTAGTGCGGGCGGGGATTGGAGTTAAGCTTGGCGGGCAGGCAAATAATCCAGAAAAAAAAAAGTTAAGGATCGATCTCTGTTGGACTTTTATCTTTAACATCCTTCCTAGTATTATTTTTTTTACTCTTCTTTACCGTTCCTTTTCAACCCGTTCTTCTTTTTCGCACAGTCAAGATGGACACCGAATCCGATACCCCTCAGGGGATCACCAGCAGTGCTGATCGCATGGTTGGCATGGAGCACTCTGAAGTCCGCTACTTCACTAGGTACGTTTTTCTTCATCGATTGGGTCTTTTGGATGTTGATACTAATAAATTCATAGCTATGACCACCACGGTAAATTATCTTGATCAGCGATGGCGAATTTTCAGTGTGGTTTTAACTAACGATCATTTTTTTGGGCTATCACAGGTATCCACGAGGAGATGCTTGTAAGTACAAATCTACTGGCTAATTGGCTATTTATGGTGTCTAACATTCATTCCCTACCTTCTAGAAAGATGATGTGCGCACACGCTCCTACCGCGACTCCATCTACCAAAACCGCCACATTTTCAAGGACAAGGTCGTCCTCGATGTCGGCTGTGGAACTGGTATTCTGAGCATGTATGCATCTGGATAATAATCCTGGGATCTCAGAGCTCTTGTTAATTGTTTTCTTAAATAGGTTTGCTGCCCGTGCTGGCGCAAAGCACGTCATTGGTGTCGATATGTCCTCCATCATCGAGAAGGCCCGTCAGATTGTCCACGTTAACGGACTGTCCGATAAGATCACTCTTCTCCAGGGCAAGATGGAGGAAGTTAACCTTCCTTTCCCCAAGGTTGATATCATCATCTCCGAGTGGATGGGTTACTTCCTTCTCTACGAGTCCATGCTGGATACCGTTCTCTACGCCCGTGACACCTACCTCAACCCCGGTGGTCTGATCTTCCCCGATAAGGCCACCATGTACGTTGCTGGTATTGAGGATGGCGATTACAAGGATGACAAGATCGGATGTAAGCAAAAATTCCTTGAACTTTATTCTTTCTTTTTTGCTCCGTACTGACCAAGTTTAGTCTGGGACAACGTCTACGGATTTGACTACAGCCCCATGAAGGAGATTGCTCTTAACGAGCCCCTCGTCGATACCGTCGAGATGAAGGCTCTTGTGACCGATCCCTGCCCGATCATCACCTTTGATCTGAACACTGTCACCACGGCCGACCTTGCCTTCAAGGTGCCTTATGCTCTCACCGCCAAGCGCCCCGACTTCATCCACGCCTTGATCGCCTGGTTCGATATTGAGTTCAGCGCCTGCCACAAGCCCATCCACTTCTCCACTGGCCCCCACGCCAAGTACACCCACTGGAAGCAAACCGTTTTCTACCTCCGTGATGTCCTCACCGTCGAGGAGGAGGAGAAGGTTACTGGCTGGATTGAGAACCGCCCTAACGATAAGAACAAGCGTGATTTGGACATCAGCATCTCGTACAAGTTCGAGACTCCCGATGCCACCCGCGCTGCTGAGGGTGGTTGCTTCTACCGCATGTAAGTTCTTCTGGCATTCAGCTTTGGTTCGTTTTTGAGATCATCATACTAATGCATCATAGGTGTTAATTTTGTTCCACTTTTCTAATTTGATGTCATTGGGTTGTACAACTGCACGTTTGCACGATCTAAGTGAAATATTTTCGTCACGCAATGCATCCTGGCATGGGCATGTATGAAATTGCCCAAGGCGAATTGGACATCCGGTTTCGCCTTTGTTTATTTCGGCGTTTAGTTCTTGGGAGGCAGGAAAACGGCATTTTGTGGCGCGAACGGAGGGATATCATTCTGAAGCTCCTCGAATTTCCAGGTAGATACCCGAGTCGATGCTTAGTCTAGCAAACTCCAACGCTCTTCTTCTGGATATGTTTTCCACGCTAGGTTGTAGATAATATCAATGGCGCAATAGGCAAATAAAATGTAAGATCTGCAATGGGAAATTGTGCCAAGGAGATGGGCTTGTCGGCAAAGCGACGGCAACAAATCGAAAAGATTATCAGATCCTCGGCATCTTGGTGGCCCCCGCAATTACCGGAGCTACTTTAACCTGCCCATTACTCCTTTATTTTCCTCAATTTCTTTCTTCTGACCGTTTTATTTTTGAGTCTGATCTTATATCCTTTACTCTCTTCTTACTACTATCTCAATGTCGGCCCCTGGAGCTGGTCACGAATTCCCTGCCCAAGAGGTTTCTTGGCAGAAGCGTGATGTGCTATTGTTCGCCAACAGCATTGGCATCAAGGCCGATGAGCTGCACTTCCTCTATGTATGTTATAATCCACGTATACCAGTCTGAATACAACAAATCTAACTAGCATCCAGGAACTCCACCCAAACTTCTCGGTCTTCCCAACCTATTCTCTCATCCTCCGTATGTTAAGCACTCCGGGACTTTCGGACAATTGCACTAACTCTAAATCCACTAGCATTCAAGCTTACTGACCAGGAGGTGACCGATTTTTATGCCCGCCAGAAGGCAGTTCATATCCCAGGCGTCCCCGACCTGGACCATCGTCATGGCGTCGATGGCCAGCGCAAGCTCACGGTCCTGAAGCCGCTCCCTACCACTAGTGCAGGGCGCAAGTTTGAGCTACGCAATAAGGTAATTGGTGTCTATGATAAAGGCAAGCCTGGTACTGTGATCGAGACCGAGCAGTCTATTGTGGATAAGGAGAGCGGTGAGGTGTACACCAAGGTTGTGAGTAGCGGTTTCCTGGTCGGACAGGGCGGCTGGGGTGGCCCGAAAGGTAAGATTATGCTTTGATTATCCAGCGTGAAGTATTAACTAACGCATTCGAACAGGACCTAGCACCGTCAACTATCCCCCACCCGAGGGCAAGGCCCCTGATGCTACCCATGTTGTTCAGAGCAACTCAGAGACTGCCCACCTATACCGGTAAGTACTCAGTGCATATAGAGTCCAGTTCTATATCCCTGAATAAAAGTGTATACTTGAAACATCTGATGCTAATTCCTTGGCCAGTCTCAACGGTGACTACAACCCTCTCCACGCCACACCAGAGCCTGGCCAGAAGATGGGCTTTGGTGGTGTTATTATCCACGGTCTTTTCAGCTGGAATTCTGCTGCACATGGGATTCTGCGTGAATTGGGTGGTAGCAATCCTGCCAACATGAAGGAGTTCCAGGCTCGTTTCGCCTCGCCCGTCCGGCCCGGTGATAAGCTTACCACCGAGATTTGGAGAATGGGCAATGTTCAAGATGGCTATGAGGAGGTCCGATTTGTTACTAAGAACGACAAGGGCCGCGTTGTGTTGAGCAATGGTCGTTGTTTGTTGAAGGTGGCAGGCGTGAAGAGCAAGCTGTGATTACAATTATTTACATCAAAGCTCAATTCGATTGCATTTAATTTGCTTTCCAAAATAAATATATATTCAACAAATGACTATTCTTTGTCACTGCGTCCTAATTTTGTATAAAATGAAGTATATGTACTTAAATATGGCAATGTACGGAGTACATAGTTCCTGTATATAGCCACACGTGACCGTAAGCTCGGTTGTCTGAGATTCTGTTAGGATGCATGGTTTCTATTAATCCCCTCTCTGTAAGTTCAGGAAGGCTTCGCTCCTCTTCACCGAATCCGAAAGGCCCCAGGATATGTCATCGCTGCTCTAGAACTCCATCGCCATGACATATGGGACCGAAGCAAGATGACCTCGGCCATCCCAGACAGTAACTCGTCCTCTTCGCCACGAGGCCACAGCCGAAGCGAAAGGGACTCATCCAGTGGCAAGCAACGCAAAGGCCCTCGTCTCGCCCACCGTAAGTCCAGGACCGGATGTCAGCGATGTCGCGCCCGACGAGTAAAGGTACGGTGAATCCATTCCTACACAATCTGTCCTGACTGATGTAGTGTGATGAATCACGACCTGTGTGTCGCGACTGCCAGCGTCATGGGGTCTCCTGTGTTTATGACAGGCCCGCTGAGAAGGGTGCCAACCCCCCCTCAACCGGGATCCAATCTCGCCCACTCGAGCCCAGTCCATCGGATCCCGGTAATGACGCACATATGGAGCTGCGCTTGCTGCATCACTTTACTCTATTCACCAGCGCTACTATGCCGGGGGCCCATCGGAAGCTTATCAAAGACTGTTGGTCGATTGACGTGCCCCGGCTCGCATTCGGTTATAAACCGCTCCTGCACGCCATCTTCGCAATCTCTGCCCTGCATCTGTCCAAAGCCAACCTAGACGAAGCTGGCTTGCCGGACATCCACTGCAATTTCCTCGAGCAGGCTTTGCGCGAACATCGACTCTGTATCGGCGGCATAACTACGCAGACCGCAGATGCGGTGTGCTTTACGAGCATCCTGTTACAGATCGATGTATTTGCTACCTTACAAAACCGTCATGTGGTTTCTTACGAACAGGTAAGTGAATGGATGCGTCTAGTGCGCGGGTCGGTAGCCGTCTTTAACGCGGCCCTGGATATTGCGAGACACAATACTCATCCCCCGAATATCTGGTGTATTATTGATACCTTTCCTATGCCCTTGGGGACGAATTCTGATGCTGGATCATTTTCCTTCCTGCTTCCGACTTTGCCCGACGATGAGGATGACGAGACGGTGCTAGAAGCATATCGAGGGGCCGTCGCGCATATTAACGCCACCTGGCTGGCCATGGAAGCAAAGGAACATCCGCAAATCAGCTGTCGCCGGCTCATGGTCTTCCCTTTGTTCGCGACAGCTGAGTTTATTGACCTGCTCGAGAAGAGGAGACCTCGCGCTTTGGTGGTTCTAGCCTACTTTCTAGCCTTGTCGGAACCATTACGCGGCATATGGTGGATCGGAGACGCTGCACACAAATACATCATGACTATTCAACCAATCCTTCCTGTCCATTGGGAAGGTTTAATGTCCTGGCCAGTGGAAATGACTATATCTCGTGGCACACATCAAACATAACTCGCTATCCAACCACCTCTGTGATTCCCGCCTGAAGCAGCACCTTCTCGATCACAGGCATCTTAAGCGGCACCAGCTCTTTTGTCTGCTCAAACGTCTCGCTGGCCTGTCTCAAGTACGCTGCAAACGTTCCTGGTCTGATATCCGCGTCGTGGTTCTCTGGATTGTCCCGTATATCAGTTAAGTAATCTCGGCCTGCAGTGACAAGGCCATGTGGCAGCTTCATTGTCGATGACATGCTCAGCATACCTTGGACAAGTGCCTCAGCCTCCTTCACTCGCGCATTGTCCAAACCGTCCTCACCGCGTTGCAAGTCCAACAACTCATACTGCTTCCTCCCATTCCAGTCCATCAATCCCTGCACCCAGTATGCTTCTGTCACACAATCAAAGAGCAAAAGATTCTCTTCGAAGAACTTTGGTCCGTCCCATCCCGTTTTGGAGTCAACTAGATGCCCAAGCCGTTCCAGACAAAAAAAACCTGGGCGAGGTAATCTGCAAACTGCGCATACATGAACGGTGGGCGCTTTCCGTCCAACGAGGGCGGCTCGTAGACCGGCAGATGCGCCAGCAGCGGGTGTGAATGCATCCCCACACAGCTCGTTGCGCCATCCCACAGCGTGCAGAAATTCCATGCCAACACTTGATGCAGACACTTCCCCGCCGCACCGCAATGAACCCGTTGAACAGGAAGGATAACTCGGGGCCCATAGAAACCTTGAATGCCACCACCTCGTACGGAGTCCCGGGATCTTCAAAGGCATTCAAGCATAGGGCGTCCAGCCACACTCCGCCATAGAGGTAGAGTAGCGGTAGGCGGATAAGGTCAGAGCTATGCTGTCCTACATGAGGACCTGTCATTGTTCGATTCCAGAAGACATCTGAGAGCATTTCTCGTGGAATATACTGGGACACATGGTTGGGTGAGCCCTCGACGAGGTCTAAGACTCGGACGGTTCATTTGGGACTGAGCCGCCGGACCCAACTAATGACATTCCGCTGGTTCCATGCAGGGCTGTTGGATCAACCTTTGTCCCAGAAGGCCCAAACATTGCGGGTGTCTGAATCGGTGACGGACTTGTACATTTGGAGATCGAATAGAATATTGGCGTCAGTGAGGCGGCTACCCTTTTCTTTTGTTGGAATGGCCATTTTGTCTGCAGTGTGGTATAGAAGCAACTGTGATTTCGAATTCACCCAGGGTGGACGCAAAAGAGTTTATATCCACTGCATTCTACGATACAACATAGCCCAACAGGAGTGTCGGAGATGTGCCTGCTCCCTGATTGTCTCTATCGAAATAGACCAGCTCTTGTCTATTATGCCATGCTTACAGCGCGACAGGGATACTCGGTCTCGGTTTGGGTCTCGGTCTTGGGGCCAATTCCCAGTTTTTGGCCTCTCATCTAGCCATCCTTGTCGTGATGATGCGGCATAATCACATATTGGGGGACCAAAATAATATAAGAGAGGGGTTGTCTGTGTTAGCGCTGGTGAGATTTTGGCAGAGGATTCTGGCCCCTGTCAAGGCTTGAACAAGGGTGCTACCAGATTTCCAAGCCATGCCGGCTCGTGCAGTGAAGTGGCTAAAGCAAGTCCAAAACTCCGACCGCGGGTAGGGTAAGTCCCTCCTCTCGTACCACGAGCCCTGGCGGGCCGGGTGTGGGCTTTCCATGCCCTCGCAGACAGCATGGGCGCTTATGGGTATTTTGACAGTCTGTGGGGGCGATGATCGGTCTGTGCAGCGTGGGGTAAGGCATTTGGTAGATACGCAGGATGATATGTTGAGGCAGGGTGACGGTGACGGTGGGGCGGCGGCGTGGACAGAGCGCGAATTCACGAGTACTGGCTTTCCCAACCATTTCTACATCTCGTATACGCTGGATCGAGTTTATTTATCTATTACCGCGTTGGGGAGGTATCTTTCTTCGGTCGAAGGAGGCCAGGAGAAGAAGGAGAAAGGTGGTGGCGCTTGATCTGCTGGTCTTGTTTAGTTCAAGCTTTTTGTCTAGATTGCCTGTTTGGATTTAGTTCGTGAACCCTTGCATGAGGCGTCGCAGAGGATTGGCTCTGATTGACAAGGATTCTCGGTCTCGTTTCGTAGCGTCTAAGCCTGCGGCTTGGGCCTCTTGGCTGGCGTCTTAACTATATGCCCTAGAACTAGTTGCCTAGAATGGATTATTTTATCTACCTATGTTGTAGATACCTTTTACTCTACCCCGTGGACCCCAATCCATCTCCTCATATCTCTCCTAAACCTGTACTGCAACAGCATTGCCCATCTCCTACACTGAATGAGTGAAGATGAAATCCGGACTCCTCATCGCGCAACTCGCCCTCTACGCCCCCCCTAACACTTCCAACTCTCTACCACATCTTCCGCCATGGCCACCACAGCCTCCTCGCCTGGCTCTACCTCCTGGCCTTCTGCGTTCTTCGCGTAACCGGTGCCGCCATGGGCCTCAACGATCCGCATAACGCAGGCGCCCAGATAATATCCAGTATCGGGCTCTCGCCGCTACTGCTCTCGATAGACGGGATGTTGCATGAGGCGTATGTTACCCAAAAACTGACCCAGCGCACCGAGCCCTATTTCCTGTCCATTCATTAGGAGCAAGAGCCAGTGCAATATCTCATATGTGTCTCATTGTTATTTAGGAGAATATATTGTTTATCCCCGAGCAAACGAACCGAATGGACGTTCATGGCGCTCATCCATATCCTCGTTGCGACGGGGGTGGCAATGGTTGGGGTTGGTGCTGGCGGGTTGTTGGGCGATACGCCTAAGCCCAGTGATTTATCCAATGTCAAGGTCGGTATGGTGCTGTTGGAGGTTGCGTGGGGTGTGCTCGCCTTGTGGGGGCTGTGGACTCTTTGGAATGGGATGGGTGGGGTGAGGAAAAGTGCTGGAAACCAAGGTGCACCGGCGGGCTTGGCCGCGAGGGCGAGGGAGGGGTGGTTGGTACGCTCATCCCCCTCATTTTTCCAGATAGATCATTGATATGATTGTCTGGTCTGGGGACGGAGGAATGGTATATGCTAACTTAAAGATGCCTTGAGACACAGCTCCTAATCGGTACCCTCCTCGCCCTTGCCCTCGTTGAGATTTCAGTGATATACATGCTTGTCGCGGAATTCACACAGCGTGCGGATCTAAACCCGACGACAGGGAATTTGGCTGTTCGTGTTGTGTTGGGGTTTTCCCCCGAGTTGCTCGCGGCGATTGTTTTGGTGTTCGCTGGGTTTGTGACCAGGGGAGCGGGTGAAGTTGGTGCTGGTGAGGCTGGGCTGGAGCATGGGCAAGGGCGCCGACACAGACATGCTCATGGCCATGGAAGGCGCTCGAGCTCGAAACATGGGACTCGATCCCATTCGAGGTCACATTAACCTTCGCATTCGCACTCTGCTGGGGGAGTGGGCGAGGATTCGTATTGAAATGGGAGGTTATCTCTTTTTGTATGGTGCGCTATATGCTGTAAGGCGCCGGGCTTTATGCAGCCAAGTCTATCAGAGTTCCAGCGCTTAATATGTGTATTGTGCTTTTATGGCCTCAGCCGGAGCCCACAACCTATCTACTCCTCCCTGTTTGGTATAAGCGGTGAATGATAGGAATTGATGTGTACAGCAATGTGCTAAATTGACATATGTAAACATCTCTAACTCAATTGACAAAATCCGCTGCTTTAACAATCTATAATACATAGTCAATTTGACGCTAACTATATCGGGTATAGCACGTTGTCCTTTGCCTTTTAAAACGCTCCCGAGGTCCGATCTTATATGTGTATTAATAAGCTCCTTATCGGCTGCGGTGGTCCCACCTTACACATGAAATTACTACCCCGGATCCATTTCCCCAAACACTGCTGCATCCATATGTCCTCTACCTCTGATCCCTTCGTTCTCCATATTGACCATGAATTTCAGCTGGCGTGCAGCACTCAGGTCGAGTGAGCTGTGGAGTCGCGGGTAAGATCTGCTATTTCCATATATTATTGAACACTCAACGCTGAAATACTCTCGAATTAGACCCAAGAGCCTGAGACCCCGCTATTCCCCCGTTGGTGGTTTGGTACGGACTTAGTGCATGATATACATTCGAGTTGATCAATCAAAAAAACTAACTCAGTCGCTTTGCTCTGTTGTTCATAGATTGGCCACCGACATGTCACACCTGGCTTCTCAAGATTGCTGAACACCCAGATGGGCTCGAGTGGTCCTCAGACTGCTTGGTTCAGGTCTGATATAGTAACTTTTCCAGGCAAGGACAGAAAGGATCGGGAAATCACGTTTAATTTGTAAGTTTGTTCTAACTCCAAAGAAGGCGAGTACCAACTAACTTGCATTGTGTAGCGGTCGTTTTTTCCTCAGGTTAGTGGCTAAGACATAAACTAGAAGCCTGAAATCTGGTTAACAACCTGATTTCTACGACTAGGGAAAATTGCCAGTGTCCTAAATGTATTCATCCGGATACGATGCAGAGTACAAGTGACACTTTCTCGGTAGGGATCTCACAGCTCTCTGTGACTACATTTTCCCTGACACTACCCCCTACAGATTCCGGAGAATGTTAAGATAGAGTCAATTGAGCACGGTGACAACATGGTCAAGATCAAGTGTGAGAGATGACATGCATAATGTTGACCCTTTTATTACCAAAACTAACACCGCCATAGGGTCTGATAAGCACACGGGGCTTTATTCGTATGCTTGGCTTAATGCACACTCACAGGAACTGTCTAGCATCGAAGGAACCAAGTCGGTGCCATATCCCGAATCAGCAATGCGACCTCCTAGGTAACTCACTCAAAGTCAAAACATCCGCGTCACAAGATGACGTTGACACCATAGAAGGCAGTTCACCCCAGTCGTGGATCCAGACCAGACCCCCAGAGTCAAATATGACGATGTCATGTCAGACGATGAACCTCTTCGTATTTGGTTGACTCATATTGTAAGTCCCTCTGTCTTGACTTCTGGATCAAACTTACTAACACTTATGAAGTGGGATAAGGGCTTCTGTTTTGTAGACGATGTTCCTGTCAATCCAGAGGCTACTCAATCTCTCATCGAGCGGATTGCGTTCATCAGGAATACCCACTATGGTATGCACAGCAGATCCACGATTCATTAATGCCTCACATAGCTAACGTAGCTTCAGGTGGCTTTTGGGACTTCACAGCCGATTTGACCTTTAAAGACACGGCATATACCAACGAATTCCTAGGTGCTCATACAGACAACACTTATTTCACAGATCCTGCAAGACTTCAGCTGTTCCATCTTCTATCCCACACCGAAGGATCTGGGGGAGAGAATCTCCTTGTTGATGGATTTGCAGCCGCAGCTCAACTACGCCTCGAAAACCCCGAGCATTATGCCCAATTGGTAAACCATAGGCACCCGTGGCACGCAAGCGGGAACGAAGATACCTGCATCCAACCATCCGCCATGGCACCCGTATTTTCGATACACCCGGACCTGAATAAAATGTACCAGATCCGCTGGAACAACTATGATCGTGCACCAAAGACCAATTGGTCGGCATTGGAACAGACCCTATGGTACCGTGCTGCGCGCCATTATAACGAGATCTTGCAGAGCAAAGAAATGTGGACAAAGCTAAAACCAGGGTCGGCGCTCAGTAAGTCTTTTTTCCATTCTAATGGCCACTTCAGCTTACATATTTGTCTTAGTGTTCGATAACTGGAGAATGTTACATGGCCGTTCTCAGTTTACTGGAAAGAGACGAATGTGTGGTGGCTACGGTATTTATTATCTGATAACCTCCCTTTCAAACTTCTCTACTAACGAAATGCCAGTCAACAATGATGACTATATTTCTCGACTTCGTCTGCTCAAGTTTGGTCGGAAAGAGGTGCTGGACAACCTTGGTAACGTCGAAAATAACCCCCAGAACCCTTATTGGTTCATCTAGATTCTGTGTGGTTACTTGATACAAGACAAATGGACAGAAAATACATACATTTTACAAAAACATAACCAAAAGTGATTCAAAGTAGATAGATAGAATCGAATCGCACTTGATTATAAACGTAGATCACATCACGTGACGCTCCATGGCTGACGTTGTTAGAGCTCGGCCACCGACAGCTCTTCCTCCCAGCAACCTTCTCATCTTCCCCATCCTTTTCCAACTATCCACCTGCTGTCTCCTCATTTTCAAGCTTTCTATTTTTCAGATTCTATAATTCTCGATTTTTCGATTTCACCATGTCGACTCTTGAGGACCTCGACGACCTTGAGCAGGAGCAGAGAGACAAGAAGCAAGACCAGAATGGCGATGGCAAGAAGCCCCAAGGCGACGGCGATGCCAATATGGAAGACGCCGACAAAAATGATGAAGAAGAAGAGATGCTGGACGAGGATATCTTGAACTCAAGCACGGCAGACATCGTTACGCGACGGCGGATGCTGGAGAACGAGATGCGAATCATGAAAAGCGAGTTCCAGCGTTTGACACATGAACAAAGTACAATGAGGGAGAAGGTGAAGGATAATCAAGAGAAGATTGAGAACAACAGGTGCGGATTCCCTGGTCCCCGTGTTCGCCGTTCTGCAAGCCCGCGGAGGGTGGCCGGCTTGCGGATCGGCGAAGAGACACTTTGCTTTCAACGGTCTACTGACACTTTAATCTGTGACTATCTAGACAACTACCCTACCTTGTTGGAAACGTTGTCGAGCTATTGGATCTTGATGTGGAGGCAGAGGCAGCAGAGGAAGGGGCTAATATCGACCTGGATGCCACCCGCGTAGGCAAATCCGCTGTCATCAAGACCTCCACCCGCCAGACTATCTTCCTTCCCCTTATTGGCCTTGTCGACCACGAAAAACTGAGGCCCGGTGACTTGATTGGTGTCAACAAGGACTCATATCTCATTCTGGATACACTCCCGGCCGAGTATGACAATCGCGTCAAGGCAATGGAGGTTGACGAGAAGCCTACGGAGAAGTACACAGATATTGGTGGTCTGGATAAGCAGATCGAAGAGATCGTGGAAGCCATCGTATGGCCTATGAAGGAGGCAGAGCGCTTTAAGAAAATCGGCATCAAGGCCCCTAAGGGTGAGCTATTTTCCCCTTTCTCCTGCACTCCAAAGCTAACCTCATTTCCCTTCTGTAGGTGCTTTGATGTACGGACCCCCAGGTACCGGTAAGACGCTTCTCGCCCGTGCCTGTGCCGCCGAGACAAACGCCACATTCCTCAAGCTCGCCGGACCCCAACTGGTGCAGATGTTCATCGGAGACGGCGCCAAGCTTGTGCGCGACTGCTTTGCCCTGGCCAAGGAGAAGGCACCCTCTATCATCTTCATCGACGAGCTGGACGCCGTGGGTACCAAGCGTTTCGACTCAGAGAAATCCGGAGATCGCGAAGTGCAGCGAACCATGCTGGAACTTCTGAACCAACTGGATGGCTTTGCCTCAGACGACCGCATCAAGGTCCTAGCGGCAACCAACCGTGTCGATGTGCTGGACCCTGCCCTCCTGCGTTCCGGTCGTTTGGACCGAAAGATCGAGTTCCCCCTGCCAAACGAGGAAGCCCGCGCCAACATCCTGCAGATCCACTCGCGCAAGATGTCTGTCGAGGACAGCGTCAACTGGGCCGAATTGGCCCGCAGCACGGACGAGTTCGGCGGTGCCCAGCTCAAGGCCGTTTGTGTTGAGGCTGGTATGATTGCACTCCGGAAGGGTCTGAGCAAGATCGGTCATGAGAACTACGTCGATGCTATCGCCGAGGTCCAAGCTAAGAAGAAGGATACCAACATGGGCATCTATGTTTAGAGTAGACCATCTTGCTTTTTATTCCCTGATCCATACACGTTCTCTGCTTTGTTGCCTCTGTTATGTCTCGAGTCATCTCGTGTATGTATGCTCCCTTCGGCTTGAATGGAAGTCGGTAATTCGTTATGCATGAATGGCGTGGACCTCTTATTGCGATTTTCTTTATACATCTTCCAAGTAAATTGTGTTTGATCATTTACTATAATGATACTATCTATATGGCGGAGTAGTGGTCGTAGACAGATACTCGGATTCAAAAACCCTGTTTGATCACTGTGCATCGTAGCATATATCAATAACTGCGACTATAATCACTTATGCATAGCGAATGCCACAGCAGCCTAGAGAACCCCCAGGGGCAAACAAAAAACCGATAAAAAGACACGCAAAGATGCAATGGTCATAAATCCATACCAACAACCGTGGTTCATCACACACACCAACACACCTTCCACCATGAGTTTTGTATAAAAAAATGAACAGACAAGGAGAAAAAAAAAAGAGAAAGCAAAGAGTCAATGAAAAAGGAGAAAAGACAATCCCATCAGAAAGCTCCCGGCCCTAAGTCTTAATTCTTACCCTGGGTATCCTTAAGAGTAACAATGCGATTAAGAACCAACTTCTCATCAGTAGACTCGCGATCAACAGCAAAGTACGCAACACGCATACCCTGGAATCGAATAGAGTGCTTATTCTCACCAGCCTCCGTAACGCCCTCCTCCTTAGGCCACGGTGCCGAGCGGGAGATATCCCGGAATCCAGTCTCGACCATAGCATCCTTGAAGATCTCCTCCGAGTCCGGGTTGATGTCGGCGAGGAAACCAGCCGGGTGGGCAGACGGATCCTCCGACTTGAAGAGCGAGTTGAAAGCACGGACCTCAGCGCGGATGGGGCTGTTGTGCGCGGCCGACTCACCGACCCAGTGGATGAAGGACTTCGGTTTCGTGGTGGGGCTTCGCCTTCGGCGGGCTTCTCGTATTTGGCGTGCACACAGGTGACCTCGCCGGTGGCAGGGTCTGTTTCGAAGGAGGTTGCCGTGATGGGGTAGGGGGCTTTGAGGAGGCCGACTGTTTTGCCTGGGGCGAGACGGAAGTAGTCTGGTGAGTCGACGGTGCGGAAGTCGGAGCGCTCGATGTAGACTGTCTTCGTGAAGGGGATGTTGTGGGTGCCGAAGGCTGGGTCCTTGGAGAAGGGGCAGTCAAGAAGCTCGAGGTGGTCTTCCGGGAGATCGTCAATGATGACCTTGAGCGGCTCGAGGACGACCATCAGACGTGGGACTGTGGTTTCGAGGTACTGGCGGACGGTCTGCTCGAACTTGGCAACCTGGACGTTGGTGGTGTTCTTTGTTACGCCGAGGTCGTTGACGAAGGCGAGGATCGCGCCGGGGGCACGCCGCGACGGCGCAGCGCGATGAGCGTGTACAGGCGTGGGTCATCCCAGTCGCGCACATGTCCTTCCTTGACAAGCTGAATGATCTTGCGCTTGGACAGAACTGTGCCGGTGATGTTGAGACGGCCGTACTCGCGCTGGTTGGGGCGGTAGACCTCCAGCTTATCGCAGAGCCACTCATACGAAACACGGGAAAGCTCGAACTCGGTTGTGCACAGCGAGTGGGAGATTTCCTCAATGCTATCACACAAACAGTGCGCGAAGTCGTAGGTCGGGTAAATCTTCCACTTGCCACCGGTGAGGTGGTGATGCTTGTCCTCGGTGCCCATGATGCGCCAGGCGAACAGATCCCACATCTGCGGGTTCGGGTCTGTGATATCCTGCTTCATGCGAAGCGCTGCCTCGCCAGCCTTATATTTTCCGTCGCGCATGGCACGGAATTCGGCCATGGACTCCTCGATAGGTCGTGTGCGGTGGCTGCATGCAAAGCGTTCTCCGCCGCGCTGGCCGCCCTCGAGCTCACCACGCTGGGCCTTGATCTCGGATTTGTTGCAATGGCAGACATATGCGCCATCACGCTTGATGAGGTCCTCTGCGAGCTCGTAGAGGCGGTCGAAGTTATCACTGGCGTTGGTCTCACGCACAGGTGTAAAGCCCAGCCATGTCACAATCTCCCTAATGGCATTGTAGTACCGCTCCTCCTCGCCTTCTGGGTTGGTATCGTCAAAGCGCAGGATGCACTCGCCGCCGTGGTACTTGGCAAATCCAAAGTTGATTGCGATGGCCTTGCTGTGGCCGATGTGGAGATATCCGTTAGGCTCGGGCGGGAATCGCGTGCGGATCTTGGGGACGGTATCGGAGAGGGGCTTTTCCTGGTAAACGTCGTGCAGGAAGCCGACCTTGAACATAGCATCGGGGTCCCGGGGCGCAGGGGCTTCCTTAGCCTTGGGTGCCTTTGGCTCTCCCTTTGGCTTGGGCTGGTCCTGTCTTGCTAGCTTGGCCGCCGCTTTCTTGGCCGCTGCGGCCTCTTTCTTCTCCTGGCTCTTGGACTTCTTGGGTGGGTCCGTAGGCTCGGTGGCCTCCTTGGGCCTCTCAGGCAGGTCGACAGGCTTTGCGGGGTCCATTGCGACGGATGACGATTGTGAAAGCGAAGGTGGGGGATATTTTTTTCTCAACGAGGGGCTCTTTGTATTCAATGCTTATCAGTTCACATTCGCTTATCGGTCCGATTTAGCCCGGGATGAGTCATCTTCTATACTGCCCGGGTCTGGTCTGGCGATCGTATTCAAGTGACTGTACTTTGTACAATGTACGAGTATACGCCTACTTTTACATATAAAGGATTCTGAGTCATTTTCTACGTTGGTCAATTAATACTATATGGCCAATTTTGTACAAATATGATACAGGGAGTATGCAGACTCAAATGAGACAGGAAGAAGAACAGGGCACATTAAAACTTCCACCGACATGCAATGATACAACAATGAAAGATAGTTCGAATGACCAAGAGCCAAAGCACATTGAATCATTATGCAATGCAACCTCCATCCATATGACACAGCAGTGCGTGTATCATGGACCCTGTATAATGAGATAAGAACCGGCAAACAGGATGATCGAAACGAGATAAGAAAAAGACAACAAGTGCGGGGTATATGGCGTAGAGTATACAAAGACAAATAGAAGGAGAGAAAAAGAGAAGGTCGAGGAGTAGGAAGGATAGGTTAGAAAAGTTGTTTAACGTCAACGAGCTCTGAGTTGCCCGGACGATCACGCTCCATATGGAACCACCAGTCCCGGCCCATTTTGTGGTTCCACGTTCCAGTACAGGTATCTTTGTCCCAGGGTAAGGCCGAGCCCATTGCACTACTGATAGGTGTGATTGGTGTCGAGGGTGTCGTTGGAGACGTACCCATCACAGACCGCCCACTCAAGCTTCCCCAGCCAAATCTGGAAATGGTGGACGCGGGCGACATGGGCTCCTCGGGAGGTGCAATAGAAGGGCTTCCGCTGCCGAAGCAGTTGACGCCTACTCCGGCCGCATATGACAGTGACTGGTTCGAGGCTAGCAGTTGTCTCCATCCAATCAAACCACCGTCTGCCTCCTGGCCAGCGATATCAGGACGGAGGATGAAGTGAGGAATTGATGCGCCTGTTGCAGGATCCCGGAACCCACTACGGCCCATCAAGGTTGGCATACGGAACTCATAGACCGTTTTGGGGGCGCTGTGGTCATTGTCCTCATGTTTAAACCGCTCGCAGGCAGCCCAGATCCCGTAGTCGTCCATTTCCTGGTCGGGCTCTTCCTCGAATTGGGAGTGCTTCGCGTTATCCGGCACATATGCATCCGAGTAATCTTGGATCAGAACTGGCATGCCGGCCTCGGTGTCCTTGGCGGCCATATCAATGAACGTCTGAGCACGGATTCGAGCTGAGGTCAGATTGTTCCCCGCTGGTAGAGCGAGCGGTCGAGTATTCACGGAACCGTGAGAGCTGCGAGGCAAGCTGTATCGGTCCGGTCGGAGTAAGGCTTGCCCTTTTAATATAGGCCGACAGACAGCCTGGAGTGCACCTGGGGGCTCCACATCGCAAGGTGCGCGGAGAGCTTCCAGTTGAGGAAACCCAGCGGAGATGATGCTTTGTGCAAGATGATAATTGGGGGTATTGGAGGGTTTTGTGGGTTTCTGGAAGGGGAGGGTATCAAGCTGGGTGAGGGCTGTACCTGGGTCTGGGCATGCCACATCCCAGTGGAGATATTTTAGAGTTGATGAGGCCAGGATAGGCTGAAAGATCATATCTTCATCTGGCAGAGTTGGACACTTTTCGGTTTGGACTATCTTGAATCGTTCAAGTTGTCGTAGTGATGCAAGGATTTTCGAAACGACTAGCAGTGACTCGACGTTCTGTTCGACCAAGACGAGTGTCTTTAGGGAGAGTGATTCGGGTCGTGACGTGTACTGCGAGAGACCAGCGTCTGTAACCCCGGCCAAGTTCTCCAACCTTAGTGACTCCAGTGGTGGTAGACACATCAATGTGTTATTATCAAAGGAGTCTTTGTTGAAGGAGGTGATGCAAAGGTTTCGCAATGAGGGAAGAAGATTGAACATGCGTAGGGAGATACTAGGCTCCAATGAGCCATTTCCGTTCAACCCATAAAGCATCAGTGTCTCCAGCTTTGTCCATGAGGTGTGATAATCCAGAAACTCGAACATTTGGGAGGGGCCTAGGCTCCCAGGGCAGGAGTCGTCGCGAGGGGACAACTCCGATGCTTCTGCGGGCTCTCCCAAAACCCACGTGTGCTCCTTGAGCTTTTTGCGGGTCGATAAAGCATGGGTCAGGCGATCGAATTCATGGTGGTATGGGATAGACAAGCCTAACAGGCGCTCCAGGTTCGGACACACCATGACCACGGATGCTACCATGTCGCGATACTCCTGCCACAGCGTACCTTGTTTCATCGTAGTAAAGAGCAGGTCTACCTGAGGCACCCGCAGCTCGTATACAAGGTTGGCCAGTAACTTCCGCTCGCGGAGGGTTCGTCTCAGGAGCTTTAGACGGCTCCCTCTCTTCAGACGATATTTCTTGAGTTGGGCCGGGGAGTCATTTCCGACAATGTGTATACTATTGTATCTAGCGTGGCATATTCAATCAGTAAATAGTCTTTGTTTTATATATATATATATATATATTGATAACCTTGAATCAATCAAGGGGAAACAGGACTCAAACTCACAGAGGTCCTCTAACAGCCTTTTCCCAAGAGCGACAGGTCAAGGCTAAGGCGTGTAAATCGCGTTGAAAACACGTGGTACATCCTGTCTGGTGCTGCCCTTTGTGTAACTCCTCTAAATGGTGGATTATCACTTCGTAGACCTCGTGTGGTAATCGACGTTGAATTGGTTCGGTTAACTTGGGAAGAGAATTGACAGAGTCGCATTGGCGGTAAGATGAGGAGGGTGAGGATGGGGAATATGTGGTCGGCACGGTAGAGGCGCTATAGTTGGTTCTGTAGGAGGATATCGAGGAGGTTCGGGAAGCACTTGAATGAACGGAATAGTCGACGTGGTTCTCGGGTATAGAATTATAAGATACCACAGGGGTCTCTGTTCTAGTGGCAACAACACTCATTGTGAATTTGCTTTCGCATCGGAGCAAACGATAGGAAAAAGCAAATTCAATTCCCAATAGGGAGGTGGAGGGGTTCGGGAATGTAGGGGGAAGTTTGAAAACGCGTAATATATGGAGATCGGCAGGTTGTAACCGTTTTTATATAGTTAGAACAACACGCGTCTTAAACAATATGATCAGGAAAGATGAAGAGAATGAAGAGGAAGAATAGTAGGAATATCTGGAAAGTGAGAGGATCAGATACAAAGTAGCACGTCACGTTAGAAAAAGAGAAAAAAGAGAAAAAGAAAAAGAAAAGACAATGTTGGTCGATCTCCCCCACAACAGGAATGAGTTGAAGGTAAACCCGTGGACCTCCATCATTACGGAGTACACTGTAAGCCGTGCAGAGCGTGCCCAGCGGAGACGGGAAGGGGCGGTTCAGGGGTTAACATACGATCTTTTTGTTTATATTCGATACTGGAATTGTTAGTTTTTATTTATGTTTATATAGGAACTGGTAGATTACATTTATATCTATACATCTATATATCTATATATTATTATCTGATATCCTACCATGTTAACCGTACTATCAATATGAAATCTACTATGTACAACATAAGTAAGATGAATATCAAAAACATCCGAGTGTCAAAAGGGTTCGTGGCCTTGACCACACTATCGCCTATTTTGGTTTAACCCCGTGGGTCGTGGCTGAATTAGTCATCCATTATACCCCTTTTCCTGTTCCTTTTTCTCTGTGCTTTTAGATTAATAAGTTATATTATTAGTATCTCTTTGCTTTTAGGGTGATTGAGATTGATATCCAGTACACTGAACTGTTTCACATTATAGTGCTTCATATATAGTTCCAGATTATCCCCTTTCTCTGTTATATGTTGTCTGTTGTATGTTATATTCAAACGGCCCATGCGCATATTATCCTGCAGGCCAATGAAATAGGCAATTAGGCACCTTTCTTTTGACTTTGGATTGATTACTCCCTAAATATGGAGTACTGCATGGCATAAAGGGATCGACATAGGTATCACTATTGACCGTATCAACCTTCTCCATCCCGAGTATAACCAGCCTATCGTATCACCTAGTCTAACCCTTGGAAGGTGTGTCTATTATTATTAAACCTAAAAACCTGACTCAAGTTGACTAAACTCCCTACTTCGTACAATCTTCCTGATCAATAAAGCAAGATCGGCGAATAGGCCACTCACTCCTCGCTCCTTGCAAAAGACTCAACGCGTAGTACGGAGTAGTCCATCTACATCATTCCTACCTCACATTTTACGATATATATATATATATATATACGTATGTATGGCCAACTCAAAGCGGAACTTTCGGGTATGTAGGGAGATATGTATATCTCAATCCACTCCGACAGATCGAAACGTGGAACAGAACCACAGCTGAAACTCCGATCTAGTGGAGACGCACCGAGGGTCTAACTCCAGTACTGCGGCCAATTGCGCCATTGCATGTCATTGTACTGACGACTACTCCGTAGGGCTTGAGAGTGCCACTTTCGGGGTGTTCCTCAGATTTGGAATTCCATGTGGAAGATCCACTTATCCGCGTGTGTGTCTGCATTACAATCGGGACAGGAACCGAAACCAAATACTCCATAATAGACTTGAGCACGTCGGGGAGGGTTCTGATGTCGGTATACTCAAGTAATTCAATTCGTAAGCTATGTATATATATATGTTTGGCGTTCTATATCTACAATTTGATGAAGAAAACCTTGGACGCTCGCAGTATCGGTAATTCAATTATTTATCGTTTTATGCTACCTACAAGGCAAGGCCAGAAGCATGATCACCTCACTCCAATACACACATAATATAAGAGCCACAAGGATCCACAGTCACTTCCCACCCCTTTGTTCCAATCATAGAAATTGGCCAGCGTGATACCCGGGGCCTTGGCGATTCTCTCACAAGTGTCGTCACTCCCAACTCGATAGAACGTGTTACAAGTCCCAACCATGCCGCTCTGGGTCGGCGTTGGCGTAGCCATCTCATTGTCTTTGGTAGTTGTTGTCGGCTTGGCATCCACGTTCACGGCACCGACGCAAATGTAGTAATCGGGCCAAAGCCCGCTGCAGGTGGATCCTATGTCCGTATTCCATTTCGATAGTTGCTCAGTGCTGATCCCACAGCTTGTGGCAATCTCGCCACAGTCATCTCCAGATTTGACCTTGTAGAAGGTATCGCAGTTGCCCACCATTCCTGCACGTGTGGGAGTGGGAGTTACGATTCCAATTGCTGCTGTCGTGGCCGTGGTTGTTGGGTTGGGATCAACTCCGATAATGGATACACAGACGTAGTGGTTCACCAAGAGACCGGAGCAGTCATTTTTGATCTCGGGGTTGTATTGGTTGAATTGGGCCATTGAGATTCCATACCTGTGAGCAATGTTTCCACATTCATCGCCGTCGACGACCAAGTGGAAAGCATCACAGTTATTCACCATACCCGGGCGGATAGGAGTTGGAGTTGTGATACTGTTTGCGGGGGTAGTGGGATTTACGGTTGTGCGTGTCGGATCAACGCCGGTGGAAGCCGCTAGAGGAGAAGCCGCCGGAGTGGACGTTGCTGCATTAGCCGCCGCTATACTGGAGGCCGCTGCACTAGACGCTGCTGCACTAGATGCTGATATACTAGAGGCCGCTGCACTCGACGCTGCTGCACTGGACGCTGCTATGCTAGAGGCCGCTGCACTGGATGCTGCTGCACTCGCTGCTGCTATACTGGAAAACGCTGCACTAGAAGCTGCTGCACTTGATGCCGCTATACTAGATGCTGCTTCAGCGGACGCTGCTGCGCTAGATGCTGCCGCACTTGATGCCGCTATACTAGATGCCGCTGCACTGGACGCTTCCGCACTAGACGCTGCTATGCTGGACGCTGCCGCACTAGACGCCGCCGCACTGGACGCGGTTATGCTGGACGCCGCTGAGCTGGACGCTTCTGCACTGGATGCCGCTATACTGGATGCCGCCGCACTGGACGCTGCAGCACTGGAGGCCGCTATGCTAGATGCCGCCGCACTGGATGCTGCAGCACTGGAAGCCGCTATGCTAGAGGCCGCCGCACTGGATGCCGCTGCACTGGATGCCGCTTCATCGGATGCTGCCGCACTGGATGCTGATGCACTGGATGCCGCTATACTAGAAGCCGCCGCACTAGATGCCGCTGCACCAGAAGCCGCTATACTAGATGCCGCTGCACTAGAGGCTGCTGCACTAGAGGCGGCTGAACTAGAGGCTGCTATACTAGAGGCTGCTGAACTTGACGCTGCCGCGCTAGAAGCCGAGATACTAGAGGCTGCCGCGCTGGATGCTGCTGCACTGGATGCCGCTGCACTGGACGCTGCCGCACTGGACGCTGCCGCGCTGGACGCTGCCGCACTGGACGCTGCCGCACTGGATGCCGCTGCACTGGACGCCGCTGCACTAGAGTCTGCTCCGCCATAAGGTACCGCACTGGAAGTTGACGTTGCGGTCGTGGGCTGAGGGTCAGGCGTTCCAAACGCTTCAACGCAGTAGGAGTGATAATCGAGGAAGTTGCCGCAGCTCGCTGTTATAGAAGGGTTTTGTTCCAATCAAAACGAAGATTAGTGGAATGGGCACGCATTAAGATGGTAAATATGAACTAACCCATTGTAGGAACTCTTCCATGCTAATGCCCCAACTGGACGGCATGTCCTTGCAGGCAACTGACCCATCATTATCCCACCACCACGAACAAGTCAAAGTAGTTTTTGAGTCATGCGGGAACTTAGGTATCTCGTCCCTTCGGAGCTTTGTTCCGGCAGCAAAGGCGCTCGTGATCCAAAACAGACCCAAAAGGGCGGCGCACATCTTGCCAACCATGCTAGAAAAAGCTTAATCGCAAACAAGGAATCGATACTAGAAGGTAATCGAATCAGGTGAGTACTTGGCCATCTTGGTATTTATATAGAAGGTTTGCCCAAATCAAGCTTATATTAAGATGGATTAGGGTAGATCGGCATAAACGTTGGAACCCGAATGTTTAATTGGATTCCGAGGTTCTCTGCTATAGATCCGAGGCATGCCAATAAGAGCTCGCAGCCTATACATCCACTTGCAAATCAGGATAATTAGAATGATGTTGCATTCTGTTCAAAGTCGAAATTCTCATGTTGGCTCAACAACGGTCAAATATTGGCCATAAAACCCGCCAAGACCGGCTCGCTTTCGCTTATGCAGGGTATGCAAGGTGGAAGTTGAAATTCCATCAAACCGGTAATGGTAGCATTCTACGGGAATCTCCCGTTTTTAGCGTCGGTTAGATCCGAGGGATATCTACGAAGATGTTTAGTAACCTGACCCTGCATGGAAACTACCAGCGTGGATTGGCTGATCAACCTTTTCCCTAAGGCGAAGAAATGAAGGGGGAAAGATAAGGGGGGTCCGATGGGTTGGCCATTGATGAAGGGAAGAAGAGAAAGTACTGTTTGATGGGATAGGGGTGGGGCTACGAGTGATAACTGTTGCATATGTGACTACCTAGGTATGTACCTATGTACCTACAATTTCAAAGTACATAGCTAGGCACTCCATACCTTATTAAGGCAACTCGAACTGCAACTTACGCGATATGACCGTCCCTCTCTTCATGTATAGTTGGTACTTTACAGCTTGTACAAGCCATTGGCACACAGTCTGAAATCCTGTTCTGGAAGTACGAACGCATGAGAGAGATGATAGCCTGTGGAAGTGGAAGATATACCGATATCTACCTTGAAAACGACATTGTTGTCGAAGGAATCTGTGTCGTTTTGGTATGATGCACAAGAGATGCGAATAGTGGCTCTGTGGCCCTGTATATTCTACACAGGTAGTCTTCCTGTTTGTTTGTTTGTTTTCCAAAGCTTCTTTCCCTTGTCTTCCTGAAATCCTCTGCTCGGTCTCGACTCTCGACTCTCGACTCAACCTTCAAAACCAAGAACAACGCCACAGAATGCTGGATAAAACTATGTAACATGATGCCATTTGTGACTATTACATTATGGTAGACTATCAGAAGCAATCAAAGACTACTGCTTAGATCGGTCATCAACATTCCCGCAAGCAATATGGAATATGGAATCCTAATTCGCCCCTTTCAACAAAGCAGTAACATCGTTTTCTTATCGGGTCATGTTTTCTTGTTTGTCCGGCTTCTCATTTCTGGCTTCCTCTTGGCAAATATGGTTGCATGTAACCCCAGGTCCCCTATCTCTTACCCTGTATGGATACCAAGGGAGAAGTAGCAATACTAAGCAGTAGTGGAGGATCCCCCACATTAACCTCCCAACTCCCCAGGTGCCTCAATACCTTATAAATAACGAGGAGCGGGAATTAGATGGTCAAATAATGGGGGTTTTCTAGATCTGGACGTGGTTCCGACGGAAAGATGACGAGGCAAGCCAAGCTGCCACCGATGGTGCATTCAAGCGCCTGCGCCTCATTGTCATGCAAGATGGCGATCCAAATGGAATCCATTCGTGCCTAGAGGAATAGTGTATCTTTTTAAGAACAAGGAAGAATTTGGCCCAAGTTTACATGCATGGAAAGAATGGTTGAGATCCATGCATACGTATGAGCTTAATATCAGCGAATTTGGTCAGATCCCAAGTAATCACAACCCCTCAAGGTTTATTCATCATTGCAAGTAATTCTGTAAATGCAGCCTAAATTCTGCTATCGGTGTTAATAATACAGTCGGATCGGGCGATAGCAAAAAAAGCGAAATCTACTCCTCGTCACTATCCTCTTCAATACCAGAAACTTCATCTTCCGAACGAACATCTCCAAAGACCCCATGGTCCAAAATCGATGGCTTTGCCTTCACGTTTTTAGAAAGAAGTCCGAGGAGAAGGTTGTTGTCATCGGGCCGACTGCCCGCAGCCCCGTCTAGCACAAAGCTATACTCATGGCCCCATCTCCTCAACCAGCGCCAAAAGCATATTACGCGGGAGATATCTCCCCGCGGTCCCCCAAAATGGCCTTCCCTTCTCGGCCCGGAGAATTGCGGCCGCTTGGCTTGACTTTCCTTGGCTGCTATGTTGCCAACACATACGCAGCATTTGAACACAGTAGTGAAAGTACAGGTACCGGGCTGCAGGTCTGAAACTAGACCGGAACCTGAGCTTCCGGCCTTCAAGTTGCCCATAGGTAAGTTCTCCCCATCGCGAGATCTGTTGCTCATTCATCTCCCAATCAGGGTCAATAATTCTCACCCTGTACTCCCGGGGTTCACGGCTAAGCCAACTCTTAACCGTAGACACCAACGCATTCTCCTGAACATTGGGAACATCTGGAACTATAACAAACTTGCCAGCATCAAAATACCGCTCAAGCTTTCTGCACATGAGGAGGCCATTACGGGGTGAGAAAAGTTCCCCCGGTCGTGTCTTGCCAAATATGGCGTCCATGGTATCCTGCCCGTTCATATAGGGGAACAGGTGAGACGCTTGGATATCATCGTCGTCCGTATAGTCCCCGAGAATGGGACACCAAACCCATTCTTTGGTCGGGTGCTTTGCCTCATAAGCTTGGATCATATCTGCCCGAAAGCTACTCTGCTGGTTTGTGTCCCGCTGACCAGCGCCTGTGCCCTTGATGGCCAAGCCCATGCTAGAAGTCGTGAAGAGTTTCATAAAAGAAGATCTCAAACTCCTTCGAGGCGGCCCATTCTGCAACTGGAAAACCCTGTCCTCACAGATTTTTTTCGTCTGCTGTTGTGCTTTGATCCTTTCCAATATCCTTTTCCCTTCGTCCGTCTTTTCCCACGTCTCCTCTACCCCGTCAAAACTTCTAAGTGAAATTTTCTAATCTACTTCTGATCTTTCCAAGCCGATCTTCTCTATTTTGACCGCTTGGCTCCAAAATTTATGGTCAAATGACCCATATGCCTTCCAAGGCTTTCGAGTGGTTTGCAAATCTGCCGTGAGTTCGTGTTTCCGTTTCTTGAGGATGCGTATTGTATCTGATTCAGTGTAGAGGGATTCCATTGATTTGTTTATGGAATCCATGATTATGGCTAGGGAACGGAGATTTGAGATTCGATATCGGTATTGCAGCTTCGAGGTTGAAGATGAGGTCCTAGAGTGATTCACGAACCTTGATGGGGACGAAATGAATATAGGAATTTGGAGGGTAAGCTCACAAAAAGGAAGTTCTAGTCACTCGGAGGTCACTCAATAGCAGTTGAGTCAAATCTACCTAAGGTTTACCCCGACACCTAAACAGGCAGTTGACGTGGTACTTTCCAAATGGACTATCATTGGCCGTAAAGTATACACGCTCACAATTTCGCCTTATCCTTCCCCTTCCCCTCCCCCTCATCTTCCCTAAACCGATAAACAATATCTTCAAAGCTCCTTGTAGGAAAGACGTAGAACCACCTCAAGTCCACATTCCCAGTATTAACAATCCCATGCTCAGCATCCGAAGGAATAAAAACCGTACTCCCAGCCCGCACTCTGCTCACAACCCCGTCGATAGTCACATCGCCCTCGCCCTCAAGAATATGATATATCTCAGGCTGCGTGTGGCGGTGCGCACATAGGTGGCCGGTGTCTGGTGGACAGATTGCTATTCCTGCGCAGAGGTCTGTGGACTCTGTTTGCGGGGCTGAGATCAAGGTGTGCCAGGATACATCGCCGTGAGTTGGGGTTGGGAATGATTCTGGGGGTATTGTTTGCGTGTAGGATGAAGGGATGATTGTTGGTTTTGGTTTGGAGATCATTTTGGGGTTGGGATATGTATGTGGGGGGGAGTCAGTTTGAGGGCGAAGGGGAGGGGAGGGGGGCTTTATACTTTATTTCTATGTTGTTGCACCTTCCTATCTACAAAGGAAGTAGCAGGATGGGAAGGAGTAGAGTTGTCGGGGAAACATTTTCTTAAAAGAGAAAGTAGGTCCCGAACGTAGTCTAGACCTACAGATTGCGTGAACAGATAGAACAGATAGAACAGCAATCGTGCAAATTTAGATTTAATATCATTATTAGTTGACAGAATGAAGACAAATCTAGGCAGGCCTCTACTCATATGCTATATTATATGTTCCTTGATGAGGTACAAAAACCCGAAGCCAGACAAGGCAGTCGATGACATTATAGGGGGAAACAACATTCCATGAGAAAAGAGAGCTTTGGAAGAGTAGCAAATTATTCCACCGCAATCACGGAAGGATTGTATGGAAGAATCTGACATTTAATTAGAACAGCATATCCGTCCTTCCCCGTGTAAATGTTTAGACGCAGATCGAGCCCTAGGAGATGGCGATACCAGTCGCCAGTTTTAACGCCATGAAAATGGAACTGGAATAAAACCCTCTGCTACCACTCGGTCGTCCCCAAATATGGGTAGCTTTGTCCAAACCTGAATATGCAAAGAAAAGGAAAAGCTGTGAGGAAAGATTCCTCAAAATACCACCGTACCGTGTTGGAACAGGAAACTCCACGAAATGAGGAAGCAAAGGTAGAAGCAGGAGAAGACTGGGGAGAAAAGACACTCAATAGAAAAGAGTAGGTATCAAAATTTAGGACATGAATCCCAGATAGAGAATAAAATTATCGACACTGCGCTGGAGACGGGAGAGAAGACAAAGACAACCTTGGAAAGAGAGCTCGCTTTGACTACTCGCCCCAGAACATGACGACTGACAATAAAGGTGCACAATGAAGATTACCCAAACCCAACTCCACCAAACACGCAAGAATCCCCCGGGGGTTCCTCTGAAACGGAACGTGAAGAAACTGACCGAAGCCCCGGGGGAGGGGGTATGTGACTGGGAACTGGTCGACGAAACGAACGAGAAGGTGGTGATCATAAAGAGTAGCGAGGCTCAGGATTAGTACCAGGAGTGGTCCACGATCGCAGAATGATCACTGTCTCAACTCGGCGTTCGGAAGAACAGGAAACAGACTGAAAGGATAAAGGAAAGGAGGTGGGGGCAAAATCCGCAGAAACACCAGAATGAGGAAACGGGAATCAGAAACAAGACAAAGGCAAGTGAGAATGGAAACGGAAACCCATATTTGCGGGTTGGAGGAGATGCAATCCGAGGGCATGTACAAGACATAAGACAAGAAATCAAAATGTATGCCAGATCAAGACTCCATGATCATGCAGTAGGAGAGGGGAAAAAAAGGAAAAACGTAATCACATGTCAAAGGTATCATCAACGTTGAAAATCCCGGGTTCCGTGCCGTCCTGAGTCTTGTGGACGCCTGTCATGCGCTGGTCGACCGAGTTGCCCGACTGGTGGCCTCGTTGCCAGTGATCGTCGCGCATGGCGTCCTCTTCCATATGATCGCTGTCGTCCATAAGATGGTGGTCAATAGAGCTCTCATTCACGAATGTGAAGCCCTTGAAATTGGCTTGCATCCCCGGGGACAGGGGAGTGGAGGCTGGCATGAGGCCGTTGGCGAGGTTTGCAGCTCGGAGATTGAGCGAGTTGTTCAGCTCCATAGCATTTGTGAATTCGGGATCGAAGTTCGATGTGTCAGTTTCAGATTGAAGCTGCGGCTTGAACGGAGGAATCACTTGCTTGCGGCACAAGTTATCCCAGTTGATGTCATGGAAGAATGGGTGTGCCATTAGCTCCTTAGCATCGCCATTGGCGCCTAGTCGATGCTTTGGATTCCGGTTCAGCAGGCCTTTGACAAAGTTTCTTCCCTCGGTGCTAAGCGCATCACGGGGGAATCGGACTTTGCCGAATGCGATATTCTTGTACATCTGCTGAGTGTCCTCAGCGTAGAATGGACTCCAGCCACAGCACATCTCAAAGACCAAGACACCCAAGGACCAGAAGTCGACCATCTTTGTATATCCTTGCTCATCGAGCAATACTTCCGGGGCCAGATATTCGGTGGTACCACAGAATGTATTGGTGGTGTCATTTTGGGACAGATTTGCCTTGGATAGACCGAAATCACAGAGCGCGATGTGACCGTTGGCATCCAACAGAATGTTCTCCGGTTTGAGATCCCGATATACGATGTCGTGGTCGTGTAGATGTTGCAGAGCCAGAATCAACTCGGCAATGTAGAACTTCGCCCGTGCCTCCTGGAACCGACCCTCGCGCTGTAAGTGCCAGAACAATTCGCCGCCCGACATGTAATCCGTAACTAGATAGAGATCTGTCGGAGTTTGGAAGGAGAACTTCAACCCAACAATAAATGGAGAGGCCGTCATCGCAGTGCGTACTAAGATATTGCGCTCTCCGAGCGTATGTATCACCTCCTTCTTCTGAATGATGACCTTCTTGGAGAGGACCTTCATCGCATAGATACGCTGTGTGTCCTTCTTCTTGACCTGATAGACCTGTCCGAAAGTTCCTTTGCCGATAAGTTTGAGAACGAGGAAGTCATTCGGCCCGACCTGCTTTCGATCTGTCTTTTCGAACTTCATATCGAGGTGAATTTCTCCAGACACTTGGTTGTCGCCGGCACCGCGTGCGACCAAGGGGAACCAGCCTTCTAGTCGACTGTGATCTTCCTTGAGGTTGATGCAGAGGCGTACGTGACCCAAGAAAGCTTCTTGGTTGTTGCGGTCATATACTGTGACATCAAGTTCTGACTGATCTCCCATGACATCACTGAACAGAACGTGTTAGTGATCTAAGTGAAGGAGCTGGGCCGGGGTAACATACAAAGTGGCCTCGTGATCCCAGTGTGGGTCTGTCACGGGCGTCCGCCCCTTGTGATCACCCTCAACAGCACTGTTATGAGAGCTAGATCGGGTCTTCAAGGGAATGGCCATGGGCCGACCAGCAGCCTCCTCGGCATCTGACTCCAGCTGACGCCGTTTCTTTTCCTCCTCGCCGTCACGAGCACCTTTGGAGATGTACTCATTCCATTCGAATACACACACCACATACGGATCGAAACTTGGCCGCAATCCTCGACCATCGGTGATCTTCACAAACAATTTACCATTGATCGGGCCCGTCGGCGCGCCGTTGGCTGGGGATGTTGATCTTGCAGGTGCAGGTGCAGGCGCAGTCTCAGTCTCAGTCTCAGTCTCAGTCTCAGTCTCAGACTTGGGCTGGGATGGGAATGCTTCATCGAGTTTCATAGTGATCTCATCCGTGGAGCTTTCCATATCTTCCGGCTTTGTCTCGGACTGCGGAGTCTCCTGTGAGCTCTCTTGTGGGGCGGAAGTGGCGGTCTTTTCCTGGGCGGTTGGGACCTCGTTGGACATGGCCCGGGGAGTAAGAGGTGGGGTATTCTTAAGACGCGACCCATCGGGCGCGTTTTCAGTTAGCTTGGCTAGGTTCTCAGAAGATATTGAGACATGCGGTTTCTCATGGTCGAGGAGGGGAGCTTCAGACAGGGAAAAGGCATCTGGAACAAGAGGGAGGGATGGATTGGAAAAATGCGTGGCAAGAACGGGGTCGTCAGAGATGCTGGATACTGGGAGGGAGGTTTGACGGCGGGAAGGAGGGTCTTCTGGAGGAGTTTGTGTGGGTGAAATGAGGTAATTCTTCAGCGTTGTAAAGATAGAGGACACTCCTGGACTTGTCCCGAGTTCCATCTCATCCGACTCGTGCTGTAACAAGGAATGTGGAGGGGTGTGCAGATTGGGGTGTTCCTCCTCCATCTTATCAGACCCATCTTCCTGCTCCATCATGACAAAAGACTCGGAGGAATCGGAGGAGTGTTGGGTATGCGCATTTGATTCAGGTTTCTCAGAGGGTTTCGACAGACATGACCATAACCGCGGCAGACTCGCTTTATCACCGGAGAAAGAACCAACCTGGAAGTAGTTGTGCATAATGGAAGGCAAACGCTTATCGACCGGATCAGGTTCAGGCGTTGCGATTCCCGTCGGCGTGGGGGTAGAACCATTTGATCTGATCTGATCTTGAGTATCGTCTTCCAGTCCAGAGCTATTGGGATGGAAGGTTAGCCAACGAAATGATAGCTCTCCGATAGAATCTTCAATTCAAAGCTTATAGGCAATTTCCGACAAGGTCCGAGACGACGAGGGAGACACCGAGGGATTGAGCAAAAGCCTTGAAACGTAATGTTTCATGCAGGTCAACCCTAACAAGAACAGACTGTAATGCAATGCGGTGTGAGGGGATCGTGGACCCTCTTTTCCCTCTTCAACCCCGCCTTTCAAGAGGAATGCCCAAGCCAAAAAAAAAAAAAAAAAAAGGAATAGGAATTAACTCACCTCATTGTCTTCATGTCGTCGCCGTGCAACACGGGTCCACTCTGCGCAGCCATTGTGTTTCCATTCAAGAAAGTCGAAAAATGAGGGAGCGAGAAGTGGGGGGTGTAAAGTGAAGTTGGAAAAAAAGAAATGAGGATTTTTTGATGAGCTAAGGGAGTTTGCGGGATGGATTTGAACCCGTTCGGATTTTCCCCAACCAGAAAAATGAACGTTTTAATTCGGTTTTTTGTTCTTTTTGGGGGTTTTGGAAACAAAGACCAAAAAAAAAGGGTATTCGATGGTTTTCTTTTTGGACTTAGCCCTGGAGAAGTGGGATTATCTTCGGTAATATAAACCCCCACTGGAAAGATAAAAAAAAATAGGCTTTCACTGATAGTCCATGTTTCCGGTGTATAATTAAGGGGATATAAGCTCATACATAAGATATAAGGTATAATCTTATGGAATATCATCCAGAAGCTGAAGCTGAAGATGACTATATAATGAAAGGTTCTGAAAAGGACCGGAACTAAAAATAAAAGGACATTGATCCATTCTTGTATTTCTCTCCTGAGTCATCTACGCCTTATTTCCTAATTCGTATACTATGCCTAAAGAGGGGAAATGATAATGAGAAATGAGAAATGAGAAAATACTAGAAATTAGAAATCAGAAATACAAAATACAAAATACAAAATACAAAATACAAAATGAAGAAATATTAGAAAGGCCAACGTCATGTGGAGACCCAAGATGAGTGGGTGACAATTGTTCAATAGCCCTAGATATCAAGAGAATGGCCCGGAAGGGATCTATTTCCTCTTCCTTTAGTCCTTATTTCCCTCATTTCCCTTCTGATTTCACTTTCCAGAATGTGAAGAAAACAAGATTATTGCATTTGCAGGTCACGGTCATTAGTCCGAATGACATTAGGCTCCCCAAGAACATGTGGCTATACTTTTTTTTCAATAGAGGCTGAGAGGAATTCGCCTCTCAGCATGCGCCTTTTTCTTCTTTGGTTACTATTTTTTTCGGTTTTTCTCTTATCGTGCTCCGAATCTCTATCTCCACTCTCACAGCGGGGTATCTCATTATTGCATCTGATGACAACATCGGAGTATCCGATGAAGCGATAGACCGCTTCTCATACAACTACTCGGATGGTTTCGATGTTCTACCTAGGAGTAACTATATATATATATATATATATATATATGATTCGAGGTAGTACATTGTATACATTTTGGTCTATCAGTACACTACCAATCAAGTCAAAAATAAAATCCTTTAATGATTAATTCCTCATGAAATAATCAAAAAAATTGACTGTGAAACCCATAGATCGATCGAATTCCGATCCACACATTGCGAGATCGGGACGACCTTTCAGCTTTCAATGTGGCCCGGGTCTAGCTGTCAGCTCCCCTTGCATTTGCATACCAGGTGAAATGTGAGATATGTTGTGGTCGCAGTGGGATGCTCCCAAGACCTCCACATGCGTCATCGGGGCGCGCCGTGAGGTCCCAGCCTCTGCGATAACATGTGGTTCGGCGGATTTAAGACCCGAGTCGTGCGCGAATGGTGTACGTGCCACAGAAGTGAACTTGCTGCAACTGTACACTGTACAATAATAATTATGGTGGACATAGAAAGAGACACTAGAGAGCTATCGCCGATCTCCGTTTTGGCCCCTCAGCTTATAGTATCAATGCCCTCGAATAGGTGGGGGTATAAAGAGGTGATCGCCGCTTACCTTCCGCAACCTCCCTTGAGTTTATGTAGTATGACGAATGGTATGCGATGGAAATAAAGATCCAAGATGTTGGTTCAAGGACGATATCTGATTTCCTCATACCCTGGACTTGCATGAGACAAGTGTATATTAATTTTTACCATGGGTTCGTGCGGTTCATACTCGAATATTGGGCATCTCCAACCTTCGTGGTATACAACCTTGGTGTACATCGATGTACAGCCGAGAGCTGCATGATTTCAATGTGCATTTTCCGTTATGCACAAGACTGAGTCCGAGTTTGGATTGAATTTGTAGGTCATCTGCATTGGGGAATGATCTGCGGGCTTGTACTCCATATGTTGTACAACAAAGTAAGCACCTTTGAAAGCCACTCAGGTTGATTTTTCTCAAGCCTCCAGCTATCTGCAGAAATTATACTGATCATATTAAATATATTTCCCGGGGATGTTCCAAGGTTGTTATGTTAACCATTTGGGTTTCCTCGTTTGTTGGGCCGCAAAAGAAACTATAGCCTTTAACATGCTAGTATGCTAATCGAATTTGTTACCAGTAGAGCCAATTCAGATATCCATGGTCAAAGCGGTGACTCGCTACCGTGATTGGAATAGGTTCCTTTTTCCCAAGCGACTTTGCTACTGACTCGGGATATGGTTTGCTCAAGCCTCCTAGGGAGCTCAAGTTAGGAGCTACCTCTCACATGTGATATTGGAGATTGACTGCACATAGAGACATAGAGTGAGGTCAGTGGTTACACAAGCAATTAACCTACGCGTTTCGATGCAGTCGTCTCTTTGTTGGATAGATGCAATTGACACCCACTAGCGGCAATGCAGCTCGGGAGAGTACGGTGCATTAAACGACCGGTGAGTATTTACGGGGTTCTGTCAACATGTAGATCCATAGATGAACTCATCTGAACATTGAATCCCCGCACTCCCATACTGGCTAACTACGGGGTAACACAAAGCCCGAGATGCTGTCCTATGCGGGCAACCTATGGTATCAATCTATGATGGGTATTTTGAGACGGTAATGGCGGTTGAGAGTCTAGAATTGGAAAAGAACGAATGTCGAGATACAGTCAAAAAGCAGGATGTTTTGCCGATCAACGACCAGGCAGATATGCAGCCCGAAATGCTCCGTTGGGGTAAGAACGAGCGTATGACATCATATGGGACAATATGTGTTTGTCTTGTTTGCATAATTTCATGTTTGCCGTGTTTGCAGCTCGTAGGGCTCCCGGAAAAACTTCGGCCCTTCGCAAAACAGCTATTCCTCCCCATTTGCGCTTCCCCAGTATATCGACCAACCATCGACAAAATGCCACGAAAGCTAAGGGCGGCCGCCCAGGCGGCTGCAAAGTCGATAAGTGAGTTGATCCCAACTACGTTGGCCTGCACCTGCCGCAAGCAACCGTCCCTTCCACTATGCATTGGATTTCACGCTCCCCTTAAGACGCGTTTGCGACTAACAAGCTTTAGAAAATACACCTTCAGTTCCAGATGGCTCTGATGAGGAAATGGTCGATGTTCCTTCCTCGCATCCCTCCTCCCCCGTAGCCGAATCAGAAGACTCCCCCGAGAAGGATCCCGATGTCGAACTGGAGGCTGAACCAGAATCTAAGCCTGAACCCGAAGCCGAAAACGCAGAAGTTCAGGCCTCCGAAACACCTGCCACACCCAAGCCAGAGGAAGAATTGAGCGTTGCGACACCCGCAGAAGACTCGATTCTTGCCGACACAGACAACACACCTTCCTACGGGCCTGGTCGCCCATCACTTCCCCCTCGCGGCAAGCGTCGCATTGGTCGCCCACCCAAGAATCCTCGGCCTGAATGGGATCCGGCCGACGGCGAGCAACCACTTCGAGTCACCACTCCAGTCAAAAGACGCCGCGGTCGCCCTGCTGCTAGCGGTGGACGCTGGGCACGCAACCGTGGCCCCTCCCATCTTACCCAGGTGCCTGTTGACAAGGAAGGAAACATGATGGATGTGATCAACGATGAAGTGTCGATTCCGCCTGACCCAATCGGCGCCACTAAGGTCGACGAGAATGGCCACCTACAAGGCGGACGTGAGTATCGGGTCCGTACATTCAAGATCCTTGGTCGCGGAGACCGCCTCTACATGTTGTCGACTGAACCGGCTCGCTGCATTGGCTTCCGTGACTCGTACTTGTTCTTCCAGAAGCACAAAATGTTGTATAAAATTATCATTGACGATGATGCTAAGCGTGATTTGATTGAACGCGATCTCATCCCCCACTCGTATAAGGGACGAGCCATTGGTGTTGTCACCGCGCGATCAGTGTTCCGCGAGTTCGGCGCAAAGATTATCGTCGGCGGCAAGAAGATCATCGATGACTATGACGAAGCTGCTGCTCGCGAGCGCGGCGATGTGGAGGGCGAGCTGGCCGTTCCGGAAGACAGATTGCCCGGGCCTGGAGAAACTTACAACAGGAATCAGTATGTCGCCTGGCACGGCGCAAGCAGTGTTTACCACACAAATGCGCCTGCAGTCCCGCTTGTTGGTGGAAAGCCCGTTGATACCAAGAAACGCCGTGTGCCAGTCACAGATGACAACTGGATGCTCGAGCATGCCCGTGCTGCAAGGTGAGTTTATATTTGATAGTGAGTAACACATTGGGGCCTGTCCTAATACATATCACAGCAACTTTAACTCAAAGCTGGCCGAAATGCGCCGTGCGAACCTGGGTGGTGTGTACGATGTTCACACCAATATTATGCAGCACCCGAAGATCATGCAGCCTACTCATGCCCGCTGGGAGCGCGTTTCCCCAATTCCGGCATCCGCGCCGACCGAGTTGGCGACGAACATGAACTCATTGAACCTCTCCAACGGAGGCTCTCCTTCCAGCCATGAAAATCACGCCTCCCACGAAACCCAAGAATCGCACGAGCCTACCACTGGCGAAACATCCACCAAGAGCCCCGCCACAACTTTCCCCTCTGTTCCCGCCCATCTTCACGACCGTTACGTCATCCAGGACATCGTCTATGAATCTCCGCCATATTCAAACATGGGCGTCCCGGGCCCTGACGGTGATGTGCACGATATTGGACCCAACGGCCTGGTCACCGTCGCCAACCCCGAGCATCCTGAGTTCATGACTCCAGAGATCCTCGAGTTGCTTCCACCAGAGTGCAAGGAAGCTCTCGTTGACGCTGCGGCGCAGGAGGTTGAATGGAAGTCCAAGTGGACCACAGAGACCAAGGATGGTGAGCGTACTCAGCCAACCAAGAGCTACGCCTGGTACCCGTAAATCCTGTAGTTGATTTCTCTTTCTTTTTTTTCTTGGGATTCCTGCACGTCGGCGAAAATTATGGGTTTAGCATGGGCTGGGTGGCTGGACATGGTAGGCGCAAGCCGCTGGAGTTTATTTTTCTTTCTTTCTGCTTCTGAGTTTGCTTTCGCTTTCTCGACATATGCCTGGGATGGATCTCTGCCTATCTCCATGATGTATTGACTGGTCTTTTTCTTTTTCGGTCTTCGACGCTGAGTCTATGTCTAGACTCAGCTTCGAGTGGCGGACAGTTAGATAATAATGAACCAACTTTTTCTACGACAACATTATGCCAGCTTCTCCCTCCAAGGAGCCCTAGAAGCAATAACCTCATCCATATCTTCTAGCTGTATTACCTAGGTATGCTACCAGTGACTAACAACTCAAATTATGAATGCATATCTCAAGGCAAAACTTTAAAATTAATAACTTAGCTTACACAAATAAATAAAAGAAAGAAAAACCGAAGTCATCTAAAACTCCATTCAAAAATAAGCAAAAATAAACATGGACCCAGGATCGAGGGAGCTGGCTTGAGAAAGGGTGTTGAGTGGAACAGCCAGATAGGCAAAGTGACAGAAGACAAGACAAGGCAGATCGGCGTGAGACCTAGGATACACCTAGGTAGTGTCGGATCATATGGAGGGCAGAGATAGAGGTAATAAAGAAGGGTAACCGATGCTGACGCACCAGGAACCAAAAGGAGAGAAGGGCTTGCTTGATAAAACGGCCGGGTCATGCATGCGAGGGTAAGACAATGAACAAGGAAGAGAAGAAGGGTAAGACTTCAACGGAAATGAGGCTGCATTGGTCGCGTGGCAGGAAATAAGATGCTATCACATGGCCATTTCCGCACGCAACTTTGCCAGCTCGGCTTCCTCGTCGTCTTCTTCTTGTGCCTTGGCGGGGTGTTTGACTATAGGTAAGTCGGTTAGTAAACGATATATGTGATATTTGTGTATAGGGTCCCTGTTCCCACTTACGATCTGTATTTCCCGCAGCTGGTAACCGGTCCAGTTGACTGCCAACCGGTACGGTCCCGGTGTGGAGCATCTTCGCGTCCATAGCTTCCTGCTCCAGACCCTCCAATTCGGCATCGAGCTCTTCCTCGTCCGGCTGTTCGCCGATAGGGAAACTGGTAATGACGCTTCCGATCTCGGCGCTGAGCGCATGCTGGTCTTGGAGTTCCTCCCTGCAAGGTATTAGTATGGCTGTAACATGATATAACAAAAGCCACGATACGGCAATAGGATAGATAAGGGATTTCGTGAGCCGATAGTAACGTACATCGTCTTGTCGACATCCTCGAGCTTCATTCCACCATGAATCTGCTTCATGGCAGCGCCGGCCTGCTTCATGGCAGCCAAGGTCTCGTGGTTGATGTTCGCGGCTTCGATGGAGTATATCTGCTGCTCAAGTTGCATAATCTGGGCTGTTGTCTGCTCGAGATTCTTCTCGTGGACCTTTTTCCGTCGAAGGGCGTTCTTGGCGGCTATTCAACGCAATAGTAGAAGAATCCATAGTTAGCCACCATCTGCAACTCTTAAATAAACGTGCAACAGCAATCCGCAAGATCTCCAACCATACCATTCTTATCTGTGTTAACGTTCTTCCGTGCCATAGCCTCCTGTTCTGAGATCTGGGTCTCGAGATGCCTCTCGCGCTTCTGCAACATATCTAGCTGCTCGCGCAGCTGTAGGATAGCGTTCTTGGGCGCATCCTTCCGCTTCTGAGCGGCGGCCCCGCCAAACCAAGACCACATGGTAATGTCGGTGTTTCTGTAACTGGAAACCGAAGGAAGTAAATAAGCAGGATTAGCCCCGGGGGTCAGATAATATGTCCAAATGAGACCAGCGGCGGAAAATACGGAGTGAGTGAGGAGAGAAGAGTAGGTTGGTTGTTTTCTTTGCTGCAAGTCAGGTGGAGCGATAGGCTCCAGGCAAAGTCAGTGAGTAGGCAGGCGAAGTAAGAGAAGGGCGGAAAATAAGGTCCGAGTGACCAGTATGTTTGGAGCACACGACTCGCCGAGAGCGCTTCCAAGGATAATTTCTGGATGAATGCAAAGTGGAGGGGAGGCCGACTTTCCCCTCGCTGAGCCTATGACATACACGGTAAGGCCAGTCACGTGCGCTATCATGACCGTTGTATTTGCGACCTTTTGGTCTGCCTCTTTGTTATTTTCTTTCAATCTTCACAATTTTTACAATGTTGAGCATCTTCTTCAACTAGCACAGAGATGAATGGGCCGCGCCCCTCCACTCGCGTGTTCCTCTCCGACCTCTCATCTCTACAGGCGGACTCGAAGATCCGCTTTCTTGGCTGGTGCGTCAGGCCCAGAGCAGAGAACAAAATAGTATAAAGTTGAGGCTTTCCAATACTAACGGGAATCTACGTCCTTGCGTACGTATAGTGTGACGCATTATACTATCACCACCGGTCATTTGATACTGGAACACAATTATCCACGCAGCAAGATAGCTCCAAGCTCTGTATCTGTGGACATCAATGCCCTCCTTGAGGACCTGACCGCCGAAGAACTACGCGTGGGAACATGGCTGAATGTCGTGGGCTATGTCAGAGAGTCGGAGCCGGTACCGCCACCATCTTCATTCTCTTCAACTCCCGATGACGCGAATCTGTCGAGTCAGAGACCTTCTAGGGTGCCTCCTCGTGTGGTGTATGTCGAGGCAATCATGGTCTTTCCGGCGGGAGCTATTGGGATTGGGGAATATGAGCGAATCCTTTGCAATTCTCAGCATGTTGAGCGCATGATCCAGTCCACGCACTAAGAAAAACATTTGTAGTGGCTCATATAATTACATTGAACTTATAACCAATCGGGCATTAATGGAGCGTCTCTGCATTAGATACTTTGCTATATAATTACTTTTCGAGGACCTCAGATACAAGGCGAGGGGTATCAAGACGTAAATCAAAACGCCAGGCAAAAAAAACCCTAAAAGGGCAAACCTAAACCACTCCCGCCTTCTCCTCGTCCAGCCGATTCGCCTGCTGAAGCTGAAGCTGTCTCTTAGCCCGCTTCCCCTCCAGTTTCGTCTTTTCCTCCTGCATACGCAGAATTAGGGGACTCTTTATGCGAATCTTATGTCCATACTTATAGAACACAAACGGAATCGGCACAATCACAACCTCGAGCACCCCCAGCAGAGTGCCCGCCCAATTCGGCCCCAGACTGGCATACATAGAAGCGCCAGCAAGTGGCAGAACACCACCGAGAATACTCCGAATAACCGAGTTACCTGCCAAAGCAGAAGCAGCATACATACCGTAGCTTTGAGTCAGGTAGTTAGACGCATAGATGAAGACACCAGTGTTTCCCGCGCCGAATGGGATACCCGCGAGCAAGGGCACAATCCAGTGGATCGAGGCTGGGGAGCAAGTCCATGCGAACCAGAGCTCACCGACTGGGATCATGGCCGCGCAGATGCAGACGAACGAGACCATTGCTTCTGGGTATGGTTTTCCGGTTTCGGGGTCCTTGGCGTGGCTGTTGATTAACCGCCGGATAAAGGGCTCGCAGGCGATTGTGAGGACAACACCGATACCGATGCCTATGAAGGCGAGCCCAGATATGCCCAGTTGCCATCCGCGGATGTCACGGAAGACAATTGGATAGGCTACGAAGCAGAGGTATAGGATGCCGTAGATGATTGCGATGTAGATGTTCCAGAAGATGCTGAGGGGGGGTTAATTCGATGTTTTGTGGGTTGCCGTGGGATGTATAAGTGTAAGATGCTTACCAGATTGGTTCGGTGACTGCCATGACAAATGGCCGACTGAGGTTCAGCTTGAGGATCTCGGGAAGGCTCGCCTTCTGGTCGTATCGACTCCACCAGCGGGACTCGCCGGTCTCCTTGCGGAGTCTGGCTGCTTTCTTTTGGAGAAGGGTTGGTGCGTAAGTTTCCTTGAGGATGATAGCAAAGACCAAGGCAACAGCGGAGAGAATGAGCGCGATCCAGCACATCCAACGCCAGCCAAGATATTGAGTGACGAAGCCTCCGATAACAGGACCGATGACTGTATCCTGTTAGAAATGGACTCCTTGTGCCAGGGAAGAGAACAAGTGAAGAACAAACCTGGTCCATTGAGTGGGCCAATACTCCAAACAGAGATCGCCAGAGCACGGTGTTCATCATCCACCAAATCGGCCACCATACCTGGTGCGGTAGAGATCATGACACTACCGAAGAAAGCAGCAATAAATCGAACGACGATCAGTGCCGTGACGGATTTTGCCAGAGCGCAGGGGATGATCAGGATTGTGAACACGGTTAGACAAGCCACACAGACAGGCTTCCGTCCATAGACCTCGCTCAACGGGGCCATGAACATGGACCCGATGGCAAGACCAAACAAGTAGAAGGTCAAGCCAAGGGTGACGATAGTCTGGGATTCGCCGAATTCCTCGCCCATTAATGCAATGCCTGATGTATAAGAAGTTGAATATAACACGCTTCCGAGTTCGTTAGCCAGAGAACCCGCTTGGGAAGTTTAAGCTAGGAAACTTACACTATGAGAGTGTTCCATGATAGAAACAAGATGCCCATGGACTTATACTTGAAATTCCAATTCTTGGGGTTCTCGGGGTCATCTTCGCCATCCCAGTCGACCTCATATTCGGGGTCGGCGGTGGCATTGGTTGGGATCGTCGTGACACGCTCTGCCAGTGACATATGCGAGGGACGAGCTGTCAATGTCTTTCCTATCGCATCGTAGGTGGTCTGTATGTCTACCGTAGAAGTGGACTCGATAGAGTCTGCCGTTGAGGACATCCTCTCAGCGTTTTCGGGTCCTTTATCTTGGCCCACATTAGGGTATTGAATTGCCATGTCCGAAAGCTTGGGTGGATGGCCCTCCAAACAGTGAAACAATGTTTAGGGAGCTTATTTGAGTGTATACCGGAGATCAAATGAGCGACTTGCTCCAATATTAGGGGTTGTAGTGAAGAAAATAGGGGAAATAGAAGCAAAAGTTCGCTCCGTTTTCCAATTTCTGCCCCGAAATAAGGCTGTAGTAGAGTGTGTGGTTCTCTATTTCTTTAAAGAGATATATGGTGGAAATGCAGCAAATGTGGACTGAGATCCCGAGGCCGAGGTTGGTTTGAGTCACAACCGCAAGCTCTCCAGAACACAGATTCTAACAGAAGACAGAAATCAAAGTCATTTATCATTGAAATCACTTGAAACTCGGAATTTTTCCATATGTGGGGCCGAGAGTCAGTGATAAGCATATTCGACGAGAACGAGCTGGGCTTGCAGGGCTTGCGGGATTGCTTTATGCCGAGAATATGATCTGTAGCTCAGCACAAGGATAGTTTGCTTTTCCTACTAGGTAGCACATTGTACATATTTACATTGGGAATCCGAGTGACAAATTTCCTTTGTACCCCCTCTCTACAACATGTATCCAACTAACCCTTGGCATAGGATTTCCCCATGGGCAAGGAGGTCTATTCATGGCGTGATATCTCCATAAGACAGAAACTGAGCGTTTCGACCTAATTTGTCCCCACACGGCCTGTTAGGCTCGGAGGAGTGCACATGTGGATTCTAGTCTGGGCTCTAGTGTGCCGGTTTGCCGAATACTTCCCCGTGAGCGTGGAATACATCTTATATAAAGTGTACGGAGTTCTTAATATTCTGTTTCTCATGGAGTTTACTACAATCATATAGTTACAACTATTACAATTATATACATATATAATGGAGAGTTTAATGGAATACAAACGGATTTAAGACGTTCACATCAAAGTGGGTTCAAAGACTCTAGAACCGGAAAAAGGCCCGAACAAAAATAAATAAGAAACTTGGATTTCGATCTCAACTACGGAGTAGTTGCTCCATACTCCGTACCGTATGTACTTCTATGTAACATTTCGGAAGGGGTTCCGATGCCGAGTTGTAAAGTATAGTATAGATCATACAACTAGATCTAGTTTCGTATTCGATCTATAAAGATAATTCCTTATCATCATATCCATGGAGACTACTGGGTACCTAAGTAGATAGCCACTCCTCGGCGAAATAGCCGACCTTCTAATCGCAGATGGTTGAGTAGAATCTTTTTGTTTTCCAAGGTTCCAAAGTTAGCGACAAACGGAAACCCTGGGTTTGACAATTCCATCGCATTTTGCCCCAAATGAGGTCTCAGGCCGCTTGTAACATACCCGATCTAAGCGACCTGCCGAAATGGATCCGATCAGATCACGATGTTTGAATATCCTAATTAAAACAGGTTGCTTTCAATTTACACCCTCAAACGGCCTATGGCAAATGGCAAACTTTTTGTACTCCCTTGTAAACTTTCTTTAAAACCCACAGTGAGACTGCAACCTTGCAAAAAGTATTCTGTAACTACCCAACTATCATGGCGTCGCTTATAGCAACCAGCCTGGCTGGGCTGGGCGCTTTTTATATGTGGCGTGTCAATTCTGCTATGAAAGTAGTCCCCGAAGAGGCGCAGAAACTATCACCTCATCGCTGGACAGTCGAAGAAATCAAAACAGCTTACAAAAAGAGCCTGGAAACTCCCATCGATGTGACCAAGAGTCTGCCACCAAAACAATCCCGCCGATATGTGATTGTAGGCGGAACTGGTACGTATACATACCACTCGCTTCGCATATCAATCCACTGACTCTCCAAACTACAGGTCTAGTTGGCGCTTGGATAGTCTCGCACCTCCTCGCACGGGGCGAAGACCCCCAGGCCATTCGCATTCTGGACCTGATCTCCCCAGAGCGGGATGTCCTCAACAAAGGCGTGGGCTGGACCAAAACCAACATTACAGATGAGGTCGCAGTAACAACTGCATTCGAAGAACCATGGGCTGCTACTGTCACCAATCTCGCTCTAACAGTCTACCACACCGCAGCCATAATCCGACCCCAGGACCGGCTAAAAAGCTTTCTACCACTCAGCCGCAAAGTCAACATCGACGGCACACGGAACGTTCTGAACGCCGCAAGATCCGCCGGCGCGACAGCCTTCATCTGGACATCCTCAGGCTCCATCGCCCTGCACCAGCCAACTTTCTGGATCGCGCCGTGGGCAACCCAGCCTAAGCGCGTAGTCCAAGTGATCAGCGACAGCACCAAACTGCCCGAATCACATTACCAATTCTTCGGAAACTACGCTGTGACCAAAACCGAAGCAGAGCAGCTCGTCCGCGCAGCAGATGACCCAGCAACAAACTTCCGCACCGGCTGCATCCGCCCTACAAACGGCGTCTATGGCACAGGCGGTCAAGCCAACAATGTCATCACGGGTCTTTACCTCCGCAACGGAGGCAGTCCGACCTGGGCTCGCCCGATCCTGCAGAGTTTCGTGCATGCTGAAAACGTCTCGATTGCACACCTGTTGTACGAACAGCGTTTGATCCAGCAGAGTGAGCCTGGTTCGAAACTTCCTAACACAGGTGGCCAGGCGTTCATCGTTAGCGACCCAAACCCGGCGATTGCATTTGATGATTTGTACACACTGCTCACGACATTGTCCCAAACACCGCTTTCATTTCCGGATGTGCAACCTTTGCCGTTGTTGGTGATAGCATATTTTGTTGAGATGTACACTTTCTTGCAGTATAAATATCTCTCTTGGATTCTGCCGAGGTTGTCGGGGGATATTGGGCAGCTTCAGCCGTCACTGTTTTCCATTATCAATGTTCATGTGTTTGCTGATGATTCGCGCGCGAAGCTGGCACCTGAGATGGGTGGGTTAGGGTATAACCCCCCTCTGAACACTCTGGACGGCCTGTGTCGGCGGCTTGTGGATTGGAATACGAAGGCTGAAAGGGAGGGAGTTGAGGTCATGGGGAAGAAGATGCGGTTGGGACCTGTGGAAGTTTCGCAAGACGGCGTCGATGTGGTTCCGCCGAGGGTGTTGTAAGGATTCTTTGAGTTTGATCGATCTACTTGACCTGAGTGGAAGAGCAGTCACCAGTTATTTTTTATGAACATTATCTGGGGTGCAATTCAATCTGTACTTGATCTTAAGAGTTTAGTTTTAAAATTGGCACACTGTATGGCATGAAATGGAATCATATTTGGAGAGAAGGGCTCTGGTAGGAGATATCACACATTGGATCTTCTGTAACTTCCAAAGTTGAAATAGCCGGAGCCGACCAGCAGTACCCGGCCATATCACGGTCTCCTTCTTCAATCTTCATTTGGACGCAAAGGCTTTTTTTTGGTTGGAGCTTGGTATGGGGATTGATAATCCCCTATGGGAAGGCGCAACTCGAGGCCGATAATTGTGGGCACTGGTACTCTGCCAAAACACATCAAGAGCCCAGCGTTGATTAACTGGGTTGGCGAGCATATGTCCTCGGTGTAAAAGCAAGAGCGACACACACAGGCTACTTCCCAAAGTGTTGATGGACGAAGGAACAAAGGCATGGTAAAGGCATGATAACTCTCGGTAACTCCCAAGTCCCACACATGACACTCAACCATGCAAGCGTTCCACCAAGCAGACTGTGCGACCAAGAACGTGAATCCCTCGGCTAGCAAAGGTCGCTAGAATGGCAAGCTTTCATTTCCAGAAAGATAGTACACAAACAAGATGAAATGTATCCCTTAGCGAGCCTGCTGCTGGGCCACTTGACGCATATAGTCAAGACGCTGTATGCGCAAACGCTCGGATGCCACCTCAACCTCAAGAATCGCGCCAAGACGGTTCTTCCAGGTCTCCTCCAGATTGACTAGCTCACCTTGGCTCGCCTCCTGTGTAATTTTTCTCTGCTTATTCACCTGCTCAGAAGCCTCCTTCGTCTCTGCCAATTCCTTCTCAAGAGAACCGAGTATCTCCTCGAGCTGTGAATTGCCAATCAACCAAGCGTTCTTGCCGTACTCTTCCAGCAGAGCCAGGTTCTCGTGGCGCTTGGATAGGTGCGAGCTTGACGAGTATGCCCTCTGTAAAGTCTGGCGCCATGCGTCTAGGTCGGGCGTTTCGGTGTCTGATGCGCGAGTCGGGGCCTCTGGCGCTTCGTAGCGGGATAGATCGATTCCGCCTGTGAGAGGTGCTCCTTGCGCTTTGCGCGCGAGTTCTTGTTGCATAAATTGAGAAAATTTGGGTTCTGGCGCTTCCGGGATCCAAGGGTGCATTGTGGAGGCGTGCTCAGGGGATAGCTCTGCGTTAATGAGCTGCTGTGCTCGCGCTTGCGCCGACGCAGTGGGCGCCGAGTCGATATCTTAGAAGGTTAGTGATTGGGTTCTAAATGCACATATATTGTCCAAATTATGTACATACATGGCAGTGAGTCATGAGATTCGTTGATTAACGGCATTTTGGAGTGATGTTCTTGTATGGATGGTAAGGTGAAGACCAGTAGATTAATCTGAGAATCATTGCTATGTGAAGGCGGTGAGGAAAGCGGCGAGATCAGTGCAGCTGACTCGGCCATTATTTGGCCACGTGACCTCGACTTTTATATGCCGGAAACAAACAAGGTGAACAGTGTAGCTAATAGTTGTTATGGGAATTAATTATCTAATTTGAATGCCCTCGCAGCCGAATTGGAGTCATAGGATATTTTTTGTATGTTTCTGCAACAAAAAACCAGCGTCTAGGAGTCCGGGGGGGAATGCTTGGGAGAGTAGCATTGCCCTCTAGGATGCTCTCCATGCTCTCCTGACTGCAGCGATGATCCTATCCAGTTTGGATTGTTTTTACGAGAGGTACCTGGGTCCTAAAGCAAGATTTTAACTCGCCGACTGGCTAAAAATCGAGGCAATCTACTCCATAATCTTCACATGTGCAGTGGGCATATGAGCACATCTCCCCCGTGCGGGGAGTGCAGCGAAAGTCTATTCCCTTTTGGTGCGCGGGCTTCAATAGATGACGATCCTAACCCCTACATCGCTTAGACGAATGTTACCTACCGAGTACTTCATGTACAATAATGTTCAGCTGCTTCCCCAAGCTTGGGGTTACTTGGGTAATGATCTTCTGTACTTGCAGGTAGCTCGTTCGTCTTCCCAGTGTAATCACTAGTGCATTTGTATAAGAACCCGTACCTCCCTTAGGGATTTCAACTTTTCAAGGGCTACAGTTATTCAGCGCGTTTTTTCTACGGATGCAATAACTCTATATCGCTTAGGACATATCGGAAAATCCTCCCCACAATGGCTAACTTTCGCATGGGCGTTACCTTTGCTGGGATGACTCTTGCGGTCCTGGTGTTTTTGCAGCTGATTGCGGTATTCAAGTTCGATAGCCAGTCACAGTCAGCTTTGCCTAGCTTTAGTCCAAAATTCAACCAGTGGAAAAGCAGAGCAAGCGTGGCGGCAGCTGACGATATCTTTTTGGTCGGAGCGGGCAAGGCAGATGTAACTGGGTGCGTTTATGATTTAATTTCGACATTTCAATGGACTAAATTGGCTAATATGATCATTAGGCCCGTTGTGGAGCTTACTCTCGCTGGCTATGCCAGTTTGGACCAACTAGGCACAGGTCTAAGGCAGAGACTGTATTCTCGCGCCTTCATCTTCGCAGACCCAAACAAGCCCGATGACACATTTATGTATCTAGTTCTTGATACACTTACAGGTGACACTGCCGTGCGACATGGTGTCTTAGAGGGTCTCACTGCGCTCGGTGGGAAGTATGCACGGTACGGCGAACACAACGTCGCAATGACAGGAACACATTCGCACTCCGGGCCTGGAGCGTGGATGAACTACTTGCTGCCTCAGATCCCGGCATTAGGCTTCAACAAGCAAAGCTATCAAGCCATTGTCGACGGCACTATTTTATCAATCATCCGTGCCCATGAAAACTTGGCGCCAGGTCGACTCTCTTTTGGATCCATCGACTTACAAGACACCAATATCAATCGAAGTCCTTTTTCATACGAGCATAACCCCAAGGAAGAACGCGCACGGTATTCTGCAAATGTGGAAAAATCGCTCTCGCTCATTCGATTTGATCGCGAATCCGACAACAAAACAGCGGCTATCCTAACATGGTTCCCTGTTCATGGCACATCTATGTATAACAACAACACCCTAGTCAGTGGCGATAACAAAGGTGTCGCAGCTTACCTCTTTGAGCGCAGTGTCAATGGCGATCCGAGGTTCACTGATGATGCCGTGATTGGATTCTCCCAAGCGAGTGTCGGGGATACATCCCCTAACATTCTGGGGGCTTGGTGCGAAGACGGCTCTGGGGAGATGTGTCGATATGAAGATAGCACTTGCGGTGGCAGAAACGAGGATTGCCATGGTCGAGGTCCTTTCTTCCGTGAGAACGATAATGGAGCGAAGAGCTGCTTCGAGATTGGGCGCCGCCAGTACTCAGCAGCAAAGAAGCTATACGAAGAGATGGATACAACCCCTATCAAAATTACTGGAAGTTCTGCGGTGAAGTCTTTTCATGTGTACCAAGACATGAATGGCTACACTTTCCCCTCGCCGTTCAACTCTAGTACGTTGACGACTTGTCCTGCGGCTCTGGGGTACTCCTTTGCCGCCGGGACTACAGACGGACCCGGTGCCTTTGACTTTACCCAAAATGCTACTGGTCCAGCTGAACGCAACCCCCTGTGGCAAATTGCGCGTGCAGTTATCCACCAGCCCAGCAAAACGCAGCAACAGTGCCAAAGCCCCAAAAACGTGCTATTAGATATCGGCACTCTCACTGAACCTTATCCATGGGCCGCGGATATTGTTGATATCCAGGTCTTGCGAGTGGGTCAGCTGTTCCTTGTTATCTCCACCAGCGAAGCTACTACGATGTCTGGGCGACGCTGGAAGGAAGCTATTGCGAAAGGAGCAAAGGACTACCTTTCTGTTTCCAATCCTCTAGTGGTACTAGGAGCCCCGTCAAACAGTTACGCTCACTACGTGGCAACAGAAGAAGAGTACGGCGCACAGCGCTACGAGGGCGCGTCCACACTCTACGGTCCCAACACATTAGCAGCCTATGTCAATCTGACCCTCACTTACCTGCCGTATTTGGGAAGCTCCTCCCAAGTTGCTAAACTTCCAGTCATCCAACCTGGCCCCACTCCACCAATCAACACCAACCGTTCATTGAGCTTCATTACGGGTGTTGTGTATGACGGAGCGCCCATTGGCAAGCACTTTGGAAATGTGACTTCAAACCCGCAAGGTGGACCATATAGCCCCGGAGATATTGTCAAGACGACCTTTGTGGGCGCCAATCCCCGCAACAATCTGCACCTCGAATCGACCTACGCTGCGGTTGAAAGACAAAGCGACTCCGGTGCATGGGAGGTCGTGCGTAATGACCGCGACTGGAATTTGGTCTTCACATGGAATAGGACCAATGAGATTCTTGGCCACAGTGAGGTGACAATTCAATGGGAGATTGAGGATGAATATTATAGTGTCGACACAACGTCCCCCCTGCAGGCTGGAACCTATCGGATGCATTATTATGGAGACTCAAAGAATCCCCTTGGCCAAATCTCACCATTCGAGGGCATTAGTGGGACTTTCAAAGTGACGACTTCATAGTCTAACTCATTTATAATATAGTAGTGTGTCGAGTGATGGCTAGTTCAATGAAATGTGTCAAACGATTTAATTGGCCATAGTGTACGACCTCAGGGAGCAACCAGGCCATAGTAAATATATCTTCACCTACGCGCCCGTACACGTAGCGAATGAATTAGCCAGACACTCTCGGTCTAGAAGTCTACCTAGCCCGTATGTCAACACAAAATCCTCATAATAACAAAAGTGGTCCTGCGCCTGCAGCCGGCCAATCACCACGCGCCATTGACCAGGGCAGGGCGCCTACTGGAACGTCTCTTTGCCGGGCGATCTATTTCTAGCATGAATTCCGTCCCACAAAAAACCCCTTGCAATGGCGGTTCCTCCTGGGACTAATAGTACTGGGTTATTTTGGATTTGTTCATGAAAAAGCCATGGTTTGAACAATGGGCGGCTGACAGGAAGCCCTAAGCCCAACTCGGCCCCTGATGAAACCCCAAAATGCAGATATACTAGCCAGGATCCTCGATGGCAAGGGACTTGAAAGAAAAATCTCCTTCCTGTTAAAGTCTCAGGTTGCTTCATCTTGCCCCATTCTTTTGTTTCCCTTCGTTTCTGTGGTCTCTAGTAACCCAGCCGTTCTTTCATTTGCAAGCCATCAAAACGCCTCCTAGGCCTTGTATGCGTTCTCATTAATTTCCTAATATTCTCTTTTGTCATGCTTTCTTACATGTGTGATTGTGTCTCTCTTATTCAGGTGCTCTAGTATATCTTTGACTGAGCACCCAATATTCTTTACCGTCCCACTTTGTCGAAGTCGTGTCCTGGCGATCATTTCCAATACTCTCGTTTCTAAATCAGGATGCTTCGCTTTCAGTTCTTTTTGTTCCTTCTTCTGCCATGGATGGCCTCGGCTGGTCCGATCTCTCGCTGGCTATCCCAGTCATTGGAGGCACCTGAGCCGGCTTCTTTCCCCCTATTGCCTAATCTCGAACGGCGTGAAGCTGGCGGTATCACCGAAATCACACCTTTGGCGGCACCGACCCAGCTACCTTTCACGTACGACGAGCCAATAGTACCTTACCCTCCCCTAAGCAGTTAAACCGACCACTAAGCTAACCATCACTCAAAAGCCAACTATGTCCCATACGTCAACCACAACTCATGAGATCACCAGTCAAAAGCCAATTACGACTCATAGAACAACCACTAGTCCGAAGCCAACTACAACTCAGGTGCCAACTACCAGCCATATTCCGACTACCACTCATAGGACAACCACTAGTCCGAAGCCAACTATAAGCCAATTTCCAACCACTACCTCTCAGGCGTCCACTACAACTCAGCAATTCATATTCTCGTCCACAACCCCGGGAATATTGCATTCAACGCCCATAACTAGTTTATTACCTGCCTATATTCCAGGCTCAACATCCTCCCTCGATTCCTTGGTGATACCGAGTTCAGCCCAATCTTCATCGGCTGCACTTCTAGGAGGAACAAGCAGCAGCAATCCTTCCATTTCCACGCCGGTGATCCCAATAACCAATGCCATCCAGTCAGCAAAGAGCACACAGAAAAAATATACATCACAACACCCTCCCACATCGGGATCCAAGCCAGTGGTGACCGTAACCGAGCCTGTGATCGTATATGTGACCAAAGGAGCACCAAATCCATTTTCAACAAGCGTCATCCATCACACACCCAGTGTCAACAACTCACCAGTGTCGTCGGTAAACCCAACGGTAAACCCGTCTGCTGAACCGACAACTACATCTTTGAATTTTGTGACTATACATTCCACTGCAACGTCGGTTGTTCGTGTGACTGTTTACCCAACATTGCCATCGCCTGCTTCTTCATCTTCGGTCTTGCCGTCCCCAACTGGGAGCGCCCCGAGTGTGAATTCAGCGTCAATAGAGACTAGTTATGCCAGTGAAACGTCAGTTGTTCCCATGGCCGCCAACTCGGCAACACCATCGCTTCCTTCTTCGTCTTTGTTGTTATCGTCGTCAAATGAGATTGCTTCAGTGGTGACAGCTCACGTCACTTCCACGAGTGTTGTTCCTCTGACTGTTTACCCGGCTACATCGTTACCTGATGCTGTGTCTTCATTATTGCCTTCCTCAAGTGCGATTGGTTCTATAGTGACAGTCCATGTCACTTCCACAAGTGTTGTTCCCTTAACCGTTTACTCGACAACATCGTCATCGGCTCTATTGGAGCCGTCCTTAAGTGAGACTGCTTCACTTGAGACTGCTTCACTTGAGACTGCTTCACTTGAGACTGCTTCACTTGAGACTGCTTCACTTGAGACTGCTTCACTTGAGACTGCTCCTATTGTGACAGCTCATGTTACCTCCATAAGTGTTGTTCCAGTAACCGTTTATTTGACCACACCGGTACCTTCTACTGTGCCTTCGTCGTTGCCATCCTTAAGTGAGACTGCTCAGGCTGTGATAGCCCACGTCACTTCCACTTTGACACCTGTTACCTCAACCTCCAAAAAGGACCAAGGGATACTTACTGTGAACCCGGTTACACCGTCTGGCTTTATCACGATCACTGAGACCCAGACCGAGACAAAAACGGTGACAGATCGCATTACTGAGACTGTTACTGTCACTGTTACTCGAGATTAACTGTTGTATATTTTTAATTACGGAGGCTTTGTTTCGTGTGGTTTTTTTGTCTCATATTTCCCAGACTATTTTCTCTGTTTTTCTATCTATGTTGAATTATATTTTATGTGTAAGTACAAGTTAATACAAGGAAGTTATATTCAGGCTGAGCCATAAAATAACATGTCTGGGTTCCATCGCGATGTACATCCGTATGTGCGCACCTATATGCCTTCCAAAGTGACCCATATAGATCATAGGTAGTGCATTATTGTTTTCATGGGGTATCCCCTCGAGTCTTAGATAAACCCTTGCAATCAAATACCATAACCATAGATAGACCTCAACTACCTCTAACTTGCCTTCCACCTAACCCTCCCAACCCACATAGCCCAATCCCGCACATCCTCCCTCTCACAAATTCTCTCAACAGTAAACCACTCCCTAGCGAGCTCCTCATTACTCGCCATGCGATGCACAAAACTATGACAAGCGCGACAAAGCCACGCCACGCTATTCAACATCCACTCATCATGCCAGCCCTTTTTAATAACTTTTGCATGCACCCCACGCGGAATCAAATGATGATACGACAGCGGGATCCAGTCGCGCTCGCAGATCTCGCACGCGTCCGCGCGCGTGTTTGCCCACGCCGGCGGGCCGGTCGTCACGCTCGACGTGTACTCTGCAAGCACAGGCGCGAGGAAGTCCAGCAGGTCTGATGCATCGGGAATTATGCCGTAGACTAGTAGCGATTCGGTTACGCTAACTGGGATTGGGGAGAATAAGGCTTCGAGTGTGGCGCGTGAGAGGGGAGTGTCGGTATCTGGGGGGATGTAGAGGGCTGATAATGTTGGGTCATGTTGGATGGCCGCATAGCTTAGGGTTTGCAGGGGTTCTGGGAATATAGTGAAGGTTTCTGAGGCTAGGAACTGGGGTTGTTAGCTTTGGGTCTTGTTAGTTGTTGGCTGTGGTGTGTGGGCTTTGAGGTGCCTGAAGGCTGATTGCTTTGCGCTGGGTTGGGCTGGATGGGTGCATGTACATCAACAAATTCGGCGAGCTCTTCTGGGTCTGCTCTCCCGGATGAGACTGTTGTCGCTGTTGTTACGTCTTTGCGCTCAGTCCGCTTGCCCTTTGGCTTCCGTCGTGTTGGCTTTGGTTTTTCCTCGGAGCGAGCCACGATGGCATTAGACAGACATTCGCGGAATACAGCATAGTTCTCATTGGAAGTCATTGAGACTTAATTAGGAGAAAAGCCTTGACCTTACAACTTTGGTCTGGAGAGCGCGTTGGGAAAAACAAATTGGCCCCACGGAAGATTGACATCATTCTGGCGCCAGATTCTTCGACATTCTTCAAAGGCGTCAAACTTTGTTGTTTTTGACATTGGGGCTCATAAAACATCATGGCGGCCAAAACAGTTGTTGCTTTTGATCTATATGGCACTTTACTCTCAACTGAATCGATCGCTAAACAACTAGAGAAACATTGTGACAATGCCAAGGCGCAGTCGATCTCCGCGCTCTGGAGGCGGTATGGAGATTGAACAGCATGGGCAAGCAACGCTTCCAAGCTTGACGGTCAAATTATTGACGACCAAAAAGGCCGCTTTGAAGATTTCTCAGTCATCACACGTAACTCCATATTGCACGCGCTAGCCGACAACAACGAGCAGCTGAGCGACGACAACATCGAACACTTGATGCAAGCTTACGACGGTCTCTATACGTTTTCTGACGTGAATCCAGCTTTGGCCCTTATAGCTGCCGACCCAACCATCCAAGTTGTGATATTCTCCAACGGAACAAAAACTATGGTGTCAAACTCGGTGTTGTGGTCCAAGGACCTTTTGCCGCACGCGAGCGTCTTCCAAGATATCGTCACCGTAGACAAAGTCCAGCAGTTTAAACCATCGAAGGCAAGCTACGAGCACCTAGAAAGCAGACAGGGTAAGACCCATCGCAGATGAGCAAACTTTGGCTGATTAGCGGCAACCCTTTCGACATTGTCGGGGCGCGCGCTACAGGCATGCAAGCTATATGGGTTGATCGCGTTGGTGCGGGATGGAAGAATGCCGCCGCGCCAGATCTACAGCCAACGGGCATTGTACAGTCTGGAGCAGATTATAAACGAAAATCATCGCCATCAGCTTTAAGCCAAGGCTTCCAGCATTGAATTTTGAATTAAGGTTCCAAACACCAAAAAGAGGCTTGAAGAGGAATGTACAGCTGAATATATTTCCAAACGCTCCACACTTGAGTAGAAGAGTTTGGGGTAAGCCAGCAGATTTGGTCTTTCCTCCCATTTCCCCTCCAGAACAGTGATTGTAACAAAAGTTCAGAGTGAATAGGGAGGATTTCAGTTTATGTGAAGAAGAAAAGGAAAAGGGCGCTCGGCGAAAAATTTCTCGATGAAATAGTATCGGCTTAGTCATCCCAGCTGATGTCCATGGATCACGTGGCACCTTATCGATAAGGTGCTGCCTGCTTTCGAACTTGTCCATTACTGTTGGCAGGGATTCTTTGAACCTGTGAACCTCCAAGTCATGTCGCAACTCTTGGATCCCAGTCGAGCTGCCTGGCTGTATCCTATTCGGGTATGTTATTTTAGGGGTTTCCAAAGCTTCATGGCTAACCTAAACAGGGAATCTACTATTTTGCGTCCAATCGGTTCCTATGGCCTCTCTTCAAGGCTCGCCTGCTCCCCATCGTTCTTCTCTCCTCCTTCATATACTTCATTCTCTTTTTCTTCACATACCTTCCCCAGGTTGCCTTCCTTGCCATCTTCCAGGGCAGCTCAGCATGGGTGAGCGGCGCATTCCTGGTGCTTGGTGAAGGAGCTGCGATTGTTGCCGCACTCTTCGAGGCATTCTTTGTCGATGAGACTCTAGTGGATATCTTCGATGCAGTGCTAGTGAATGAGGGCCAGGAGGAGCTTGTTACCACTTCGCGGGTTATTTATCCCGAGCCTGGCAACCCGGCCAAGCGTCTAGGCACGCCGACTACCAGTGCCGTGTATTCTCCATTTTCATTGCGGCAGATCGCCGAGTTTATCATTCTGCTTCCGCTTATCTTTATTCCGGTGGCTGGCACTCCTATGTTCCTAGTTTTGACTGGCTATCGTGCCGGTCCCTTCCATCACTGGCGTTACTTTCACCTGCTAGATATGTCCAAACAGCAGAGAAAGGAAAGTATTAGCCGTCGTCAACTGCAATACACTACGTAAGTCACGTTCCTTTCCTCTGTCGATATGGGATCTCACACACTCTAGGTTTGGGACGGTGGCTCTGATCCTTCAACTTATTCCTCCTTTCTCTATGCTATTTTTGATGACCACGGCTGCTGGGTCGGCACTTTGGGTGACGGATATCGAACGCAAGCGACGAGCTGTCAGCCAGCAGTCCAGTCGGTTAGGTGAGCAATACCGTGACGATATTATGCCATGACCTGTGAACGATATATCTATTTCGGGTGACCGAGGTTACTGCAAAATGCATCTAATTTTCCATTTCTGGTTCCTGGTTCCTGGTTCGCTCTGGCTCTGTATTACTAGGAAAGAGTCGACCACGGTCTAATAATTCTTGAAAATCTCATCGTAATTGCCCTCTACCTGATTAGTTCCGTAAAAGAAGTAGTCTGAAGCTTTTTGGATTGGGAGTGGCACGTGACTACAACACGGCCGGGACGTGTTTTCTTTTTATTGCGAATTTATTCACAATATAAATCTCAGAATCATCCCTTGAGAGCAGATCACCGGAAATATCGATTAAATAGTTGCCCCGGCAGAGTTGAAGTACCCCATATTTAGACCCTGGAGATTTGACCCGCTTAGCAATCCGGAAGCGTGACCCCGGACCCTCGAACTTGAGATCCGGATCTCTTCCCCGAGATTTCCAGAGCTTCAGCTTTAAAGTTCCTGGGTTATTTCCGACTTTCGGGTCTCGGATTTCGGCATTCTTCCGGTTCATAGTCAAACCTGGAGTCTGGATGTACTGATTGTCTTGAGCCGAGTAAACATGACCTGAAGGTTCGAGGTGTGGTCATCCCGGCAATTTGCTCATCGATGGACTTGAAAACAAGACTGCGCAAGGCCTGCGATGCCTGTAGTATCCGGAAAGTGAAGGTATGGTCCATTTGTCATAATCTTCCGGAAAATACTGATTTCCATGCAAGTGTGATACTGGTGGGCCGCCTTGTCGGTCGTGCGCTAGCTTGGATATTCCCTGCACCTATGAAAGACCCAGCAGACGCCGCGGGCCTCCTAACCGCCATGCAGAGGCGTTTAAGAAACAAAAGCGGGAACCTGAAGATCCAGCATCGCTGAGCCCGGCAGACTATCCGTCGGTGACAACAACCCCCTTAGCCACGCCATTCGCCAGCCCTCAATCTGCATCGTTCCCTCTTTCGGCAGAGTCGATATGCTCTTTGCACACGATGCAGATGTTGATCGATGACTTTTTTACTTACATCCATCCTTTGGTCCCAATTCCACATGAGCCTTCTTTTCGAGCAGCCTTTGAGCGCCGGGAAGATGTAACCAACCACACGTTTTTGGCGCTTCTGGCGTCAATGATTGGACTGCTAGTGGCTTCCTTTCCTCGACGACCTAAACTCCGGCTCAATACTGAAGCTGAACGCACCGCTTTCCCCAATTCTATAACCCTAGTAAAGCGATGCCTTGATGTTGCCATTCAAGCTCGCGGGACCGGATATCTTGATCGCAACGCGACAGTCTACGATGCAGCGATCAGCTATTTTCTCGCTATATGTGCCGGCTACATTTACAACATGCGCCGGTGCCGTGTGTACCTGTCGGAATGCCGAGTCATGCTTCAAGTGTATGATTTATGCCGTTCTCCGACCACCACCCCCTCGTCCTCGACATTAGGACCTCATAGTCCGCTGTCATCAACCCCAGTAATGATGCACGATCCGCCAACGCATACCTTTACGGAAGTCCAAGGCGTCGACCTCATCACTCAAGAGCTCGGCCGGCGTCTGTTCTATGTCACCTTTGTTGGATATCAGACATTATACCAGATGGGCTCTTCCGATCTCAAGATTCATGCTCCTCCGGAGACACCGACAGACCGTTATCCACCCCTCCCGCTAGAGGTCGACGATGAATTTCTGTTTTCAACACATGTTGAGCCGCAGCCATCCGACCGGGTTTCACAGCTAGTCGGATTCAACGCAAATGTCCGCGTCTACAGTTCATATACCAATCTGCTAGCTTGGGAAATAGCGTTCGGCAGTGGTCAAATTTTTGATTGGGAGCACCAGCGCAACTGCATTTGGGACTGTCTCAAGAAAGCAAAATCTGCGCTAATTGAAGTTCCTGCTGAGTTGTCCCTCCACCATCCGAAACACATCTCCCCGACGGGTTTGTCAGGCCTTGGCGGAGATGACACAATCTTCAGCTACTCGAATGATCGTATTCATCAAGAACGACGTGCTATACAATATGAGATACAGAAAGCCAATATATACGCTAGTCAGCTATGCACCAGATCATATCTGGTCGAGAAGTACTGGAGTCTTTTCGAGACGTTTTCAAAATACGGAAAGTCAACTAAATTCACGACCCCGGGCAGCACCACACCGCATATCAAAATCGAAGGAAAACCTAATGCGGTACCGAGTACAAGTGCGAGTGCGACTCCCACTGGTACCGCCCCGTCAGAACCCAACACCCAAGCTCAACCCCATGCACAAACAGACCATATTGGCCGCATGATGGCCGAAGAGCGCAAACTGGTCATCAAAGACCTCTTCGTGCTATTACGAACAGTGAATGAAGTGAACATGGAGCCGAACGGCGCAAGCATTGTACGTCCCATTTACTCAAAACCTTACCATTTATCATATCAAACTAACAAAAAGGCCTTTGTTACAGACCAATAAAATCCGACAAGTAGCCTCCACCCTCCTCAGCCTCTCCCACCGACCGAGTCAATCTAATACCGAAATCCCAAACCTCGCAACCGCTGCCGCACCATTACCATCACCAACGACCGCGCCGCCGGGCCTTCACATTCTCACCGCGGCAGAGGCGGAGTCCTACCTGCACGCATTCATCGAAACACTTGTCCGACTAGAATGCCATTCGCCCATGGGTGATGGAGCCATTCCCGCAGACGGCGTCAGTCCGCAGATGAACGGCCGCTCTATGAGCTATCTGAGTGATTATGAGCGAGATCAAGAAGAATTGAGCCAGTGGGCGAGTTTGAAGGAGTACCAACAGAAGTTTGCAGAAGCTGGTGGTGTGTTGTATCAGTTATAGCGTTTTCAGCATCTTCTTAATGCTGTTTTATTTTCTCCTCAACATTCATGTGCATTTCTTTCGAATCCGTTTATTTCCTTTGGGATGGGAAAGCTAGAGGTTCTCGCGCGTTGGACCACGAATGGGCGGCAGACTATTCTTTATAAAAAAGAAATGAGTGACAATGTGGCCATTTGGCCATAATATTTTAACATATACACATGCGCTGAAACAGCAGCACCTTCCCTAATTACATTGATTGTATGCTTTTCTTCCGGCCCCTAGTAAATAGAGATGCAACAACGCCCAGACCCTGAATGCAAGTCAACCATGTCGAGAGAAAAAGGTGAAATATAATACAAAATTTGAATGAAGATCATGAGGGGAATGGAGAGTGTTAGATGATCCAAACAAATAATACAAGCGGTCATCACGACCGCACAGATCTTGAGATCGAGGAGCGAGTTATCTCACAGATAGCGCTTCTCGGAGATCTCTTCGTAGCACTGAACATGGTCACCAGGTGCGAAATCTGTCCAGTTTTCGAAAGCGATACCACATTCTGTGTCTTTGCGCATTTCGGTGACGTCTTTCTTGACGTTCTTGAGGGAAACCATTGTGCCTGTTGAGAAAGTTAGTTTGGTCCAACCTTAAAAGTTATTTTTGTTGAGCTGGTTGTGATATGCTTACCATCATAGACTATTTCCTCCCCGCGGAGCACCCTGACCTTGCGAGTTTTGTTGATCAGACCGTTACGCACACGACTTCCAGCAATAGCGGTCTTTTCACGTCCCTTGACAGTAATCTCAAACACCTGCTGGATCTCGGCTTCTCCAGTCACGCGCGTAGTGACTGATGGGGGTAGCTTTTCACTGAGAATGGCTTTGATGTCATCAATGAGTTTGTAAATGATGTTGTGATCCAGAATATCGACGCCCTGGGTCTCCGCAATACGCATGATATTAGGTTCGATGGCCTGGTTGAACGAGATAATCTTGCCGTTGGCACTGCCAGCGTGTTCGATATCGAATTCACTGATAGGGCCAACTCCCGAACGGATGATATTGGCAAAGACTTCGTTGGTACCAACTGCCGCAACGGAGTTCAAGACCGCCTCCACGGAACCGTCCACATCGCCTTTCAGGACGAAATTGACAGACTTGGGACCTGTTGGTTTGACTTCATCCGTTGTTTCTTCCTCTTCCTTCTCGCGCCTACGCTTCTCAACAAGTTCACGACGAGCCTCATTGATGGCAACGACATCGACACCCATCTTCTGGGTATCAGACTTCTCCAAGCGGTAATCCACAACGTCCTTGGCTTTCTGCTCGGTTGGTGCCTGTAGGAGCTCGGTGCCAGCACCTGGCTGTTCTCTCCAACCATCGATTTCGACGGGCATTCCAGGCGTGGCTTCACTGATAGTTACACCGGCTTCATTGCGGAGGGTGCGGACACGAGCCCACGCGGTACCGGCAACAATGATATCGCCTGGCCGCAGTGTTCCACGTCGAATTAGAACGGATGCTACACGGCCATAAGACTTTGTAGAGGCCTCAATGACCCAGCCTTCAACGTTGCAGGTGGTAGCTGCACGGTGGTCAAGCAATTCCGAGAGAGCGACGATGGCTTCTTCCAGTTCAACCATTCCTTGTCCGGTTTTGCCGCTGACACCGATGGCCTGAACGTCACCTCCATAGTCCTCCACATGGATACCATGAATAGAAAGGTCACCCTTAACTCGATCAGGATTGCCTCCCTCCTTGTCAATTTTGCTGATGGCGACAATGACGGGAACCTTGGCTTGGGTAGCGTGCTTAATGGCCTCGATAGTTTGCGGCTTGACACTGTCATCCGCGGCAACCACAAGCACCACAATGTCGGTCACGTCGGCGCCTCGGCGACGCATTTCCAAGAATGCAGAATGGCCAGGGGTATCAAGGAAGGTAATGGCTTTCCCGGAAGGCATCATTACGGAGAATGCACCAATATGCTGGGTGATACCACCATGTTCAGAAGCCGCCACAGATGAATTGCGCAGCCAATCCAAGATTGTAGTCTTGCCGTGATCAACGTGACCCATAATGGTGACCACAGGTGGCCGAGATGGCAGATCAGATGTGTCCTCTAGTTCAGGAGCAGCATATAGATCTGCCTTGCCGCTGTCGAAGATGGCCTCGTAGTTGAATTCGGCTGCTACCAACCCGGCAGTTTCTGCATCGAGAATATCCCTGTACGTGATTTCCTCAAAGCCCATCTCCTCCATTCGCTGCACAAACTGCGCCGGCCGCACGCCAACGACATCGGCTAGGTTGCTAACACTGATGAATTCGGGCAGGTAAAGAGGAACTGGTGCTGCCGGCGTGGCAGCCTTCTTTGCAGCCCTTTGGGCGTCCTTTTCTTCCTGCTGCCGTCTGCGCTCTACGCGGAGGCGCTCGCGATGTTCCGAGTCAAAGTCGGCCTCATCAGACCCACTCTGACGTCCCTTGCGTCCATCACGGCGCTTCATAGGCTTCGGCGGCGGCTGTTCCTGTGCCTCTAATTTTTCTAGCTGCTCCAGTGCAGACATATCCCAAGACCATTGGTTCTTCTTGAACTCTTCTATTTCCTCCTTTGTTTGGGGTCGGTCAGATTCCTTTGAAAGGCGCCCTGTTGTTTCCGTTGCGCTCGGCTGGACGTCTTGTTCCAACTCAGACAAAACTGAATCCCCTAATTGCTGGAACTTTCTAGTGTACTCAGAAGGGGATCGGGACTGTCTGGACTGTGAAGGTCCGGGAGAATCGCTATACTCTCTGGTTATTCGGAACTTTGGCTGGGGGGCGAATGGGTTTTCTTCTTCGAATGCCGGTTTTGTTCCTCGGTTAGACGGATTTCTCTGCTGATTCCGTGAGGTTCCTTTGGGTCGCCTCATGAAGCTTGCATTCTCTTCTTTGAACGGGTTCTGCTCTTGGGTGGATGGGCTCTTCTCCTGATTCCGTGAGGTTCCTTTGGACCACCTCATGAAGCTACCTGCATTCTCCTCTTTGAATGGGTTCTGCTCTTGAGTGGATGGGGTCCTTTCCTGATTCCGTGAGGTTCCTTTGGACCACGTCATGAAGCCACCTGAGCGCTCCTCTTTAAAGGGATTCTTCTCTCGAGTGGACGGGTTTCTCCCCGGGTTCCGTGGGGTTTCTCTTGATCCCATCATGTAGCCATCTTGATTATCCCGAGGGGCACGCGCCGCGCGTGCGGTTTCCTCTGTTGGTTTGATTGTCCTGAGTTCCATTGTTGATTTGACTGATCCCGCCTCCGTTGTCGTGATGCAGGTGCTGGCGGCGGGGGTTGACTATTGGCAACAAGGGTTTGGCGCATCGCTTGTTCTGCGAAACTTAAGCCCGTCGATGCTGATGTCGATGCCGATGGCGTAGTTTGTTTAGAGCCCCATCGGTTGCCGAATTTGGGCTTCGCCGGCGCTGTATTTGAATCAGTGCCATCATCATTCCCGTTCGATGGATCTGACGAGTTCCAACGCGTCGCGGACAACTGTAAGGTCCGTCGAAGTGTGAGAGATGTTAGAGTGGGTGTTCGGTAGGCTGAATTCGACCACTCAGCCCGACGCGATAGCTGTAGTTTTAGTTAGATACTGTCGCAACACTTCAAAACTGCGGACTTACCCTGCAGACTGGCCGGCGATACATCATTCATTAGTCTATCCACATCTGGATCCGTCAACTTTTTTCCCTTTCCAGAAGTTCGAGAGGATGAGCTTATGTCACCGCTTAGGTCAGCTGTGGGTATCAAAATGTTTATGTAATATGTCCGCCGGTAAAGTCATGTGATTCGGCATTCTTGTCGAATCAGAGGGCAGATGGCGCCATAGCGATAAGCGGACTGGATATAAAGTCTGGAGTCTCCGGATTATGTCCTTGTCTATACTTTTGGTCGTTGCAATTGAATTCTTTGAAATATGGAGACCGAAGTAATTGACAGTTTGGATAAGGGCGACGGTGCCCTCCGCACCATCAAGGATTTGGCCGCGGGCGCAGCGGGTGGAATGGCCCAGGTTCTCCTCGGTATGTGTGCACCCTACTTTGTTTGAATTCCGGGGAAAGCCATGGACACCATGAGATGAGAATCTTGCCATGAGTAGTACTTTCGCGGGGGAAAATTTATACATGCAAAACTAAAGCAATTGCTAACAAGAAACTAGGTCAACCCTTTGGTATGTGGTCTGCCTAAAGCACATCTCAGGAGGCATTAGTTAACAACTCGGCAGATATCGTCAAGGTGCGCCTGCAAACTACCACTCAGTACAAGAGTGCGCTAGAGTGTGCAACCCAGATTTTTAAGAACGAAGGTCCCGCGGCCTTCTATAAGGGCACACTAACCCCGCTTATCGGTATCGGTGCTTGCGTGAGTTACCCCCGCGGCTAAGGTCTACTCTAGACAGCTCCTCTAACCAAACAATTCAGGTGTCTGTCCAATTCGGTGCCTACCATGAAGCGCGTCGCCGCTTGGAAGAGCTGAACAAGAAGAAATATGCCGACTCAACCCTTTCCTACACCCAGTACTACTTGGCTGGTTCATTCGCCGGTATCACCAACTCGGTGCTGTCAGGCCCAATTGAGCATGTGCGTATCCGCCTGCAGGCACAGCCGCACGGCGCAGGTCGTCTTTACTCAGGCCCCATCGACTGCGTGAGCAAGCTGGCCGCACAGGGCGGTGTCCTCCGCGGTATTTACCGCGGTCAGGCAGTTACTCTCATCCGTGAGGCTCAGGCTTACGGTGCCTGGTTCATGGCCTTTGAATTCATGATGAACCAGGATGCCAAGCGTAACAATGTCAAGCGCGAGGATCTCTCTAAGGCAAAGATTGCCATTTATGGTGGTCTAGCTGGCGAGGTCCTTTGGCTCTCCAGCTACCCATTCGATGTTATCAAGAGTAAGATGCAGACCGATGGATTCGGCGCGCAGCAAAAGTTCAGCACCATGCGCGACTGCTTCAAGAAGACCTATGCCATTGAGGGTCTCGGTGGTTTCTGGAAGGGCATTGGCCCTACTCTGCTGAGAGCTATGCCTGTTTCTGCGGGAACATTCCTGACGTATGTTTGCCCTTTGCTTTGCTCCCTCATGATGCTTGTATTTCTAGGATTGCAGCTAACCCCTCTCCCTAGTGTCGAGCTGGCCATGCAGGCTCTCGGTTAAACGTCCCATTAGGGTGGTTTTTTATGATGAAAGTTGACGCATTTGGTTTTTGTTCGGTTTCACTTGAATTCTTTGATATCCAGGGCTCGTTAAATACCCCACGGTTGGATAGAGGTCCACTAAAAAAAGTGAACGGCATTTCGAAGCTTATAGAGATCCATATCCATGTCTGACATTGAGCGATTGTGAGATTCGATATTCGTATACAGTGTTTCCAATATACAGTTAGGATTCTTACACTCCCAATGGGGAGTCCCCAAAGAACTCATACCAAGCAGTAGGGAAATAAGCTAGATTCAAACTGGCAAATGGCTACAACGCTACGCAAACCAAGAAACATTGTGTGTTGAACAACTCCTAGACAGGACATTTAGCCCAGGCGAGTATGGTATGGTAATTCAGTTGCGAATGCTTTATTATTACCCACTCTACGTTCTCAAAATCCACGAGTCCCAGTGTTTTGCAATTGACCATCGTTCCTGTTCAGCATTTCCGTACTTGTAGGGCTACTAGCAGGGATAGTGCAACACTCTTTTTCAAGTCGATCTATAATCCTTATTGGAGTCGACTGTAACAACAAAACCATACGTATATATATCCGCAAGTGGTGTAGCTTGAATAATTTGAAAATAAATCAGCAGTCGGAATATACATCATTACAGGTTTAGTGTTCTTCTTATGGGAGTTTATTGTATAAATATTCGGTGATTCGGAGTAAAGCTAATATGCTTGATATTTGACGCCTGAGGCATTCATGCAGCAGCCTCGGCAGGCAAACCCTGATGTCATCTGTCCAGGTCATCGCCAACCGATCCTGCTTCGACCTTCCCAATTGCAACAACTATGCTCTGTGGTCATATTTGAATGTGTTGGAGAATCCCCATTTCGTATCTCACAGAATAGCACTTGATTTTCCTTTGCTTGAATCTCACTCTATGCTTACGACCATGGCCACAGCCACCGCGCGACCTATCTCCCTCCTCTCGACTGTTCTCCTCATATACCCTGCAACATTATTACTCGGGTCTTTGTACTCAACAATCTCCCCAACAGCACACCATTCCAGAGATTTGTCCAGCTCTTCCCCACAGCCTGCAAGCCCTCTGGCGCCATCCCTGGCTACAGACCTGCACCTATCCGAAAGCCCCGTCAACTACTTCGCCCGAAAAAATAATATCTTCAATCTCTACTTCGTAAAAATCGGATGGCTATGGACCACAGCTGCCTTTGTTTCACTCCTCATATTTCAACCTCTCTACTCTTCATCTCGCCGGGAATCCTCCTCACAGCAAGAAGCACGTTTCCGACGTACCCTACAAGCTATTCTACGCTACGCACTCGCGACAACAGTATGGTATCTTGCAACACAATGGTTCTTCGGGCCGGCAATCATTGACCGCGGTTTCGTGGCCACGGGCGGCAAATGTGAACGGGCTCTTGAGGAAGCCGGGAAGGTGGCGGCTGGACAGAGCAACCCAGCCACCCTAGAAACACTATTCACAGCAGCCACGTGCAAAACCGCTGGCGGTGCATGGAGGGGTGGACACGATATCAGTGGACATGTGTTGATGCTTGTTTTGGCTACAGGACTCCTCGCATTTGAGGCTGTAGGGGCTAGCGGACGCGCACCCGCATGTTTGTCACGTTCTGACCCCACTGTGGACGCGGGACGTGAGCGCAAAGCCAGTGATGCCGATAGCACTACAGTAATCGATTCAACCACGACTGGTGGGTTCGCGAGAACGTGGTCACTCCGTCTTGTTTGGGGTGTCGTTGGTCTTGGCTGGTGGATGCTCTTCATGACCGCGATTTGGTTCCACACTTGGTTGGAAAAGGTGAGTGCACCCTTCGGTAAAACGCTACCGAAATACACGTTTCTAATGGCTAACTATTCATCTAGTGGTCTGGTCTTTCCATTGCTTTGAGTGCTGTGTATGCCATCTATATTCTTCCAAGACGGATAGTACCATTGAGGGACGTGGTTGGACTTCCGGGAGTATAGACGTCTATTTTGTCTACGAGATCTAATTCTCAGCAGCTGTGAATATACCGAATGATAATGATAGATTGTATTGTTTTGGGGCATGGAGAAGTGCTCAAGTCGTCTTTATCCAGACGTTGAAATTCCTGGTTATACATGGAAAAGTCGCCTGTACATTTTATGCTTTGGCTGCCTTCAGGCATTCTACTGTCGAGCATGTTCAATGCACATGGATATTGTACATCGTAGAGTGATTAAAAACTGTTCATCTCTTCCTTGCCATTACTCCACATGTGACTTTTTTTTTTCATTGCTAGAGTGTTGGTGTTGGTTCCTGTCCTAGGAATCCAGCTTGAAATGCTGGGATTGACGTGTCAAAATACCGAACTCATCATAAGGGCTCTTTTAACTTACCTCCTGGAATCAACGCCGACGCATACATCACCCGTGTGATAGGCCTCAAGTCCTCTGGTGTCAAATCATCGGATATGGATAGCTGCATGTATGGATCCCAAGCGGCAATGATGGCATCGGAGTAACATTTCAAATCAACTGTGCGTTCTTTTTCCGCCTTCACCTCCGACTGGCACTGGATGCCCATGCAGGTCCCAAATTCGCGAAAGGCCAACCGAAATCGGATGTTGCGCTCCAAGTATTGATTGATCTCGAACAAATTGTCTAGAATCATCAGTCATCCTGATTCTTATTAATCCTATATTGTGTCGCGGGGATTGACACAAAGGTGACTGACATATTTGCTCGAAGCATTTCCCCGCCAGGTCAGCAGCCCAGCGCTCTCGTCCGGAAAACCAATGTGCCGTCCATAAAGTCATACCCAAATCCAGAGGATCACTTGAAACAAAGTGCTCTCCTTTGCGCTCCATCGTGCGTCTGTAGTCGTCGATCTCCTCGGCCAAGAAAGCACCATCACCTGCTTCCATGGCTGTATCTTGCAGGAGTCGGAAAACAACAAAGCCATCAATCGGATCAAGATTACCTTCTGACTTGACCATTGGCTCTGACAGATCCATGTTCATTTTCCATATCATTCTCGGCCGAGCTGCTGCGCGATCAACAAAAAACTTTGGGTGTATCGCTTTTGCCAGCTCTATGGCTTGCCTGTTGTACTTCAAATCTCCCGATGCTTTGGTCATCCTGTTCAACGCAAACATCCAAACCGTTAGATAATGATGATATTGCCCATCACCATCTGGACCGTGAGCATCTGTCTTGCCGATCCTCAATCCGCCGCCTAACGGGTTCGCGTCTGTTGCTCCTCGCAGTCTTGAGCGGCCGTCTCGATTTCTACCCAGGACGTCATGGACTGTCTCAATCAGACGAGCAGCCAGCACCAGGTAACGGTCGTCACCAACGGTGTCATTGCTAGTTCGCTTATACTCGTTGTGCATTGTGAGAAAGTTGACAACCCCGAAGGCATCTGTCCATAGGTATCGCCCGCGGTGGCCACCTGATCTTGGTGGTGGAGTCCAGGTTTTTGGGTCTTCGATGCTGCTGAAACTCCCGTAAAGAGATTCCATGGCTTGTCCAAAACGGTCTAGGCGCGGTGACGGACTGCTGATTGGGAGAGCCATTCTCGAGGTATGTGCCTGCGTAACAGGATGAATGGTTGCTTTTCTAGCAGTGTTCTGCTTGAACAATAGCAGCCTAGACAGCATTTGTTATAGCTTTTCATTCTCGGGTGTTATTTATTCCACCATCATCGGAATTGAGGCATTGTGGTTTGACTTCGGCGATGAAGTCATGATGACTGTTTAGCTACCGGGATGTCAATAATTCGCTGGGAAAACTCCCGCGAAACAAAGAGCATATGCAGTATTGATGAAAGAAGAATAGAAATGCCGTGTGTAATCTCCGGCATGTGTAATTTTCTGTGCTCAACATGTTTATCTACGTGAGATATTCTGCGTGAAGATATCCCAACCACATAGCTTAACCGTCCATGCGCTTGGCGTCTATATTCCGAGCTACAAAAAAGATGCCTCAACTACAGGAGCTTTTCAATTCAGCAGTGCAGCCCCTGCCTCTAATTGAGGACAAGAGCTTCGCATCACACTTCGATACTTTTGCGGGAAACCAAGTGATTCTGCTAGGAGATGGCAGTCATGGAACATCTGAGTTCTATTCTGCACGCGCAGAGATCACAAAGCGACTTATTGAGCGACACGGCTACACCATGGTCGCCGTCGAAGCAGACTGGCCGGATGCAGAGGCGATCGACCGATACGTGCGGTTGCGCCCAGGCCCCAAGGCGCAAATTGGAGGAAGTGTGAAAGGATATGAACCGTTCAATCGATTTCCCACCTGGATGTGGAGGAATTCTGAGATGCAACAGTTAGTTGAATGGATGCGTGATCGAAACCAGGCCCTTCCACCCGAGCAAAGAGCCGGGTTCTACGGGCTGGACCTGTACAGCATGGGTGCCTCGATCGGTGCTGTGATCGACTATTTGGACCGAGTAGACCCACAGGCAAGCAAGCAAGCGCGCCAGCGGTATGGGTGTCTAGAGCCCTGGATCGACGATCCCACTTCGTATGGTCTGGCATCTCTTCGAGGCATGGAAGACTGTGAACGTCCGGTGCTGAAGATGCTTGGAGAGCTTCTGGAGCGACGGCTTGAATACATCGGCTCACGGGATGGTGATGAATACCACAGCGGCGAACAGAATGCCCACCTGGTTCGTGACGCAGAGAAGTATTACAAAGCAATGTACTACAGCTCCGCAAGTTCATGGAACCTGCGCGACATGCACATGTTTGAAACCTTGGAACGTCTGTTAAGGCACAACGAAGGAGAGAAAGCCATTGTCTGGGCACATAATTCCCACGTCGGGGATGCACGCTATACAAGCATGGGCTTTCGTCGCAAGGAGCTCAACATCGGGCAACTATGTCGTGAGCGATTGGGACGCGAAAATGTGACCATTCTTGGATGCGGAACCCACACTGGCACCGTTGCGGCAGCCCATGAGTGGGACGATGATATGGAGGTCATGTCCGTCCGCCCATCCCGGGACGATAGTTGGGAGATTGTGGCCCATGATACTGGGGTACCACGATTCGTGCTCGACCTGCGTCAGAATCGCATAGATCCCTCTCTGCGCTCAGCGATCGCTGCTGAGCAACGCTTGCAGCGTTTCATTGGTGTCATCTACCGCCCTGATACCGAGCGGGCCTCCCATTACTCGCAAGCCCTCCTTCACAAACAGTTTGATGGTTATGTTTGGTTTGATTGGACCCAGGCTGTTAAACCATTGGAAGTCATCCAGCCTGACACACCGCTTGGAAAGGGCGAAACGTATCCATTTGGACTCTAGTGATGTACTTCCTTTGTTGGTCAAAGGCTAGTACTTTTTTCTTCGGTATCTTCGTCTCTTAATGCTGTGCTTCTTCAGTGTACCTTATTACTATACACATGTTGAGAATTACAGTTGACTCTCCTTAAGCAGCACTGAATCCTTTCTTCCTACATGCAATCTTAGCGCTTCCAATACAACTTTGAATTTTCTATGCGATTTCCTGCGGTGGCCACTAACATAATGGTGTCAGTATCAGGCCATGTTCTGGTACAGACGGTTGTGCCGTCTTCCGGAATCTCTTAAAAATGGGTTATTTAGGTTCAAAGGCCGGGTCCTTCAATGTACTCTGTCATCCTAAGATGGAGTCTTTTCCGAAATATTCGGAGATTTTCCGAAAGTGATGGGAACTATGGCCCAAAGTGGACAAGCTGACCCGATCAGGTCAATCAGATCAATCAGATAAGGCGGATCAAGTGGGGTCCATGTCTTTGTACATACAAGGGTGCTTGGTCCCTCTTGTGTTATACTTTGTAGAGTGCTTCTTGTAAGGTCTGACACTTTCAGACCATTGATCGTCTCTCTCATTGGCCTCGAGAATCGCTTAACATACATAGTACCATGGCCCCATACAAAAAAAAAAACAAGATTCTGATCATCGGTGAGATACCAAAACGGGGGTCAGCAATTAATTTTTTGACTTTTTTCGACTAGCTTATGTTTAGCTTGTTTCTCTAACCAATCTACTCTTGGTTTCTTTTTTCGGTTGGGAAATTTTCATTTACATCTCGTATTGTAGTTGCCGTATAAATCCAGTGAGCAAGAAACTGGTCTCCCCGAACCTGTACCTCCTTGCTGACTTCCAGACTTTTCTGTCGTGGATTCAGGCTCTTTTCGCTGTTCAAGGTCCTGCCTTTCAATCTTTAGAGTTGTGGTGCGGTCAATCAAGATTTATATCTGGTTTTTCATATCATGGCTGTGAGAAAGCGCTTCGTCAACCCATTTGCCCGCAGGACATCTGCCGAGGAGCAGCCGGCGACTGGTGTGGCCGACATGGAGGCTTCTGCGGACTCCAAAATTGCCCTGGAAAAATTGGGCGAGACCGATCGGGCCTCGTTGGATTCGGAAGTTGTTGACCAAAAAGCGCAGTCTGGTACTCAGAAAGCCCAGGCAAGCACCCAAGCCTGGACAAAGAACACATTAATCGCAGCTTATGTTCTGTGAGTTCCGTCTCTTCCAATCCATATGAAATTTCTGTAGCTAATAACCCAAAGTGTCTGGGTTGTCAACTTTCTAGAGTACTTCAGCTCTGGACTTCTCAGCTCCCTATCCCCGTATATCTATAGTGGGTTCGAGCTACACTCCTTGACAGGTCTTACCTCCGTCATCGCTTCATTGATCTCCGCTCTGGTCAAATTTCCCCTACGCGAAACTCATGGATATTTGGGGTCGGCCTCCGGCCTTTGGAGTCGGCGTCGGATTTCTGACTCTCGGACTGGTCATGATGGCCGCCTGCAAAAATGTACAAACATATTGTGCTGCTCAGGTTTTCTACCAGACTGGGTTCAGTATGATCGATTTCTCCATGACCATCTTCATTGCCGATACTACGGCTTTAAAGAACCGGGCGTTCTGGATTGCTTACGCCGCATCTCCCTATCTCATCACACCTTGGATCTACGGTTACGCTGCCGATCAAATCGTCGCCCCAGGCGGCATCGGGTATCGATGGGGCTTTGGTGTCTTTGCCATTATCATGCCCATTGTCAGTGCTCCGCTCTGGGGTCTGTGGTATTATACCCAGAAAAAAGCCGAAAAGATGAACTTGACGGAGAAGAAGAGCAGTGGACGAACTCTCTGGCAGTCCATCTTGTTTTACTGCATCGAGTTTGATGTTATTGGTCTGCTTATCATCGCCACGGGCTTTTCCCTCTTCCTGTTGTCGTTCAATCTATACTCTTATCAACCTGGAGAGTGGCATTCTCCCATGATTATCTGTTTCGTTGTCATCGGCTTTTGTTTGATTATCGCATTCACCTTTTGGGAGAGATACTTTGCGCCAGTGAAGTTCATGCCTTGGGAGCTAATCAAAAACCGGACCGTCTTCTTCACATTTTCCATGGTGGTATCCCTGTACCTGGCTTGGTATATCTGGGATAGCTACTTCTATTCTCTCTTGCAGGTGATGTTCAACCAAACCGTCACGGAAGCAACCTACATCTCCAATATTTACACCATGGGCTCATGCTTCTGGTGCCTTGTCTTCGGAGCCATCCTTCGCTACAACGGTCGTCTAAAATGGTGGGCTATTTGCTTCGGTGTTCCTCTTACCATTCTTGGGGTTGGCCTCATGATCAAGTTCCGCCAGCCCGATTCAAACATTGGATATATCGTGATGTGCCAGATCTTCGTTGCATTCGGTGGTGGTACCCTCGTCATCTGCGAGCAGATGACAGTCATGGCTGTTTCCGCTCAGAGAAATATCCCTGCTATCCTGGCCATCGAGGGTGTGGTTGCGAGTATTGGTAGCGCTCTCGGAGGTACTGTTGCTGTTGCTATGTGGACTGGAATTTTCCCCGTCAAGTTAAAGGCGCTCCTCCCGAGTTCTGCACAGGCAGACTTCGCTACCATTTACGGCTCCTTGGCTGTCCAGCTGTCCTACGCCAGAGGCACAGCTACTCGCGATGCTATTGACCATGCCTACGGTGAAACTCAGCGACTTATGCTCATTACAGCTACCTGTCTTTATCTTATAACTTGGTCTTCGTGCTTCTTTTGGAAGGATCTCAATGTGAAGAAGATGAAGCAGCAGGTGCATGGTGTTCACTTGTGAGCAGTGCATGCGCCATGTTAGTTGCATAAAGCGTGATATAGAGAGACATTCTATAGCGGGAATTTATTACCTACTTGAGCATATTTATGTAGCTAGATACCCCTGAGCTTTCTTCATATTCCTGTATTAGAGATATTATAATAAGAACTTTTGTGGATGTGTCTTTCCCGTTTTAGTGTTGTAGCTAGGAGACTGGAGGATAACGGTGAAAAGCATCCTACGTAGTTCCGGGGGACTTCTCAATATGCAACATGCGAAAGTTGGAGTATTATATAATGTAGATAGGTAGATATGTGATAGTTCTATGAATATGATGGTCAAAAATTTCCTACCTGGTGAAACCCTAGGCGACTGCTCAACAACATTTTCTGAAATCCGCATATCAATGATTATGGCGCAGTGGCTGGCCTTCTTGGGCTAGTCGCTGGTATTTCACTGCCTTTCGTAGCACCATGCCATTGCTTAGTTGATCAGTTTCCTGGCGGAAGATCTCCTGCCAGGGAGTACCACTCGGGACAACGGAGTATCCTTCCGTACCCAATGCTTTCCTTCGTTCTTTGATCTCATCATCGGTAATGAGTATATCAACCCGCCGTTTGCGCAAGTCAATGCGAAGTCTATCCCCATCTTTCAAAATAGCAAGATTGCCTCCAGCTGCGGCCTCGGGGCTAGCATTCAAAATAGAAGGTGACCCAGATGTTCCCGATTGTCTGCCATCGCCGATGCAGAACAGTCCATCAATACCCTCTTTCAAGAGTCGGCCTGGTGGATGCATGTTGACGACCTCTGCCGCTCCAGGATATCCGATTGGGCCAACACCACGCATAACAAGGATGGTCTTCTCGTCGATGTGTGGAGTGTTCTCCAGACGATGTTCGTAGTCTTCAGGGCCGTCAAATACCACAACAGATCCTTCAAATGCCTCTGGATCATCGGGGTTGGAGAGGTATCGCTTCCGGAATGCAGGCGAGATGACACAGGTCTTCATGATTGCAGAGTCGAAGAGATTGCCCTTCAGATGGGCGAATCCGGCATCTTTCATCAATGGGTCGTCGTATGGTTTAATGACACGCCGATCCCACGTATGCTTCCCACGGACATTCTCGGCAAGAGTTTTGCCATTGCAAGTGAGCGCATCGCCATTCAGCTTGCCCTGGTCTAATAATTCGGCCATAATAGCCGGCAGTCCTCCAGCGCGGTAATATTCTTCGCCGAGATATTCTCCCGAAGGCTGCATATTTAACAGCAGCGGGATGCTAGATCCGAGGGCATCCCAATCATCCATGGACACCTCTACGCCTGCGTGCTGCGCGATAGCGTTGATATGAATAGGAGCATTCGTGCTTCCGCCGATTGCGGCGTTTGCTACAATAGCATTCTCGAAGGCTTCACGTGTCATGATATCGCACGGCTTCCGGTCGGCCTCTACCATTTCCACGATCCGTTTGCCTGTTTCATAGGCGCATTGGGCTCTGTGGCGGTAGGCAGCCGGGATGGCGGCTGACCCGGGAAGTGCCATTCCTAAGGACTCTGCGAGGGCGTTCATCGTTGAGGCAGTTCCCATTGTATTGCAGTGACCGACTGATGGAGTTCTAGAGTTTGGGTTAGATTACGGGGTCATTTACAGGGGCTTTAGAAATTGCTTACCCGCGGGCGATGTAATCCATAAACTCATTTTCGTCAATGTCACCTGTGGCAAAAAGCTCTCGCCCATGCCACAATACAGTGCCTGCTCCGGTCAAAGCTCCTTTGGAGTAACCGTTAAGCATAGGTCCCACGTTCATGCAGATGGCAGGGATATTCTAAAAATATCAGCATGGATCTAGAAGTCTCCTAGGTATGGTACCCACCATCGTGGCTGCAGCCATCAAACAAGCCGGGGTTGTCTTATCACACCCGGTAAGCAATACAACACCATCAAGGAAATACCCCGTCAAGATCTCCACCAAGCCAAGATAAGCCAGATTACGATCAAGCGTCGCAGTAGGCCGTCTCGAGGTCTCTTGAATAGGATGTGTAGGGAACTCAAATGGAATACCTCCAGCAGTCCGGATACCCTCACGAACACGTTTGGAGAGCTCAATGTGATGGCGATTACACGGCGCAATATCTGAGCCCGTCTGAGCAATTCCAATCATCGGTTTACCAGACATAAGCTCTTCTTTGGTGATACCGTAGTTGAAATACCGCTCCATGTAGATAGCTGTCATGCCGGGATTGCTGCGGCAGTCGAACCATGAGGACGAGCGAAGTGTCCGTCCCGGTTGCTTGACAGGGACTTGGGCATTTTGTGCCTCGCTTGTGACTTTCATGCGCGTTTCGAGCTCCTGATTGCGTCGACGCAGGGCTTGCAACTCACTTAGACAGTCCTCGATGTTGATTGATTGGGGTTGGGCGTCATTGCTGCATGAACAGCCCTCACAGGACTTCTTATCGGAACACGCCATGGTGTTTAAGATGGACTATAGATTGGGATAGTGCGGGATAAAACGTTCCATGGATTTGAGGGGTGACAATAGATTATATATAGAGGGCTTCCCATTTGTGCTTTGAAAAATGCGGAGTGCATTCGGGAGACACTTTCCGAGCCATATTGCGTCGAATCATTGGAATCGTATAATTTGTTGAAATGCCCCGCGTGATCACGGAGATAAGCCGAGATTCCGCCCTTCGGGATGTGATGATCCGGATATTGGTTCCTGAAGATATATGACGTCGCGGATCTCGTTTAGGTGAACTCCAGAGTTTCTCTATTAATTCAATTTTCAATAATTTACCTGCGTCAAACTTATCAACAATGCAAGGTCGAAATCGCGTAAAGGCAGTGCTCGACAAGGGCGGCCTCGCCCTGGGAGTATGGCAGCTATTGCCCGGCAGCAACATGTCCCGTACTCTAGCACGAGCTGGATACGATTGGGTTTTGGTGGATTGTGAACATGGAAATATCGATGGTCAGAGATTTTGCTCTTATTTGGAGTAAATTCTAACATTCCTCGCAGACGCCGCAATGCACGAAGCTGTCCCCGCTATAACGTCATATGGAGTGAGCCCAATTGTTCGTGTACCTGATTTCCAATCTTGGATGATTAAACGTATGTCAAACACACCTTATATCACACCTTATATTGCTAGCCCACTCAACAATTTCTCATATTTTCCATAGGTGCCCTAGATGCAGGCGCACATGGAGTTCTAGCTCCTCTCGTGCGAACGGTGGAAGACACAAAGGCCTTCGTTGAGGCCTGCCGATTCCCACCAGAAGGGAAGCGAGGTTTCGGATCGCCTTTCCCGATGGACAGGTTTGGCAGGGATGTATCGGCCACCCAGTACTTGACTGAGGCCAATGCCAATCTTCTGCTTTCAGTTCAGATTGAGACGAGAGAGGCTTTTGACAATGTCGATTCCATCGCCGCCGTCGAAGGACTCGATTTGTTATTTGTCGGACCTTTTGACCTGGGTAATGGTATTGGCCACCCAGTGTTGGGTAGTAGCTTTGCTCCTGAATTAGAACAAGCCATTGAGAAGGTTCTAGATTCGGCGCACAAGGCAGGCAAGAAGGCTGGGATCTACTGTGCAAATGGAAAGCAGGCAAAGAAATATGCCGATTTGGGGTATGACTTGGTCAATGTTGTGACTGATGTTGGTGCTCTGACTAGCTCGCTCGCGAGTGAAATGGAAATTGTCACCCAGAAAGCAGGCAGGGCCGCCTCTGGGCCTTACGGTAGCTAGTGCAATATGCCATTGAAGCAAATCTCGTTCCATATGCAAATTTTGTTTGTCTAGCTATTGTTGATCGCGTAAATCATAAGGGTCCAGGGATGCATATCGTGAGGGTATGGTCATTCATACCAAAGAATTCCAGAACGAATGTGACTCTACATCAACCTGAAAGCCTTGCGCGATGGCCTCAAGGTCCAAATCCGATAGTTCCAAAGTCGTCAGGGAAGATCCAAATTCAAGTGCTCGATCCGCGACGCCAGATTCTCTAGTGACATTCATAGACTCATCCACGAGCATCTGCTCGCTGGGAAGGTTGTTCTGAGAGCTCCCAGGGCTTCCAGTGTGTATATTGTCATCTGTAACACTGATCCCTAAGTGAGCAATCAATTTCTCCAGGTTTTCTCTAGCCTTCTCTGCTGCAGAATAGAGCCGTGTGTGCTCAGCAATAATATTTCGGCAAAGAATTAGTGATTGGAACACAGTTGAGTTACTCCCTTTCTGTGCAACAATCCGTGCGTGGATTGTTGCACTGATATAGGTAGCGTAAGAGAGCATGTACGGCGCACTGTTCAAAGAGAAGTGCTGCGAGTAGTCATGCAGAATCTGAACAATTTGGTTCGCAGCCGCTGTACAAGCGTTCACTGACTCATGGGCAGTTGTTGAATTGATGACCCCGTCATGGCCAATTATTAGAGGACGGTGAACCAAAATGATAAGCACGTTGAACAGAGCTCTTATCTATGGTTAGCAGCCATCAAATAGCCTTGGTTTGTGCAAGGAACATACAAAAGGCAGGCAGACTGAGGCAGGAAAACCGCCTGGTCTGGGAATGACAAATAGTCAAGCTGAATTGGCAGATTTTGGCGCCAGATTCTCAGCTGTGATTTGATTTCCTCCGAGATATTTGCCCTGTGGACCAGGTTTGACTCTCGAGATTCCGAATAAATCTCACGAAGCACACGTTCCACGATTGTTGTTAACTCACATAAATTGGTGAGCAAAGAAACATTTAGTGACGGAATAACTCTTTGAGGCTCAGTAGTCATATATGTGATGCCCTGGAAAGGTTCAAGCTCGTCATAGTCATCCAGGAAGTCCAGTGACGCTCTCAAGTTGACACGGTTGAGAAGTGGAGGTCTCCCTTGGAAAAGACACTGGATCTTATCAATGACTATCAAAGAAGTCAGAGGTTATGCGGGGGACAATACCCAGTACAGGGGAGTGATAGCTCACAGTATGCTCCCCAGAGAACTCGCTTTCGAATTTCAAGCTCCTCGGCG